AGTAGTAGTAGTAGTAGTAGTAGTAGTAGTAGTAGTAGTAGTAGTAGTAGTAGTAGTAGTAGTAGTAGTAGTAGTAGTAGTAGTAGTAGTAGTGTACCCAATCGTGGGGTATGGAAGATATTTCAATTAGTTGTGAATTTCCTCGTCCCTTTTGTTGCACTCCCTTCCTTTTATCTCCTTTTTTTCTACTTCCTTTTTTTCCCCTTTTTTTTTGCTTCACCAACACCACTATTTTCGCCCTTAGGTATTACGTAGAGAAAGAACTTCATGAGCTTCACCTAGTCGCTTATTAGTAGTAGCACGACCACTCGAGTTGGACTTGATTACGTCAATAAATATACTTAAGAACTACGATACGTACCACCGCGATACATACTACACGATGGAGGTGTTTGTAGCTGTACGTAGGTGATTCCATAATCAAACAAAAAGTTTGCGAGCACTCGACGGCCTCGTTCGGCGTACTCGGGACGAACGTAGGAGATGCCAATTCTAGTACCAAGATGCGGCGAATACACCACCGATGCCACTTTGCCCACGATTACACGCTGAATACCAGTATCCGCTGAAAACAGCACGCATCCCGGCGATACGAAGGCTCCTGGCTCGCAAATGACGCCAACTCGTCGAAACCGAGGACCTTTGGCTAGATCATTGAAGAGTCTTTGCCATCCGAAGAGAGTGTGATTTCTCAGCTTGCTCTGCGCTATGGTCCAGGAGAGGGATGCGTAGACGGGTGTGACCATCCCCGCTCTGAAGTCTACTCCGGTTCGTGGAAACCCAGCTTCTACGCGCAAAATGTCGTACGCATCGTACGGTGCTAAGAAAACCTTCTCGTCTCCTGCAGCAGAACAAATATGAATCTGATCTCCTTGCTGCTCGTGGGAAAGATTGCCTGGAGATGACGACTTGTTTGTATCTTGTGAAAACTCATGTGCAGTTGTTGTCGTTGACGGCACAGGAGAATTACTCCTTCTAGGACTTGTTGTAGTATAGATGCAATGTCGTGAAGATGATTCGTCATCTCCTTCGAGTTCGACGTCAATAGTACTAGTACCATTCGTGGTACTGCTTCCACTACTTGTTGTTCCACTATTTGTGCTGTTTTCCAACGCGGCAGCGGCGAATTCTTTTACTGCTGAATCACTCCCAAAGACTAGAAAACCACGTTCGCCAGTGATAGCAGGAGTTCGACAGATATGCAGATCCCTGAGTTCGTCACTGTTTAGAAGATACTCCAGTATAGTCGTACCAGCAGCCTCCATTGCCTCCATATCGAGGTCTTGAGGCGTCACTTTTAGAGTGACACAACTGTTCACTGGCATCTGCTTGAATGAGTCCCAGTCTATTCGATTGATGTGTTCGTGCTGTGCGGAACTTGCTGCGGGTGTGGTTTTTGATGAACAAGGGTTTTGGTCTGTTGACGCAAGAGAGGCGGCTGCCTTTACTGAGTCGGTCGCTTTTTCAGACCACTTGGGTTTTGCTGCACGATGCTCCAGAACGAATCTTAACCTCCCTGTCATTTCGAGGGCACGTAGAGTAGTTGCCACTGCTCGTGCAGCCTTTGGGCCTACCAATTCAACCACAGCAGTTGAGCCGTTCTTCTTGCCTGGAACTACCTGAGTCCTCCCACTTCTGCCTGCTTGCGTATCTAAATGCACATCTTCAATGCCTGCGATTTGATTGTGAAGAGCACTTCCTAGGGCAACATCCAGGCCCGTCTGCCGCAAATAGGTCACGTAGTTGGCTAGATAGTCGAAGGTCTGCGCGCCATCCTTACCCTCGAGCACGAGAAAGATTTCGCTCTCCTTTTTCACTGCTATGGCGGAAGTTAGAAGAGATGAACTACGCAGATGAGGAAAAATTACAACTGTAGATCACGAGAAAACTAGTACAAGAGACATGAGAATTGTCCTCCTGAGTCGTTCCCACCAAAATCTAAATCAACTTACTTAGCATCACGAGCACGAGCTGCCATAATGTATCCAAAATCTTTGCTTTCGTATCCAGTAAACAAGCGTATTGCGCATCGCCTGGCCGCATTCTTCGGAAGTCGCACGTCACGAAATGGTCAGCGGCTACCTGTCTATCTCTGCCAGTAACGCAGAAGACCTGGCGCCAACTCGAGTCAAATAGGGCCGTACGCGTTCGCGCTAGTTGTGCAGCAGCGGTGGTAGAGGCGGCGAGGGCACTATGATTGGTAACCGTATCCTTTTGCTTTTGGTTGCTGGTTTTTACTTCGCTGGTTTTAAGAGATGAGGTGGTGGCAAGAGATGTCGATGTCCCATGAGGGCTCTCTTCATAATGCACGTGCCCTTGCGTTGATGGATCTGCAAGTTCCCGCCGTGGCTCTTGTATAGGGAAGAATGCACTAGTGGACGATGAAATAAAGGCTGCACTTGTACTAGTTCCTACTTCACCCAGCACTCCTTGATTCAGTAGATTCCTAAGTTTCTTCTGATATTCGAACCGACCAGCCCTTTCCCGACGATGCCGATTTGCGTCAAACTTGTTGTCCCTGTCGCCTTCATGACGTTGTTCTAGAGAAGGAGTGATGCGGAGAGGTATCATACACTTGTTAACCTCACCCCATTCGATTTCCGCTTCGTTTCCTAGATACTCAGTCCAAATATCACTCAAGGGCGTCGACCGTAACTCTGACCAAGCAGAATATTCTTCGTCTCCAGCTTGAGCGTTATCGGGTGATTCTTTCTGCCCATCTTGGGTAGTACTATAATCTGCAACGGCATGCACTTCTTGTTCAGAGAAACAGGTACTAGCTTGTTCAAACTTTGATGTAGCCGAACAATTGCTAGCTTTTTCAGGACTTGATGCACTTGGGGATGCGGTGAAGGTACTAGTATAAGCCGCGTTACTAGTATCTGGGGACGTCTGCGGTACCGTACCCGACAAAAAAGAATCTTCAGTAACTTTGAAGGCTCTTGGTTCCTCCATGCTAATGTCGTTTGAAGATGATTCACCTTCGCCAGAAGCAGCTTCATCCCCGCCTACTGCGCTATCCCTAGTCTTTGAATTACAAGAACTTCCAACATCTTCTCCACTGCTCAAAAGTGTCGTGATACTCCCTGATGCCAAAGATGAACTCATAGCACTTGTTATACGGTCTTCGCGGGCGTTCGCCGGTTCTGGTATCTGGTTCCCAGGTCCTATGACGTCATCATTCAGGTTCTTTTTTCGGAGCAACTTCGAGATATGATGACGTCGGTACACATCTGCGTTGACACTATTCGCTTCGACGTCCTGGATGACGCGCTGCCGCTCCTCTAGAATTGAGGCCAAATTCGTTGTCTCTGCACTGGAATCTTTCGCGCTTCGATTACTGAGCGAATTTGAGGAATAGAAGGAAGATGTTGATGCGGTGCTTTTGTTTGCATGAGCCTCAGACCCTCCAACATGTTCCCCAGGCCTCACTCCTAGTTCACTACAGTCGATTTCCTCTCGTTCTCGCAGTTGTTGCTGTCCAATGTCGAATCCCTTATTCCTCCTTTTCTTTCTAGCCAATGACTCCCTGAGTCGTTCTACAAAAACTTCATCGATTTGTTCCTCTCGCCTTCTCAGGTGTTCTCGTTGCGCCACGTTCGTGCCACTAAGCTGGCCTAAAGCTGCCAGTTGTAACGGCTTTTTGATCCAGCCGCCATGGGTACCGCGAAGACCACCACCACCACCACGCTCAACAGCACGAGCTGTGGGACGGTGTCTATCCGCTGAGCTCGCGCTACTTCCTCCCACTTGAAGTCCTTGTCCTCCACGACTGTCATCTACTCCTTCTTGTCCTCCTCCTCTAGATCTAGAAGCAAGAAAAGGCGATGATACTGATCTTGTAACAACAGTACCTGTATGTGTATGACCTTCTTGTTCAAACATACTAGTAGATGAAGAGAAGTCATTTGTTCGAGGCTTGAAGCGGGCATTTTCTTCTGCGCCAGTCGCAACATCCTCTATCTGTTGCGACGACGAGCTCTCCAATTGCCGTTTCCGTCTTGACAACTGCAGACTGGGTGCATTGGGGTAATGTCGAAGCATAAACTGGGCTCGCCTCCGGTGGCCCCCAACGCTAAGACGGGCGAACCAACGTCGGGACTCATGAGTGTGAGGACAACTCTGCATTCTATATAATACGTTTCATGTAGTTGAGCTTGTAGATGGTAGAAGAGGAGGAAGCGGATGACTCGTCACTTCGATGGATCATCATCACCGTGTCCCATATAGTACTGGAAGCCTATAGGCAGGACAAAAAAATGTTTGTGGTAGTTTCTTTGATTGAAAAAAAACAATACACTTGCTCTTTCATCTCTAGGATGATAGAAATTTTCCATCACTCCCGGAAGTGGGTACTTCTCACTCATGCGTTTCTTCATGATTTTAACAGTAACTGAAAGTGTGTAGGAAATCTACTTCAGCGAACAATCAATGTTGGACGCATCAATGTTGGACGGGTAGTTTTTGGTTATGAAGAGAGTTTTGGGGTGAAGCGTACTACGCAATCGCAAAATGGTGCAACTTTTTTCTTCAGAAACCTTCTGGATTAGCGATTTTCAGATAGGAGTCTTGCTTGTTCTCTTGTACGTCGTTGTTGTATTTCAATGAGCTTATCTGCAAATCTAACTTCTGCATCTCCGCTACTCACTTGAAGCTTGTTGTTGATGTTTTCTTTATTGCTAATGAATAAAGTACCGTGATTTCTCATTTCATCAGCATCGTTTTTGCCAAACAAAGCTGCCTGTGACAAAAACGCAGAGGACGCATTGATTTTCGCATTTATCGTAGCTTCGGATGGTGCTGTGACAGAGCCTTCGGATCTGATGGACTTCGCACTCCCACTTCCTTGCATCCCACTTCGCTGTAAACTGAAAGTCCCAATCGCGCGCTTGGCGTTGTCTACTCGTTCCTGCAAACATGAAGTTCAAAAAAAATGTACTCATTCATACCCAGAAAGAGGAAGCTATAATTTGCTTTCCCACTACTTCATCAAACGTAGCTAGATATAAATATTTCTTGAGTATGACGAGTGCACTTTTCCCTGTCATAGCAAAGCACGCATGTCAGCCTCAAGCTGTTCTTGCACGAGCTGGTCTTTGTTCCGTGTAAGGAGCTCAGTAGCATCTCCAGCCGAGGAAGCATCGAGCAATTCTGTAATGCTTTCACGAAGTGCCTCCTTGTCCTTGAAAAACAGCTCGCCTAATGTCCTTGCTGGTTTTCGAGCAGATGTACTACGACTGGGAGGTCTGCTGTCGTCAAACTCAAGATGGACGATATCTCCTGGAGTTGTTGCTGCATCTCTCGCAGCTGCTGCGGCTTGAGTAGAACTCGTGGTTGAAGGTCTTCTATTTCTATTCAGGATCCCTCCTGGTGTACTTCTACCACTACTTGGCGCGGCGCCGGCCGCAGTATTTTTACTTAATGAAGAAGATGAAGCACCAGCAACACGATCCACCGACCTCGATGAGGAAGAACCGCCATCAGTCTTCTCTGGACCAGTAATGTAGATAAGATCGCCTTTTTCTATCGGAGGAACAGGCAGTGACCGGCGACCAGCACGCATCCATTCTTGGGGTATCGTAGAGGCAAGATGAGACCCTAGTAGATGTTCCAAATGATAATATCTTGTGAAGAAAGAAGAGGAATAAAAGGAGCACGCTAACGAAAAAGCTTGAAGACCACTAGAAGGCAACATTAGTTTTAGTTAGCATTAAAAATCTTGCTTGCTTACTTCTTGCTAATATTACGCTTCTTCTCCGCAGCAGCGTCGTCTTCTGCTCTTTTGTTAACGCTTTCGGCTGCGTTGTCCTCGTTCCCGAGGAAGGCGAAAGGGTTTTTCGACTTCCCTGGCTCAGATGAGAACGGGTTCTTGGGCTGTGGTGTTCGCTCCAAGGCCTTTAGCTGCTCTTCAAGCGCGCCGAGCTTTGCTTCAAGCTGGTGTGTAGTAGATTGATGTTAAAGGCGAGCAACGCAAACGCGTGTGACTTACTATGTATATCAATATGGCCCACGTGAGGCAAGAACCTGCATAAGTACTCAGAAAGAACCAGAACAAGTCACAGACAACGGAAGAAGAACTACCCGCAGCCAAGCTGTAAACGAAAGAAGTTCAAGACTGGCACGCCATCGAAACACACAAAAAAAGAGCAAGAGGGCCACTAGAAACAAAGCCGAAAGCGAAAAGCATCAGCAGAAAGAAGGCAAGCACCTTCCTCAAAAAAGCGCCGCCACCCCGCGCGAGATCTTCGACAACACCGGCAGAAACACGCCACGCTGGCCCTTCATATGGGCCACAGCCTATCGACGACGCAGCCCCCGCCCGCATGAAGTTTTTCGCGGCCTCACGCGAGGAGTTCAGTCAGAGCACGCAAAGGCGCCAGCAGCTGCAAGCACCAAACAAGCAAGCGCGCCAAACTCGACGAGGCGAGGCAAATTTTCTGCCCTCCCCCCGCCAAATAACTGCCCAGAAACTCTTGCACCATAATCGCCAGGCCTTGCATTCTGCGCTAAATGTTTCACAAGCCCGGCGAACTTAAACGGCGAACGAACGGGCAAGTCGCTGAACCTATGGCCTTTGCTAGAAGCAGAGAGCTCGACAGCGTCGCAGGCGCAGCGGGCTGCTCCGCTCCGCTGCTGCAAAGGCAGCCCCGCGATTTCATCCTGCGCCGCCTGCTCCCTCGTCGTCTGCACGTTCCTTCGGGGCAAGCACTGACCGAGCGACTGTCTGAAAGCGCGCACGCCTCTCGCTGTGAGTATCTTGGCCGCCGCTGCGCTCTAGTCCGCCGACCTTCGTCCACAAAAGCTCAAAGGGGCCGGCGCTTAAGTCCACTCAGGTGCGTCGTAGTTGCCACGCGCAAACTATGGCCGCTAGCTCACTTAGCTCGCTAAAATTTTTCCCCATGCGTCCACCTTCAAGCGGATGACACTAATCCCGAAAAGCCACCAGAAGAACGCGGGCACCTTCCGGGACCTGTCGAAAATGCGGCCCCATGTCCGCAGAGCCTGAGGCGTCTAGAAGCCAAGCCCCCCATCTTCTACCTGTGCCCATGGGCTATGCCTCGCCATTGCCACAAGACCAAGCCCACGCGCTGGCCGTTCATCCCACTCATATCGCACGGCGACAGCCGCGCCACTATGCGCGCCCAGATACCACACCCGCACCCGGTCGGTCAGCCACATCACTACCGAGCCCACCGCCACAACAACCGACGAAGGAGGCATAAACCAGAGAGCCCCAGAGGAGTGCCGGGGCCCCGCTATTGCCGCTATTGCATAGCCCGCGAGACAAGCCCACCAAATGCTTCCCAGATGCCTCTCAGGCGCTTACGCGTCTCGCAAGGAGCCCGCGCGCCGCGTTCTCTGCCGTGGCCCCGCTGGTTAAGTTGCCTTCGACTCCGTGCACGATTATGGCCAGCGCTGTCATTGCACCATCCAGGAGCCCACCAAACACGAAAGCCACTACAAGCGCAATGCCCAGCCCAGCACGCGGCTCCTATCCTTCAGCCTTCACCGATTGGGCTAAAGGGTGCGGCCTCCTTCAGTTCCTTCCGGTCTTTCAGCTTCCCCGCGTTCATTTTCCGCCCTCTTCTTACCCGGCGCCCCTCTGCTTCAGTGCTCGAGTCGGCGCGCGGCTCCTCGACGTCCTCCTTCAGACGTCCACCCGTGGCAACCTGCTCACACTGCGCGCATGCCATGGCCGAGGGGTGGCACCCCTCTGGGAGGTCCGCTGGCTGCCCTTTTCTTTTGCCTCACTCGCAGACCTCCCGCCCAAAGGCGGCACACAACACTACGCCGCCCGCCTAATTGACCGCCGGGGCTATTCGCTGCACCCGCGTGCTTACTTTGCAGAAGTTCACAGACCAGCCAAGCCCCTGGCTTTGCAGATTGTGCTGGGCCACGTCTGTCGGTCTTCAGGTGTGAACTCTCGCGGCACAGCCTCGGCGGCTTTCTCTAGCGGACAGGTCACTACGCCCTTGAGAAGCGCCTGCGCTACTTCCTTAACCGATGGAAGACGCCCGCGGTGCGCTTCGGTTGCTTCACTTGCTTCGAAGCGAAGCGCCAGCGACCCGCTCCCAAGTCTTGCGATGGTCTTGCGCGCTGACTCGTCTGGTGAAGCTCCCAGCATCTCCTTCCTGAACCAGTCACAGCCCGCAGCCTCTGCTCGCTCCCAAGATACATTCTTGCCTTCCAGTGCCAGGATTGCTTTTACTAGTCTCATGCCCGTCCCTTTTCTTCATCGCTTGAGCTGGGCCAAGGTCTGCAGTCTTCTATCTTCGGCGCCTTCCGGCCTGGTGCCCACGCCTTTGCTGCATCTTGCCCCAGACTCTGCGCAAAGAGACCGAGAAGGAGACAGAGAAAAAGCCCACACGTGAAACATGGCGACAGTTGTGCTGTCCGCCATCTTGGAGGCTTCCACGCGCTGGCCCCTCTGCCTGCGCAGTATGATCATCGTGGCGGCCTTCCTCATAATATTGCGCAGTTAGTGTAACGCATTGCAGTCAGACCTTGCCGCGAGAGGTCTTCTTGAGCTCCATCAGTCCGGCGACGCGATTAGAAAGAAAAAGGGCAGCCGCCATGCTGCCTCCGCAAGCCCGAAGCCGCGGAAGACGGCCCCCGCCTCGGGCCCAAAGGGTTGCCAGCTCACTCCTTGCCGTGCCGTCTGACGTTGGCTTGCTCTTTGCTTTCTGTTTGGTTTTGCACTTTTCCTCCCTCTTTCCTGTCTGCTTGTGGTCCCTTGCGATTGATTCCAGCTCCGCTGCCAGAAGCCTGCAAACCGCGAGCCGGGTCGCCGCGCTCCCCCTCCCCCTCTTCTTGTTCCCCTCAATCACGGGGCGCCGCTGGCTTAGGTCGTCCTGAGCTGACCCGGCGGCGGTGCTGTTCGCCTGGCCCCTGCCCAGGTTCGCGGAGCACTTCGGGCCGTTCTTACGAGGGCCGCCGGCGTGGACTCGAAGGGGCGGCCTTGCTTCTTGTACGTCTGCGCCGTGCTGCTTGCTGGGCGTAGCCGCGAGGCCTTTTGCCCTGTCGTCCGAGCGTCGCGGCCCTTTTCGGAAGAGGCAGGGCCCTCACTGCTTTTTCTGTGAGTCCGTTGTAGTACTTCGCTGATGTAGTCTAGTTAGCTAATATTGCATCAGTTCGAGTTTTAGTGATACCACAATTCGTGACGCCTTGGTCCCCAGCGATGGCTCTGGCGATGCGACTGTTCCATGATTCGCCACGCCTTTCGGACTCTTTTTCAGCGAGGCGAGCCCTGTACTAGCATCGCCGAAAGAGGAGCTTGTTTGTATCTCCTGATCAACGAGCTTGCGAAGCTCCTCTGTTACTCTGTTTTTGCTCTTAGAAGATGCAGAAACTCTCACAAGTTTGATGTCAGAGAAAGCAATGTCGTTTCTGAAATAAACCACGCAAGAGAAACATAGCAACGTGGAAGTAAGTGAGAGTCTCCGTCCATTCAGATACAGATAGCAGCACATCATGATTGATGACTAGCGAATCAACTGTAATTCTACTTTCTGTGGTCTTAACTTTACCACTTTCCGCAAATGCTTTCTGTCGTAGTTGAGCGTTTTCTCGGAGGAGGCAGTCAATAACTTGATCCTTCTCTGCGAGCTGAGTTTGCAAGTGATTCACAAGTTTATCAAGGCTTTCCCGGACGTGACTTTCCAAAGCCTGAGAGGTTTCGTCGACGGGTGAAGTAGACGTCTGGGATCGTCCTTCAATATCTTTTGGCAGTTGTTGTACTTCACGACCTTCCTCTGCTTGGTGAGTAATCTTTGTCTTTTGACCTGGAAAGTCCATAACAAGGTCGTGGCCATTGTCGTGGAGAAATCTTCGTGACCATGGAGAGATGTTACGAATCGACGGCATCTCTTTTCTTCTGATCGTTCGCTGCGATAAAATAAAAACGTTGACGTAGTTCAATGTGAACAATGTAGTTGTTTCGACGGCGGACTTTTCAGTAACATCAAGTCCTTGTTGTCAAACCTTTTTCAATGCACGTATTGCTACATAATTTCTATGGCTAGTATTGTCCTCACGAGTCTTCATTGAATCTTGCGTGGCCTCGTCCACAGGTTTTGGGTGATACCTTTTTTGCAGCAACCGATCATAAAGAAGTGGAATACAAAACGCCAGATGAGGATCTTTTGTCGTGCTTGGACTTCTTGAAAACCAACGGTCGGACCCTTTGAAGTTGAGCAATGGTATGGAGGTTACTGCATCTGGTGAATAAAAGTGGCGCACTTCTTGTATCACCACGACGCCCAGACTTCAGATTTCAGAGGATCCCGCTTCAGCCTGGAGGACGCTAGGCGCGACAGCTTGGCGAAAAGATAATACAGAACTACTCGGCTGCGTAGCCTGCGGCGGAAGCGCAGCTAAAGGAGAGTCCACTGATTACTCTTCCTCTGAACCTTTTCGACCAAGTTAGAAGAGCAGGCAAGACTGGACTTATTGTACTCGACTTATCGTTTGAAGATGAGGACCTCGAGGCAAGATTGGACTTATTGTACTAGAAGCGAAGTAGGAGATTGATGTTAAAGGTGAGCAGCGCAAACGTGTGTAGCTCTCTCTCTCTAACACCCTAAACCCTAAACCCAACCCTAAACCCTAAACCCAACCCTATCGTCCTGAAGAAGCCTAGTACTACAAGAAGTCCTCGAAGAGCAAGATTGGACTTATTGTACTAGAAGCGTGGCTTGAGCAGGAGACGTTCGGCTAGGAAGGAAAGGTGGAACCCAAAACAAACACAGTGATCATATTCAGCGATTAAAGAGAGGCTTCAGAATGATTTGCCATCGTGAACATGCATTGCGAGATGGCGATTAGGGTTATTAGTCTATTTTGGTTTGGGTAAAGTCTCCTATAATGTCAGATTGAGTCTTGATGACAACATGATCATCATGTCACTGCAGTATCGCTAACTGGTTGATGCGGGAGGTTAGAGAATGGGGAAACTTATAAACATAGTTCTGACAACATGTTTCAATGTGTGAAGAAACACCATCTTTCAATGGCCTATAGAAAGTAGACACTGTCGTGGTGAGGTACTTCTATCATTTTCATCTACTTACCATAATGCTTCATCAACTGATTTTCACAAATAATCAAATTGAATCACAAAACAGAGGATCATTAAGAGAGGTGGTTGTAATGCTCTTGGATCATGAACAAAAATAAACAAGAAAAACTGGTGGCCCATACATACTGCTCCGTAGATGTAAGAATTCAAAAACAAAGAGAAACTTAACCACTGTGTGAGAATAAGTACCTGGGTGGTTATGTTGAGACATCATGCCAATTATGCAGTGCAATAAGCGGGGAAATAATTGTCATACAACATCAGAAGACCGCACACTGACCCATTGTACAAGATATTCGCTTCTCTTTGCTCCCCTTCTACGCCAAAACGGCTTGAATTGCAGCGACCTCTCTGGCCTGTAGATAGTCCGTAACCTGAAGAAGGTTGCAGACTAGAATATCCCGCTCCTTCTCAAGCAAGCGAAGGCGATGTGCGCAGTCGGAAATACTACTAGTATTCACAGCTTCTTTTTGGTCGTTCTTGCTCTTGGATTCTAATACTTCTATCCTCGATCTGATTACTTTCACAATCTCGCATAAAACAGGCACGCTCCAGCTTATCTGATCACGTAACCACTTCACACGTCGTCCTGCGCCGTCCAGACATTAGAGGAACGAGAACGAATGCTTAAATGTTGGTTCTAGCTAGGACTGCGATAATGCTGCTCTCGGAGATACGAGTGAGATTCTAGGAAAAAAAATCTACATCTACGTACACCGGGAGCGGTGTGCTAGAAAAGAGGTTATTGATTTCCTCATGACAGTTCCTGGACTTTACCTACGTATGATGATGATGATGATGATGATGATGATGATGATTGTATGCAGTACCTATACTAGCGTATGATGATGATGATGATGATTGTACCTACCGTATAGTTTACCAAAAAATATTACACCATAAATGCCGTTAGGAATTAGATCCTCTTCTTCCTCAGCCTCAGCTCTACTGTCCCCAGCTTCGCTTCCTCTACCTAGGTCCTCACTCATTTCCTCAGAAGAGCCCTGAAATATTGTGGAGGCTTTCATCAGAAAAATAGAGTATAAGACTATTCACTGAAGCAGAATAGAGTAAGCATGTACATGTAGTCTAGCCTAGGATTGAAGGTGGAAAAAGGCTGCAGTTAGATGGCATAAAAGTCTTGATGTTGGTACATGCAGAGAAAGCAATGATGTATAAGTCGAAGATGCTTCATATCATCTCTTGAAAAGAAAAGTATATAAGGTGCATCTTAGAGAAGTTCTTTCTAGTACCAGTTCCGCCTTCGAGGAGAGGTCTACATCATCTGTAGAATTGTCCTGAGCTTCGTGTCTGCCTTCAAAGTGCATACATCCCGTACCTGGCATGCCATTTGAGACCTCAACTTCTTTTTCCTCAGTATCTCTGCTCTCTACTGCATCACCAACTAGCTCGACTTCGTCATCATCGTCTTTTCCTTCGTCTTCGGGGGCTTCGTTATCCTCATCAGCTTCATCTTCCTCTTCTCCGCTTCCTGCTTCGTCGGCAGCTTCATCTTCCTCTTCTCCGCTTCCTGCTTCGTCGGCAGCTTCATTATCATTATCTGCTTCTTCGTCTTCTTCTTCTTGCTCTTCTTCGCCGCCTTCGTCTTCCTCCTCCTCCTCCTCGCCCTCCTCTTCAGCCTCGCCGCTGCCCGACTCGTCCTCATCATGTTCCTGGAGTTCTGCATCTGCGGAATGGCCACTGTCACTCTCTTCTGGCTCAACGTATCCTGGTCTAATCCCTCGTCGCCGTTTCGTCGGTTGTGGACGCACGACAGGGCTTTCTTCCTCTTCTTCCTCGTTCCCTTGATCCTCCTCTTCTTCCTCGTCACTGCCAATGTCATTAGAGCTTTTGCTATAGTAGATGAATTTCTAAATAAACTTAAATCCTTCACTGGAACTCGGAAAATAGATGCGTCCTCTATTTTTAACCACTACGCTACGAAAAATCAGAAAAAAATTTTCTCAAACTCAAAGAATTTATTACGACAAAGTTAATAACTACATGACCTCCCAGTATCGCTGCTGCCAGAAGACTCCTAGCAGTTTCCCTCGCGTGTAGGCGAGCTTCGAGAGGCAAATTGAGAAGATTCAACGACCCCTGATGGAGACCTTCGAATTGGGCATCGATTTGTCCCTGCTGGAGTCGCTGTTGAAGTTGGGCACCCTTTTGTAGTTCTTGTCCATGTCCAGGCGGAAGATAGAGCCCACCGCCAGCCTGTCCTGGTCCTGGTTGTGGCAGCACTGGACCTCCTCCTGCACCTCCTAGGAGATTGCTTCCTCGTGCTTGTACTCCACCTCCTAGCATATTCATAAATTTACTACCTCCAGCAACATTCTGATCATGACCAGCATTTTTCTGCTGAAGGTTCAGATTTTGCGCCAACAGCATACGATTTCGCAGAAACTGCTCTTGTTGCTGAAGCTGCTCTGCTTTGAAATATTCTGCAGCTAGCAAGTCCTCGTCTTCTTGTCCTCCTAATTCGTCTATCATATCTGGGAAGTCTTCCTGCTCTTCGCCTTGTTTTAGATGTGGACTCCTTGTTGTAGTATACAAAAAGAAGAGGAATGTAGTCAAGACTCTCTGATTTCAGTCAGTAGCTCGCTTATTTTGAGTTTTCGAATATTTGAAGGTGAAGTTCATTTCAGTTTCATTTCTATTGTAGTCTGTAGTTTCTTACCTTTCAGTTCTACTTGTTGTAGCCTTGTTTTATCTTCTTGTCTTGTATCATTTTTCATCTGAATGCTGGAAAGAAAAGAACTTACCAGAGAGATGCTGAGGAAGATGCCTATTCATTTCTGGGAAAAGGCTTCATCCAAGATGTAGATGTTGGGAGATCTGTCCCTGGAAGACCGTACCAAGATTTTGAGAGATCATTCGATCAGAAAAGCTGTTAACCACCATAACTGTCCCTGTGCATGAGCAAGTTGCATCTGCAATATCTGCGAGTGCAATATCTGCTGTTGATGCAGGTCTTCCATCTGCATAATCTCTTGAAGGTCGACCTGCTCTGCTGGTCGTGGTACTGCATTCTGGGCTAGCGCACTTGCTTGTGGAGCAGTCAAAAGGTTTTCGCCAAGTAGATCGACCTGCTCTGCTGGTCGTGGTGGCGGCACTGCATTCTGGGCTCGCGCTCTTGTTAGAGTTCACCGCCACCCTAATCCATCTTGAGATATTATATTATCTGGAAGCCGTTCTCCCTTTATTGAGTCATGTAATCAAAACTCTTTTACTTCAGTCAGTAACTCGCTTTTTTTCAGTTTTCGAGTACATCACTCTACTGAAGATGCTTCTGGAGATGCATTCGGGGAACAAGCCTTAATCTTGTTCCTGCGATGCCGCCAGGTAGAGCTGGAGGCGAAGATGCTCCGAATGGGACATTGACATGCGCCTGAGGAGGAGGGGGCATAACAGGCATTATATTAGAGGTTGCGACATTGCATTCTGCAGATCATCCCTGACCCTTTTCCTACTGGAGAAAAAGTCAAGGATGGTAGTGAAGAATGCAATGTGGTAACCCTTAATTATAGGGGTCTGAATCTGATTCATTCTTGCATTAGAACTCACCACGATCGTCCATCTTTTGCCTCATCTGACTGTGTCCACTCTTCTACGTGACAACGAGCAGAGCTGATAGAAGGATGGTTTTTAACGAAATCTGTAAGCTGTTTCCAGATCATAGAAGAGTGGACGCACCAGATGAGGCAAAAGATAGATTATAAGTGAGGCCTTACTTGCAGGAGTTCCAGGACCTCCTCCAGGTCGTGCAGATGCAAGTATGCTTGCTATTCTTCGGACTTGATTGTCCGGATCCCCAGGTAGAGGTTGCTGCAGTTGCTGCTGCTGAATTCCTAAGGAATTGCCTGGAACTACTGTGTTCTTGCTGGAAGGACGGCTAGTACCGAGACCACCAAGACCGGCATTAGGTGTCTGCCAAGCACCAGCTTGCTGTTGATGATGTCCTGACCGTGGTCCACCAGGTGCAAGGGGACCTCCTCTCGATGTATTGTACGTGCTGTTCTGAGTCTGACCCTGACCCTGAGGAGCATTACCACTACCACTAGCTGCTGTAGCGTTATTATTGCTGCATTGTTGCATTGCCTCCGCAATAAGTGATTGCAGCTCCTCATGCATCATAGTAAACCAATTGTTTGTGCAACGCAGGCAAAGGAGAAAATCTGTAAAAGATAGCGTCTCGTCTTCTAGAAAGGTAGTTTTGTGTTTGTCCCTCTTTTCGTGAAGATTTCTTTCTTTCGCCATCTGCAGAAACGCTTTTAGCATTTGAGCCGGCCATGAAAATATGTTCAGCGAGGACTTGTTGTCGCTCCCTCCTTGATGTCCTTGCAGGGTGTTATCACCACCACCAAGAGTTTTTGTCGCACTTATTCCGCAGTTAAAAAATGGCGATGTCGTGGTGGCGCTCTCGTCTTGAGAAAGACTTAGCAGCTCAAAAGTGGCCTCAAATATCACTCCGAAGAGAGACTTTCTCAACGTGGAAATTTTATCCTCTGAAGAAGAGGGCTTGTTCTGTGCTGATTGTTCATCAGCTAATGGATCGCTCTCGAGCCCCTGCTCTTGCTGCTCCCCCTGCTCCTGTACTGTACCCTCCTGGACTGTCCTGCCGTTTTTAACATTCTCCAAGCTCAATGGAACTGCACTTGAGCCTAATGGCATTGTCACTAACCGTCGCATATGTTCACGGCAGTGTTCTGGTGTAGCTATCAGCGTATTTAAGAACCAGTTTGCGCACTTTCTTACCACTTCACAGCGTGTCGAGCTCTCCGAAGACACTGCCAGAGTAGCGATGACCCGACAGATCGATGTCAAAGAAGATGAAGAAGACGAAGCTGAAGATGAAAGGCCTAGAAGATGCGTACTACTGCTTGACGAAGAAGATGATGAAGCTGAAGATAAAAGACCTACTCCCGATGTTGATGATTTCCGGAAAAGCACTTGTTCGAATACGAACGTCGCGAAGCTAAGAATATCGCAGACTGGAGCCAAGGAGTATTTCGTTATTGCGATCACATTCCGCCTCGTCAACAACAGTATTGAAGTTGCGATTGAAGATGGGTCCCCCACTAAACCTCGTTGAAGCAAATTCTGTTGTTTCAGGCGACTTAGCCAGGTCAACTTCTCCAAGAAAGCGGGCACAACGTGTTCCGGCTGTCGAAAAGCGGTGTGTTGTAGAGGCGGCTCGTTTTCTACCAGGAAAAGACGCGACCACGTGCAGGCATCAAAGTCGTCGTGTATATGTTCTTGTTTGCGTCGAAGCAACAAGTGCCCAACGACGTTGACTTCTTGGTCAACAGCACTACTCTTTTTCAACATCTTCATGTTCTTGTCGCTTGTCTCACTAGGATCACCAGTTGTAGAGATGAGATGGGAAAAAATCATCTTCAGTTCCATCTGATACGACAACTTTACCAGATAAGCCAATTCATCACTAATTGCTTCCCCCACTTCTCCCAAGCACCCCAGCTCGACACCTCGTGCTGTGAGCATATCATGCGCAATGTGAAGCAAGCCGCTGCCAGTCAGTAGCGCCATTACTTGCGGATAAAATGCAGGGGAGTATTGCCTTTTCGTCGCGCTGATTTCCGGCATTGTTAGAGAGTTGCAGGAGCCGCTTGAGAGCAGACGCATCTTGAAGATGCAGCTTCTTTCTCCTGATATTAAGACAGCTTCAAGATGTTTCTCTTTCTCAAGATTTGGAGTAATTATCAGCGAATAAAAATCCTTAATATTAGGAATGTGAGAGCTTCATTGGTGGGGTCAATGCCTATTGCGTTAGCATTTTGCAGTAGTTGCTGATTTGCTATTTGCTCTGCTATTCTGTTCGTCCAAGCTCGCGGCAATGTAGTATCTTGTTCCTCGTCGTCGTCCGGGTCGTCATCGTGGTTTCTCTTTTGAATATTACCGTCAGAGGATGATGATGCATTAGGAGTTTTTACATTGTCATTGGGCTCCTGGTCCGCTTTCTTACTGGTCCGCTTATCATCTTGAAAAGGACCATGCGCATTCGAATTCACTTGATCCTGTTGGCCCTTCTGCCATCGCATCACTGTTGCGTTCCTGTTATTGCTTAATAATGGTATCAGATTGGGATTCCCCTGATCGTCATCTGCCTCATCAACTATGCCGGAAGAGGTCGTGCTGTTGCCAGGCGTGTTATTGGATGCAGTCACATGATCTTCTGGTGGCAGCAAGCGTTCAGGGTCGTGTGCGTGTGCCTCTACTTCCAGTGACGGAGCATGATCCGGCTGTCCTCGGCTGGCGTCATTTTCCACTGAAGATGAGATTTTCATGTCGGATTTCCTGAACCAACCTTCTATCACGGCATGCGCTTTCTTTTTCAGTAGAGAGTTTTCGCAGCTCGACGTCGCACCTCGTCCTGGGAGACGAGCATCCCTGCTACCCTTTAGTATTGTCCTGCTATCGTGCTTGTTGTTTCTCGTCGACTGATGAGGTCTACTGTCTTCTTCATCTGCGGTTGTGGTACCAGTTCCAGGCGACAAACGCTGTTGTTTGGAACTAGAGCTGTTGCAGGAGGGACCTAAGTCTTCTGCTGCCAACAACGAAGATGGTTCTACTGAAGGTGTATCGAAAGCGCTAGGTATACTATTCATACTCAAGAAGCATGACGACGTACTAGAAGATGATGACATGAGCACTACATCGGCGACCATCCTAGCTTCTTCACAGGTCATGCCGCAGTTTGATTGCGTCGTCCTCAGGATGTGGATTCTGATCGCATCTTCCAAATCTTGCGTATAGCATTCAGTCTGGATGCGCTGAAAGAACCCTAGCAGTGCATACAGCCAATTTCTCTTTCGACGATAATATTCGCGATCACACTCACGCTTTCGTTCTCGCCAATAAGCGAGTCGATCCCTTAGGCCTGCATCTCGCAAGTCGTCATCAGAAGAGGTGACACTTGCAGTTTCGGCATCCTCAACATTGCGATTGGTACTTGTCGTCGTTGTTGAAGTAACAACATTTTTTTTACCCGTAATAATACCTGCAGGAGCTGCGATTACATCTTTCGGAATTCGTAGAGCAGTGGTGCGCTCATCTTCATTCGAACTACTTGTTCTTCTATCTTTACTTAGTACTTTCTCATCGTCTCTTTTCAATAGATTAGTTCGTAACCCATTCGAAGAGGAATCAGCTCCCGACGAAGAGGCTGTGGTTGAATCGGATTTTGTGTCTGTTCTCTTGTCCCCTGGTGTGCTGAGAGAAGATGCTTGAGGTTTAGGTTTCTTCACGCCCAATGACCCCAAGAGTTGCTCTTCCACCTCCTCCTCTATGATCCCTTCAAGCTCTCCACTTCCTAAGGTTCCCAAGTCTCCTCCCAGGTGCAAGCCTCCAGCCCCTAAGCCCAAGCAGTCGTCTTGATCCAAGTCGTCCACATCGTCTTTGAACATTTCGTCTAGCGCAGTCAACTCTGCGGCCAAAGTTGAGAAAAACTTCTCATCGCAACCTGGACTATAGCTACAGAAAAATCGTCGTGGGTCGTACTCATCTCGAGGGGGAAGGATGAGCTTGCGTGGCACCGTGTTCCCCATATGGTAGAGTAAGGATGCACCCAAGTGGGAGTCTGTGAAGATGCATTCGTTCAGGTTACTGAGATGCATCATTTGACTCTGCTGTGTAGGTCGATGCAGAGCTCCAAATTGCAGATGCTGTTCCCGTTCCACCCTCAAGTGGTCGAAAAACTGCGCTTCAAGCATGCGAAGCATGTCAGTGTTGATGTCTTTGGTTTCATCCGGCAGTTCGGAGCCAGTGGCTTTGTTAGAGCTGCCGCCTTAGCATCCCTGAGCGCATCCCTGGCCTCCTTTTCAAGTAGAAAAGGGATTAAGGACGATGCTGAGGATGCATCAGCGGTAGCCTTAACTTTGAGAATTTTCTTATTGCGGAGTTCTTGTAATGTGGAAGCTTCCTGCCATCGTGGGGTCCTGGCTGTAATTGGCTTGCGCTCTACGTCCTCTTGTGCCTCGTCCGCCTCCTGCAGCAGCTCAGAACTTTTATCATCTTTTCTTCTCTTCTTCGCTTTTGGTTCCTCCGATTCCTCATCTACTTCCTCTTCTATCTTCGTCTCCAAGCTACGCCACTTCGTAAACTCTGCAAAAGATGAAGTGCTACTGGTTGTAGTCCCATAGCGTATGTGCCCTATTCGACCCATACCTTCAAGATCAAGCCCGCTCAACGCATGAGCCTCGTAGGTCAAGATATCTTGTCGCGGCTCTTGTTCCCGCACAGTCAGCATCGCAAAGGGGCACGCATGCGCCTTGTCGAATGCTGGTTGTGCCGCGCCTTGCTGGTGGAAATGAAGGATGGAGGGGAAGGAACAAGCAGTTCTGAGTGAAGAAATAGTGTCTTAAGACATAACCCATACTATGATAATTGCGTACAAGAATAAGACACATGCACTGCCAAGCCCTGGAGGTTGTTCATAAAGAAAGCAAATTAATACGAACTACAAATGGCAAAGAGATTGATTCATGTTGACCACAACGAACAACCACAATGGTCGTCGACGGCCTAAAAAAACTATTAACAAAACCAGAAGTATCTAAGTCCTGTGAGCACAATTTTCAATCCATCTGCCTTTATGAACAACCTTCAGGGCTTGGCACAGAACCGATCACGATCATGTCATAAATAAGCGGCATCCTCGCACTATGCATTACGGCATGATGATGCGTAGAGAAATTCCACACATTTGGAGGAATTTTCAGTGTCCGAAAAAATTGCCTATCCTCTGGACCCAACGGATCTCCAGGAAGCCTGGGCTTAAAGTTATGCTCTCCAGACGCAAGCACTTCGTGGCGCAGCGAATGCGTATCGCGGAAATAGCGAGCGTACATAACTGTGGTGTAGTTGGCCTTGGTGAAGAATAGGAGGTAGTTTGATTTTGATCGATTGGTCCACAACCGCTATGTACATTTCTTTTAGAGAACACGAAATCTAAAACTGTTCACTTATGTGTGACCACAAGCCAAAGAACTACAGCTTGTTATTATCTTCACAAGTAAGTAAATACATGGGTTCATGTCGCTTCCAGGGCGCGCAGGCTTCGGAATCAAGTCGCTCACGTGGAGATCAGGTGGCATCAGTTCCTGTCTCGGGACATAATCGTCAAAGATGTTCTCGGATGTGCTTTAGAAGGAAGAGTGGAATGTGATACGCACAAACACATACTTTTTGCATGCCTGCTACAGAAATGAAATTGATTATCCGACGACTTAGTCTTAGACGGGTACGTCCAGGAGAAAACAAGGATGTTCTTCTACTGAATATCTACTCCCGAACGATGACCACAAACACATCACCATAATCTTTCAACCGCGCTACATGTTCCCAATAGGTCGTGGACGTAGAACTGCTCGATGTTTGTTGTTGTTCACGAGACGATGAAGTAGTACAACTAGCTTTCCCGTTTTTCTCTCTCCATCTCCGCCACTCGTACTCCTGCAACAGTTTCGCGTATGTACTACGTCCATAGCGATGCACACTTTCTTGTTGCCGATAATTCTCTAGTTGCTTATACCTTCCTGCCAATTCCTGACGAATTTGAGGCATGGTTTTCACGTCATCATGAGGGTCCAACCTGCTTGACGATTGCGTACCGCGTGGACTACTTTTGCTCGATGTTGATCCAGAGACACCGCCAGGTACACTCGCTGTTGCTCTCCTCACGTCGATAGGCCCTAGACTCTGCGCGTTTTCTCCAGCATTTTGTCCTGTATGCGTGTAACACCAAATCACGCCCGCCTCACGATAGGCCCATGACCAATCCTCTTTTTTCGGCACCAAGCAGGGTTTCGTCTTACTGGAAGACGCTGAGCTGGTATTCGGATTAGCTCCAGCTTCATCAGTGAGACCTTCATCTCTTGGTCTCTTTTTTGACACTCTAGTAGTAGTACTTGATGACGTCGTACTCGTAGCAGCAAGATCAGGCCCAGCTGGTGTGGTCGTCTCATTCTCCAGCCCCGAAGCATCACCACTACCTTCTTCTCCGCTGCTAGAAGAAGAAGCTGAGGAGCTGAGCCAAAAAGGACACTTCGCATTGCTCCTAACGAGCAGAGCGTTACCTCTCTCCTTATCGCGCTCGCGCACCTTCCTAGCAGCTAACGAGGATGGCATTTTGGCTTTTGAGGTCGGGGTACGTTTTAGTTGGTGTCGTTGATATCTTCTTGACTTTGTATGAATAATGGCAAGCTAATGCTAAAAAATGTGGTGGAAGGATGTGGCTCTCTAAAAAATAGATCATGAAAGTCATAATACGAATATGAAGAAGATGGAGGAGGACGAGCAACTACGAGGATAACTTCTTGAATCAATCATGATGAGAACTTTTTCACATCAACTAGTACATCTGAGTGCTACTTTTCGTACGACTGTAGTAGCCTGACAATCTTTTTAATCTCCCACACCCTAGCTCTAGAATTTCACGTCCGTTTCCTGTTGTAACTACAACAATATCTGGTTTCATCTGTCGGCTTATAGAATGTAAGAGTCAATGAAAGTCTGAAGATGAGATGTTGATGTTCAAAAACAAACAACCAAATGAACGAGTACTTACAGGCACGGTCTCTGAGGAATTTAAGGCCTCCAGTTTCGTCGCAGTAACTCGAAATTGGCAGTAAACGGCCTCTTCATATAGAGCAGAGGTCGGAGTACCTGCAGCGATAGACGCAGGGTTGATAAATCCTTGTTCCTCTAACACATACACGAAATTGTTGCGTTGAGCAGGTAAGGTACAATTGATGCCCTACCGCTTGGCGAAAGAAGATGATTTCCACCTTTGCTCACGGATTCGCGAGATAAAAAATTCCGAAAAACAACTTCGTCCAATAAAAAATTCGGAAAAACGACTTTGCATCTTCATCAAAGGAAGACCGCATCAACAACACCCAGCCTCACAACTGTCCTGTGTCCTCAAGGATATCTTTCACAATAATTGATCGCAATACTTTGATTGCTGCATACGACAAGTGAATTTTAATCACCTACCCTTACTACCTAAGATGAAAGCCTAGTCGAGGTTTTCTAGGAGAGACCTCCCCACTTCTATCCAATTGCATCCCAATTCATCTTCACCCAAGACCCCGCCGCTACTTCAACAGCAACTTTCCCAAGCCCAAGAACGCTCAGTGAAACGTCGTTTCCTCAATCTTCTGATACTCTCCCAACGAGGAAGTTCAGTGAAAGAACGTCGTTTCCTCAATCGTCGACGAAGTTGTTCAGTGAAACGTCGTTTCCTCAATTGTCAAATGGCCTTGATCTGCAAAGCGGCCGAGAGAAACTCTTCCATCGTCATAGACGATGATCTCCGTGAGTCCGCAATTATCTCCTCGAAATCGCAACCAGGCCTCTGGAGGCACCTGCAACGCTCGACAAACGAAATAGCGATGTATTAGAGGACAATGTGGAGGTCCTTCTTGGCAGTGGAATACATAGAGGTGGTCGTTGTAAATTTTGGTGTTTCTCCATACTCAAGTTGTATATTAAATGTAGAGACCAGATCTACAGGGTTGTGTACGTGTACGTAGGAGTTGGAAATCATTTTTGACTCTGGTCTGAAGAAAAGATGAAGTGAGAGGAAGTTATCGTAAGCCATAATATCACATTCATGTGGCAAACAATCACCTCATATTCGTGCTTCGGTTCCTTTTTTTCTTTGGCCTGGTCGCTGTTTTGTTCTTTCAAGCGTGATAAAGGATTTGGTTTTGGTATTGTAAGGGTGCTGGTGAATTACTGATGGAAAGTTACATCAAAGAAAGCCGCTGGATCACGAGGATAGTCCTGATGAAGTTCTCCTCTTCTATGCGTAATTTGGTCTAACTAAGTACACTTCTAGTTCTAGAAGAATAGAAGGCTTTCGACGCACGTTTAACTTTAAGCTACAACTTAGCTAGTACCCCGCTGCACTGCCTCCGGTTCCGCCGTCCTTGTCTGCACCAGAGTAAGCTTCGGAGACAGCCTCTCTGTTACTGTTGACTTTCTTCCAATTTTCTTTGCGATGGACGTATTTCCGAAATGCTGACTCGATTCGCGGGGGATCCGTTCCTGGATTGGAGAGGGGTAGAAATGAGAGAAGGGAGACTAAGAGACAGCCCACCGACTGAGGCCCCTCACACGCCAGCCATCAGAGACAGTAGCCAGCTACTGGCCCCCACACTATTCACCCCACCCGCTCCCCCCAGCCTGATTACCTCAGCAATGCCGACCGAAGTGGAGGCCTTGGCACGACCTACTCCCCCTCCGGATTCTCCAGGCCATAACTTACTTAGCGCAGTCCGGCCAAATGGTAGGCCACCATACTCCCAGTTGACGCAGATGCGCCACTGTTCTGCCGGCCGCCTTCGCGTCCGTGCTCTCGTGGAGGTGCGCGTAGTGCAAGAAAAATCCCCGGGCAGTTACTCCTCCAGAGATACAGGTGAAGCGCTGCAACTCTTTCCAAAGAAAAGGACGGCGGCGCCCTCACAGTTGTCACCCATGCGCTGCGCCCGTCAGTAATGTAGGGCGCCACCTGGTTCATTAGCAGCTTTTTGCGTTCATAGCTGGGCAGCCCCGGCGGCGACGCCGTCCTGCGCAATGAGTAGAAAGCCAGCCCACCCGTGGCGGATGCAGCGTCTCAGTAGCCAGGTAATTGCTCTACGCCATGCAGAGCACTGACTCGCAAGACCTCAGCGCGCACCCACGCGCCGCGACCTTTGACGAGGTGCGTAGGCGTAAGCCCGTCGCGGAGCTCTGCGGTTGATTACGTGCCGACACGTGCAACGTGTTCACCAAGACGCCCCCAATATTCAGAACGCGGGCCAGTGCCGACCTCAATGGGGGCAGAGGAGTGCGCGGCCACGTCGTCGAACCCGTCTCCGACGTTCGAAATCAACTGGACCGAGCTGGTTCAGCTTCCTGCCACCCGCCGCATTTTCTCCAGTTGGCGGCCGTGCGTTCTTTGTCTGAATACAACGAACGAGCAAGCCGAAGGCTTTCAAACGCGTGCGCTCGAGGCCAGCAGAAGGAACTTCAAAAATGTAGGACAGGCGCGGGGCTCTCTAGTGGTCTTCGAGTGAACCTACCGCGGGCCCTGCCGAGAGCTCGTTCTCTAGCGCACCTACTTGCCACAGATAGTCGGGCGCGTGTGAGCGTGATTTTGTATAAGTCGCCGAATTAGCATGGTTGGAGCGCCGGGACGAGCGTCGTTGTCGTTCGTTGCATCCGCGCGAAGTTTATTGCGCTTGAATGAGCGCAGGGGCGTAGGTGAGGCAATCCAGATGCTGGGCAAGATCGTACCGCGCGCCGGCTTGTCCGGACCGAGTGCCGTTTGTTTTCAGCGCCGGCCTGTCCGGACCCAGTGCTGAGGAACAAAGCCCCAGCAGCGGCGTGTGTGATAGTGATAAAAATTGACGAGGGGAGCCGCTTCGCCATAGACTGCTGCGCGTCAAAAGTGGCGGGGACGATCCTCCAAGTTCCATGCATCACCACCGCGACACACCAAGGCAAGACGCGCGCCCTGGGCTTCATAGTGTAATCTAGCAACTCACGCAGGGCCGCACCGTAGTCAAGTGGCCCTTCGCTGCAGCTCCACGCTGCTTAGCTGCTGCGTTGTGGGCGGTCGCCTCGCACTCCGTCAAGCCAGGCGGTGCCCCATCTGTGGGACTGACTCCAAGCCTCAGCCCGTTGCGAGTTTGTTGCTAAAAGTCCAGAAAGTGGGCCAGTCATGACGACAAACAAGCGCCACAATGGAGAGGCAGTGGCCCCCTCCCTGCATGCTGCAGATTGAGACTGATCCGCCTGCCGGCGTTTGGTTGTTTGCAGACGTCAGCGAACGCGCGACCACTAGCGAGGCGGGCCGCCTCTACGGCGATCGAATCAATTCCACGGCCTGGCAGTCGGTAAACGTCAGCGAGCGCGCGACGACTAGCACCCGGGGGCTGCGCGAAGTGGGCCCATTAGGCTACTTACACCAAGCCGGAGGCCTTCGGCCCTGGGGCGAGGCCATTTCCCGGCCCACCCGGTCCGCCTGCGCTGCCTCGCTATAACGCCAAGAAGACGCCGACGGCAATGAAAACCCGACAACCCTGGGCGCATACAAACACGCGGGGGGACCTTTCACACCCGGGAGCGTCACACATTTAGCGGCGCTCCGCTGCATCACAGCACAGCTGCAACGCGTCCATCTTTTTCAACTCCGTCTGCCGGGCCTCACTGCTTGCAAAGTCTTACACATCCTACTAGTCAACACCAAGAAAAAAACTAAGCACCTAGCTTCGCCAATTTTGCCGAGTCAAGGTCCACTCCGTTTCCAGGATGCATGATGCATGGGCGACCTTCGTTCAGTAGGGGATCATATTCAGCGACAGTCGTGCCCAGCTCCTCGGCTAATATATCTGCGGTTTGCTTTGCTCGAAGTAGTGCTGAGGATGTGACTTTCTTCCAATTAATTTTGATTTCCCCATAGTGGTCTTGGAAATTAGAAGAAAAAAGGGAGAGAGAGGGCAGGAGTCTAGGGGAGAATGAAAGCACCAAAGCTGCGCATCAACAGATCGAAAAGAAAGCAAATTAATACGAACTGCAAATGGCAAAGAGATTGATTCATGTTGACCACAACAAACAACCAAAATGGTCGTCGACGGCGTAAAAAAACTATTAACAAAACCAGAAGTATCTAAGTCCTGTGAGCATAATTTTCAATCCATCTGCCATTTGTCGCAAGCGTCGACCCGTCTTGCGTGCCTGGTGTCGACCTAGCTCTGTGAGGCCCTCTTCGTCAGAATCCAGTTCGTACTGTCCATGTCTCACCAAGTATATGTGCCGAATCACTTGAGGCCGAGACTTCATCCTGATTTGATAAGAAAGAAGTTCAAGCCTGTGGCATGTAGTTGTAGTTGAGAAAGTGTGAGGTTCAAAAGTTATCGATCAGATCTGGCAGATTGGCGTAAAAAATTGGCTATAGACTACACCACGTTCAAAAAGCCATCATGCACGACATCAAGTCACGACAGATGATGTTAAAAAGTACACTGCCCTGATCTCCTCAGGTGGCTGACCGCAGTTGACTGGGTGTCTCGCATCCCAATCCTCATCCCACTGTCTGGACCAATTTTTCTGCGTCGCGCAATAGTAATCCGCATTGGTCCGTTCTGCTGCAGGCTTCAAACGCCATTGCTGGTCTAGAGTCAGTTTTCTGTTCTCCGAAGACGAAGATGAGGACTTTTGTTCTTCACAAAGCACTACCCGTTGACTACTTGGTGGAAAGAACCGTCTGCAACTACTTGGCGTTGAGTTGTAAAAAGCAGACCGATCGCTCTGCTGCTCTGGTGCATCGCGTTGCTGCTGTCCTAGAGCAGACCTGACGGCAGAAAAAACGTATTGTGGACGCCTCATCTTTTCTGGGAAAGCAAGGGAGTGTTGTAATAAGCTTTGCGTTTACAGCTTCTCAAGATGGAGATAACGCCATTTAGTTGTAGTGACTTAGAGGAGCAAGCAGAGGGCTTTGACGATTCTACTTGTTCTCGAAAAAAAACCTATCACCGACCACCTGCAGTTTGTGAAAACTAGGGATCTTCCTATTTCACATCGCATGCTGTCCCTGAAAGAACTGACTTCTGGTCTCAGATTTTTTTGCTGAACACGGATGATTTTGCAACACAAAAGCAGCAAAGAAGATGCTCTTTGTCAGCCGCAGCAGCGGAGTTACACACTATACATGAGAGGTGTGCATTTGGAATTCTTGGGAGGGATGTTTATGGCTCACGCAATGCATGCCATGCCATCCATGCCATCCAACATCCCTCTTACGAAGTGTGCTATTTATTATATATTGAAGATTTAGTATCCAAAGATATTGAGTAGTTCTTCTCCACAGCGTTCTTCTTTGCAAGAAAACAAAGAAGATCAGAATCAGGATCCGAAAAAGACAAAGAGGCCTTCAACACTTTCTATTTCATCTTCACGTTGCCTCTTTTCCTTCCCGTATCGGTATCTCTTGCTTCTGCTTCTTCTCCGACGTGTTTCTTGGTCTTGGTACAGCTACAGGTACTGGAGAATCGCTTGGATCTGCACTATCTTGTTCGGCTACACCAGAGGGAGACTCAACACCAGTGGGGCCACTAGAGTTCTTCACCCTGATTTCATCTTCCTTCGCCAAAACTGTGAGAATATTCCTGCTGTAAGTGGAAGCTTCCATCAATAAGCTTCCAGGATTGCTGTTGCTTCCACTGTTTTTCATCTTATTTTTGAGTCCATCACCAACTCGAGAACCGGATTCCATCAGACCTAGCTGCAATTTCTTACGCCGCTCCCCAGCCAGGTTTTCGATCTTCTTCCTTCTTTGACAGGCGCGGAACAGCACAAAACTGGACACCAGCAACACGGCACCAGCAATGCCAATGGCAATGTAGAGAAAAAGTTCGGTTACTGCCATTTTTCTGTCATTTACTTCTTGTTAACCTCGACTACCTAGGCTTCCCTTTTCTCATATTCAAGGTAAGAAGAAATTGAAAGCGTGAGGTATTGTTCGATCGTTGTGTAATTGATACCGTTTAGATTTTTAACTGCACAATCAACACCATGTATGGTGGATGTGATCATTACAGACGAGCATGTCTTCTCAACTGAACAAACTTCTCTCGGGAGGTTGTGCTCACGCTCATGTTCTTCTGACAGAATGATAGGAAGCCTTGATTGCTTCAGATGAAAACAAAGTCTGGGCTTAGGGCTCAGGGTCGTGGTCTGCTCTCGATGCACCTCTATCTCAGGAATCTACGTGCAACGGTTCATTCCCCTCTCTTGGAGTGTTGTTGATAACAGTTGTAGTTCTGCTGGTCAAGTCCTGGAATGTTGCAGTTGTGTGTTAGTTCAAACGAAATGGAAACTATCTTCGTGGTTGTTCAAAAATTGAAAAATGACTCAAACTCAGTCCTTCTCCTTGATCTCGAAATTGTAGTAGTTCTACTTCTAATTCTAACGAGTACGAAAAAAATTCTTGTACAACAACTGTACACTTTTCATACACGACTGTCTTACCTCTCGTTCTCTTCCTCTTTCTCCTTTCCGCTTCCCCACAAGACTCATTACAACATTCTTCCACGTCTCTATGCTTCCGATTTCCGACGCTTCATCTGTTTTCTCCAAAGCCTCAACATCACAGCCCGGCTTGATCCCGGCTTCGCTTATTCGTTTTTCTTTCTTGCTGCTTGTCCAGAGTGGCTTGTGCTGCCTTCGCCGCAGATTTCGCTACTTTTGTATCGAAAAGCAAGAGGGATTAGAGCATAGAGATAACAAGTAGCAAGTAACCCGGTGTGGAGGTTGTAGAAACTGTAAGTATAAGTATCTCGGTGTGGCTGTGCAAAAAGAAATAGATGTAAGAAGCACTGTGCTGTACCAGAAAAAAGTAGTTTTGTTGAATTTGAAGTAAACTGTCCATAAGGAAAATAGCTGCTTGATTCTGGTAGAAGGTAGACCAAGGTGTAGTCCATCATCGCCTGGATTCCACATGCCATTCCGATAAAGGAGAGGAGGATTAGAGATGAATCAGAAATAACCACATTATGATTCTCATAGTTGACAACATTCAACAATTCATCAAATACTACACCTACTTGTCTTTGTGGTCCTCTCTATTACATAATAATATAGACCGCCTTTCAGTCCTTCTTCCCAACAACTTTTTTCTTGAAGTAGTCTAGACAGTAGTAATTACTCCAATCTAAAACTCAATCTCATTTTCTCATAAACACAAAATGCTGAAGTACAGGGGTTTGAACTGAGCATATTCTCCGCTGATTCTGGCAGTTATCGCCACTCCGTGTCCTCGAAACAACCATCGATGCTGCCTCCCTTCCGCGTCCACTCCAAGTTCCAGGTCCGTCATCACTTTCCTATACTCCATACTATCGACGTCAGCGGGTAGTCGAGAGAATTCAGGTTAGAAGATGACATGCCTAAATCTAGTACATGTAGGAAGATGATCATAGATTATATTTTGGATTCGACGTAGCAATACTAGGAGATGACTTCAGTACACAACATAAGTTGTACAACAGAGAGACCAACATAATTGTAGGTATAGGAAATCGGCTTGTATCCGAAGGTGCTTCCCCATGGCACTAGATTGGTCCACACCACGTCCATCTGGATTGCGACTCCTGTTTCCCGCCAAGTGCGTCTGTCATCACTTCTTTATTAGACATCGTGGGAGGTCCGGGTCGTACGGTTACGGGTACAGCATTCTATCTAAATTAATGATCGGCAAAAGTCGAGGTCTGACGTCAGGGTTTTAAGGGCGAGCAAGGTGAACCACAAGGGGCACAAATCAACGGGCCAGGACTCTCAGAGTTTTAAGGGGAAAGCCAGTGAATTCCCAGGGAGTGCGTCTGTCATCCTGGAGAGTTCTTTATTAGAGGTCGTGGGAGGTCCGGGTCGTACGGTTACGGGTACAGCATTACATTATATTCCTTTCTTGCATACTTTCACTCTCAACTTGTAGATGTCGAATTCGGAAGGAAGGCAAGAATATTGAATGGCTGTGCGCAGTGCCTTGAGGGGAACTTGAATCTACGACTATATAATTGGTAGATTTGGTTTTTGCGCGTACTTACTTTGTAACTATAAACTACTAGTAGAAAGGACTAGAACATATAATAGAGAGTTTCGCGCTTTCCGGATCTCTGAAATGCATGGGATGGATTGCATGCATGGCAATGGATGGCACTATTTAGAACTAAGGTTTTTCTTTCGGGGCGCCCGAGGGCGCCATCGTCCGCACTCACTGTAGTCAAGTTTCACCTTCCAGCAGCTTGGGCACAAGCAACTTCGAAGCATTCGCATCCGGGCGCAGCATACGCAGGCTACAGTCAGAACACCCCCCCCAGAGACCACCTCCCCAACGCCGGCAACGCAGGGGACCATAGAGACGCGCCGTAGCCTGTGCACGCAAGAAAACTAGCGCACTTGCCGCGTGCAGTCCAAGGCTAGACTGAAAGTCAGACGCCACTGCATTCCTGTTACTTCTAATGCGGGCCCATAGCGAAAAAGTATAAGCATCAATATACTGCAAGCACACTGGTCGCAAGCATGGCAATGCCATCCCGGGGGGCAGTGGGGGGCTCCATAACCTAACGCCTTAGGCACTTACGCCCATCGACCACCACGCACTTACTTAGGGGCCCGGCTTCTATCTAGCTGCGAATATCTAGGCTAGTTCGCTGGCATCTCCAACGCGGCCAGGCGTTAGGCGCTCTGCGTCCTCCCTGCAGCCAGCTCGAACCGAAAGGGAGCCCACGCGCGGCCTCACCCCTACGAGAAACGGCCCCCCTATCCGCGGGCGGGCAATGCAAAACGAGATAAGCAAGGCAACGGCCCTCCCGTGGCCTTGTCAGGCGGGGCGCTGCGTTCAAGCAGAGAAGTGGGCGCTTCCCCTTTAAAAAGGTCACGCCTTCGCTCCGCCTGGCCATGCCATCCATGCAATGCATTGCAATCCATGCAAGCCATCATCCATCTTAGGAAGTGCTCTAAATTATAAATATGAAATATGTATGACCCTCCTCCCGTAAATTTGATTCTCAATCTGATCTGCACCTCGGGGGCTGCTTCTGTGCGTACCAGAACCTCGAGCAGGACTTGTACCAGAATTTTTTCGTGCTGTTTTTTGTTCCTGACGTCGTAGAAGACGTTTTTTCTTCGGTTTCCTACGTCTTGGTGACGTTCTCGAGCTGGCTGAGTACATGCCTCCTTCTTGGACAACAGGAGGAGCACGTGGATATATTTGACCTCCACTAGAAGTTGTACTAGTACTGTCTTCATTTTTACCAAGAACATGATTAGGACCACCTTCTGCCATTTTCGTGCTTGATGCAGGAGAAGTATCTCTAGTACCTCCTTGTTCATCATGTTGATTCGACCCTCCTCCTCCAGCAGCTCCAACAATGTTGTAGTTCATCTCCTTCTCCACTGGGACGTCCACTCCACTGGGACGGTAAGGGTCATCTTCCTTCTCACTGATATCATCACGAGGACCTCCACTGGGACGGTAAGGGTCATCTTCCTCCTCACCTTCATCAGTATCAGTGTAGTTGTCATCTTCCTCCTCGTCTTCATCTACGGTTTTCACCTCCCCTGTAAGATCGTCGAGGTTGATTCTTGCCAGTTCTAGTATCTTGCCCAGCGTAAAAAAATCGTAGTCACGGTGTTTGAACGCGCCAGAGCCGCGTATCTTTCGGAAGTACACTTCGCGCAAATTACCTCTCAAAGCGCCACCAACCTCCGTGTCGAAATCGATGTTCTTGTCAGGAGGAGGTCCCGTTGTGCCAGCACTGGTTGTCCCACCAGGAACTGGCTGTGAAGTTGATGTGCCACCTTCTCCGGTTGTACTTGAGAGACCACCAGAAGGAGGTGTTGGTGTGTCTTCCACGATTGGAGCCTGTTCTACATGCGCGACGCTTGGCGAATTCAGTGCGAGAGGCAAAGGCATTGCCGATTCAGACAGAAGGGACGAAGAAGATGCTGTAGTTGTTGTAGAACTCCTGTCTGCCACACCTCTATTTGTTTCTCTTTCGACTTCACCATTTGCCCCAAAAGAAGAACTTGAGCTTCCAACATTTTCTCCTGCATCTTGTGTAGTTGAGACTGTTATTTTTATTCGTTCTTGTTCGCGTTGATGAATGTCTAACACTGAAGTAGATGTTGAAGTAGATGTCTTCTCCTCTACTCCTGTTGATGGTACAACTCGTGGTCCTCGTGGAAGTGCTGCATTGGGAACTTGTCGATCCTCTACTTCAAGTCCGCCAAAGACGTAATTTCGAATGAGATTCCTTGCCCGACTCCACCAAGAACTACTCGTTCTTCTTGAGGTTGCTTCTGATGGCGGAACATTTGCGAAGCTACTGCTCGACGCTGTTGTTCTTGAGTCTTTGCTACTAGTTGGTGTTTTCAGCATAGATGAAGATGATGCACCTTTTCTTGTAGTTTTTGAAGCTCCTCCTGGACGATGTTGTTGACCCATCTTCTTGTGGTTGCGTCTTGTCTGAGTCAGCATACTGGACTTAGAGGCAGATGTGCCCTGCCAATAATCACGACCCGCCTCTGCTAGGTAAGCTAGACGTAGGATGAACTGCGACAGGAAATCGCTGTCCATATTCTGGTTGACGCGCTCGCGCAGCATGTGTTGCGTATTTGCGTGATTTTTCTGGTGCGGGAACATGGCGATTGGACGATCTCCTTCGACTTCGCTAATATGTTCATCATCATGATGCGGCCGATCTACGAGATCATCATGCGCCCCTTGATAATTGGCGTGATTCCCATCTCCTACTACAACATGCTCCTGCGCACTCGTCTGTTGATCGGAAGAAGATGATGAAGAAGAAACCTCGAGAAACGAAACAGCATCACCCGGCTGGAAAGAAGAAGAAAGTTGCTGTTGTGTGGTTGCACCACTTTGATCGACGGTGGTCGTGCCTAAAGGAATGCTGCTCCTGGTGGCACCACTTTGATCGACGGTGGTCGTGCCTAAAGGAATGCTGCTCCCAACTGGTGTGGAGGTACTAGACGAGGACTGATCAAGTCGTGCAGGATCTCCAGGTCCAGTGGTCCTACTTCTCCCACCAGTCTCGACAGAATCAGAATCTGCTTCATCAACCATTCTAGAAGTTGTTTTCATCTGTTCTTGCCGTTCCTTCTCTTCTGCATTCCGCTCGAGTAGCCGTCGCTGCAGTTCGTCATCCCGCAAATGCTGTAGATGACGGGCTGTGTCGTAGTCGCCCATTTGCCTAGCCAACTCCGCCTTCTCGTCCAAGGGTATGCGCCTGCTGCACCCTCTAGGGTCAGCGCAACGCATCGCATGACTCTCCCGCTTCAGGTCTAGACAGCGCGAGGTCTCCTGCGTCCTCGAATGATTAGCTGAGGAAGAGGTCGTGAGGGAGTAGAGAGGGCACCAAGTAGAGGGAGGTGAGCGCGGGAAAACAACAGAGACTTACTAGACTTCATCCTGACAAGCAAAAAAAACAAAATCTACTGGATCTTTCCTACAGAACAACAGTATATATGTTGGTGGAGCAGCCCTAAGAACTAGAAAAAACAAAAACCGAAAAAAGAAATGGCAGGCAAGTATTTATCTACTACGAACTAAGCGCCGGCGCTGTCGTGGTCCTGTCAGCCCCAGAGGTCTCACCTTCGAAGGCAGGACGGAGCCCTGTGCAACGTCTCCAGTGAATGCTCAGTTCTATGGTTGTGAACAGAACTACACTATATACTTAACTAATATTCTGTGAGCATCATGATCTTCGACATCTTAACCGACATCCCTTCTCCCGATCCAGCTTCTGTACTCATGAAGGTTTTAGCTGTTTTCGCCAGTCTGTATTCGAAGTCGGAGCACTCAGATGTTGCCGGCACCAGTTTTTCAAAGTGGACGTGTTTCCTCTGCGGATCCTGCGGAACTTGGCGGAAAACGGGTCTTACTTTGATTAGGGGAGCTCAAAATATAAGCTTTGAAGCAGAAAGAACCTATCAATTTATATATTTTTAGAAAAACATAAAGTGGCACTTAGACGCATCTTGTTTTCTCCTTGAGAGAAGCCTCCCTCCCCCTCGGGTACTTCTCCTGGGAAGATGGATTACAGATAGTTATTCCGTAATTTTATCAGATAGTTCAACGCATCAGTGGTGATCAACAGATAGTTGTTCCGTAATTTTATCAGATAGTTCAACGCATCAGTGGTGATCAACAGATAGTTGTTCCGTAATTTTATCAGATAGTTCAACGCATCAGTGGTGAAGAAGCGAAAAGGCTTCCCCACGCGGCGAAAAGGTCCAGGTCGCATCTTGCATTCGGGGTACAAGTCTACGTCACGGCGAGGAGGTGCTGGGTCTTCTACATGCTCATGTTCATTGCTCGACGTGGTTGGTACTAGCTTGTTCGGATTCGTGATATGATGCCATGGTTTCTTGCCTGATGAAAAACTGGAAGGACGTTCATTTTCCTCCACGACACTACTTCTTTGTGAGTGTTCACCGAATAAGTCCTCGGTTCTTGAGGGTCGTTCTTGTCGACGTTGTTCCTCCAGTACGACAACTACTGGCTTGTCCTCGTCGTGCTGGTTGTTGTACTTCTTCTTGTAGTTCTCCGCGAATGGATTTATTCTGCCACTAGAACTAGTAGTCCTCGTTTTCAATCCATTTTTTTCACGAGCAGGAGAGTAGACGTTTCGACCACCCCGTTTGTATGGGACGAAGAGACCAGGTACGACTTCGGCCATTTTCACATGCGGACTCGACCGATCCTCAGGATGCAGATCATGATGGACCACCGTTAGCGCTTTCTGCACGAAACTCTCATCTTTCAACATTAGAGGTAGGCTTTTGGTGCTCGCTTACCCCGCTTGTTACGCCTTTCCCCTCCTAAGGGAGAGAGGCATAAAAAGCGGTAAGAAAAGCAGCTTTAACCTACCCTTAACAACAGTAGTTGTTCTGCTGCTCCTGCGGATGCTGATGCTGCGGATGCTTCGGATTCATGCAATAAGGAGTGTTCTACTTGAAGATGTTTATCAACAGGTACTGCTGCTCTCTGTTCCTTTTCCACTAGTGACGACGGCGAGGACGAGTCCTTTTGTTCCACTAACGAGGACGAAGAGGGGTCCATCGTGCTTGCTTGCAGACTCTGAGCCATTTTCTCAATCGCCTTTTTTTCAGCGATTCGTCCACGGGCACTTGAATCTAGCTCATCGCCGTCACACCACTCGACAGCTGCGGGAGCTTGCAGCTCCAGGCTGCCGTGTGTAAGCTGAAACATCGAGTTGCGCTGCGACGATAAAGGACTGTACTTGCTGTCCGTGTCGATTGGCAGGCATCGAAGGCGAGAGCTCATGATCGTCCACGTCGTTGTTGACGTCATAGAAGTTCGTGGACTGTCCGTTCTTGTTATTGCTTCTTTTGGTAGATCTGAGGAAGGAACTCCTGCTCCACGAGCTACAGTAGAAGTAGATGTTGCCTCAGAAGAAGGAACTCCTGCTCCTACGGAATCCACTCCACGAGCTACAGTAGAAGTAGATGTTGCCTCAGAAGAAGGAACTCCTGCTCCTACGGAATCCACTCCACGAGCTACAGTAGAAGTAGATGTTGCCTCAGAAGAAGGAACTCCTGCTCCTACGGAATCCACTCCACGAGCTACAGTAGAAGTAGATGTTGCCTCAGAAGAAGGAACTCCTGCTCCTACGGAATCCACTCCACGAGCTACAGTAGAAGTAGATGTTGCCTCAGAAGAAGGAACTCCTGCTCCTACGGAATCCACTCCACGAGCTACAGTAGAAGTAGATGTTGCCTCAGAAGAAGGAACTCCTGCTCCTACGGAATCCACTCCACGAGCTACAGTAGAAGTAGATGTTGCCTCAGAAGAAGGAACTCCTGCTCCACCTGAACCTGTTGCCTCAGAAGAAGGATCCACTCCACGAGCTGTTGTAGAAGTAGATGTTGATGCCGCAACGTCCTCGTCGTCAGCTAAACAATACGGGAGAGACTGAATTGGCGAGGCGTATGACAAGCACGTTGAAGTTTTACTGCTCCATAGGTCGTCATCTTCTTCAGCGGGAACCCGTTGCGCTCCTTCGCCTCCTTCGCTGAAAGAAGAGCTGCCAGATGTAGTTGGGTTCATAGTTTCGTAGAAGAGTTCTGCCATGGTGCCCACGTTTTGTTCAACAAAACTACGAGTATTAGAAGAAGAAGAAGTACTATAATCGTCCTCGAACTCGAACCCTGGCAAGCCGTCTTGCGTATGGCAGTTGTCTACACTCGGAGGCAAGGCCGTCATGTAAACATCCCCCGTTACTTCCTGGACAGAAAAGTGCGAATTCAAAGGGATTAGAAGAGAAGGGCAGGACGAGGTGAACGAGGATGGTGGAACAGTGAGGGGAAGTGAAGATGAAATAGTAGGAGAACAACCAGAAGTTTTTAGTAGATCATCTTCTACTTGAAGTTTTTAGTAGAAAGATCGTCCCGCAAAAATAAAAAAGCTTAAAAAATAAAAGATTTAAAGTCGATGTTGAGAATTGATAAATGAGCGGGGACGGGCGGCCAACGCCAAATATAAAGGAATAGTTCTTGTATTAAAACTCATACCAGCATTCCAATTTCCAAACCAGCAACACCTCCATGACCATCAACAAAACTTACTACAACTGCTAAATAGTCCCTAGGTAGGCAACACTACTGATCATAAATACAATATCCGGTAAACGAAGATGTAGAAGGCTGCGGAGAACATCAAGGCGTAGTAGAGGAGGCCCAGTCGTACGTCGTAAACTCTTACGAATTTGTAGGTATCGTATCGCGCAAAGGTTAGAAGATGTGATGTAGTCAGTTGTAGATGATGTGTAGGATGTGCAGGACGAAAGGGAAAATTGATGTTGTTGCTGTGGATGTCGTGTATCGGCATGGAGGTGTTGTAGGAAATAAAGGTGGAAGATAAGCAGGGAATGCATTTTTCGACAAGAAATGTAGAGTCATCTTCTGCTGCATTCTGGGGACGTGTTGTTGTTTTTGATATGAATCTCAATTTGTTCTACTTCCAGATAAATTTGCGTTTGGACAACATGCTCCTCATGTTCCCACATCACATTCACCCATAAGTAACGATCATGATGACATTTATCACACAAGAACAGGTTTTTTTAATACTTCCACTACACTATAAGTAAACTACCAGTCGTGACATCATCCATAAGTAAAACCGCGACTGAGAAGCCACGTAATTGAGAATCTTAGCCGACGTTTGCACAGCAAAACCCTCAGCCCAGTACTCTTGTTGCGGTTGTGCTCCTTGCGCTTCTTCAGCAGTTGCAGTCTCTGATTCTAGAACTCCTAGACCTGCCTCTTTGTCCTCTTCAGCGGAAGAAGAGCCTGATGATAATCGCCCAGCAGGGGGAACGTCTTCATCGGCAGACGCGCCTAGGAGGCCTTCGTCACCACTTACTTCGCCTGCTGACATCGTGAAGATGATCGTGTCTCGTGTTATGTCATCTAACCTTCAACATCAAAGATCATACGGGACAACATGATCAAGACCTTGCTGGTACAAGCGGCCCTACAAGAACTAGTAACTATAATATGTGTTTGTTGTTACCCGCAGCAGAAACTTGTCCTCTTTTTTAACTAATTTGTGACAGATAGTGTTGTAATCTATATCTATGCACAACAAGGCGAAAAAAGATGCAGATGAAAAACCAAGGCGCAAGATCGATAAACCGGGATTCGAAAACGCCAAATGGAAAATAATATACCAAAATGTTGTCTTTTCAATAAATTTCAACTTTTTCTACTTACATTTTTTGAAATAGGTTTATCGCATGCAGGGGTCATGGTACTATACAGACACGAGGGGGCAGGACGAGGGGCAGAAAAGGAGCACCGAAGGAGTTCCACATTGACTACAGTATCCTGGTGAAGCAACCGAACGAAAGTACAACCTGTACCGCCGACCCGCTACCCGAAGACGTCAGCAATCAGCTGGCCTCCGCAGGGCACCGCCGTCCCCGCAACTGCGACTGCCGCACCTCTACGCTCAGGGAGCGATATGAGGGAGCGACGTTGTTGTCCACACCGCGTGGACCGGAGCCAGATAAGTAATTTTGAATCCATACCACTTTCGGTCCATTTCGTGCACAGAAAAATCGAACCCTCTTGACTAAAGAACGATCATTGCATGCTTAACACAGATCCTCCCGAGCCTCCAGTAACAAACAAGAATGCGATGAAAGTAAGTAACTTCCTGGCGTAATATGGGCAGTCAAGCGCGTGTAGACGAGTAGGTCTTGCTGCGTGAAATGCTTGTTTCGCATAACAAGGCACTTCTTCCAAACTATCTTCACTAAAGTGTTCTGGTCCGAGTTTGAAGTCCGAAAAAATAGACGAAGGCCATCAAAGTAAAAAGTTGATGGACATGGACGAAGAATTAGGCTTCTTCTCGCTTGTAATGAAGTAGCATCAACAAGGCTCTTAAGGAGTACATCTTCATCTCGTGGTCTCCAGATGATGAAGAACACGACAAACTATTCTCATGTTGTCGTTTCTTAACTACATCTTCATGTGAAGATCATCAACAATATGCACATCGACAGTGATGTATTAAGTACACTCTTCTAGTGAAGATGTGAATGGTGGGTGTTATCTATTCAACTCTCGTCCGATAAAGGATGAGACGACCCTTTTATCCGTTCTGGCATTCCCTGCAAGTTGTAAGCAAATTTCATCGAAAAATATGCACAATCATGATATAAATATGAGACAAGGTGCTGGCACCACGAGAAACAGTAAAAACAAATGTGTTGACCGTTTTCGTAGGACGAAAACTTGATGTGAAAATCCCAAGAAATTTGAGTGAAATGTCCTGTTACCCGAGGTCCTCGATTATTTTTCCTCATATTTGTAGATTTTTGTTGGTGTACAGAGAGGCAAAAATCAATTTGATCGACTTCAATATTCCAATCGGGAAAAAATAGATGGAAATGTCTTGCTATCAATGTTTTTATCCAGGAAAATTTAGTTAAAAGATACAAGGAACTTCTACTGCTAATGTAACCATAGAGACGTCGCTGATGGATCACTTTGATTCGGAGCTGAAGCTGTATAGCTCTTTTGATACTGAGATACTTGTCGGAATCAGTATGCTTGGCTTCTAATAGTAATATTGCTAGTTAGTAGATAACTTAAATTGGCCAGCGCCGATGTCGGAATCGAATATGAAGATTTGCATTTGGTTATCGTTGTTGAAGGTGGGTCGAGGTCCTAGACTTATCGATATTAGTTGGTATTGTAGTGGAGGAGGCGACGACTTTGCGTGATTCTCAATTTGAAAACACAGCTAGCTTAGCCTTCATGATAGAATGCGGATCCGGCAATAATATCATTTTCTATTACATTAAACGGCAAACATCGACACTTGTAAACTGACAAAAGGAAAGAGAACATTGTCACCACGATTAGTTTCAGTAGGGCATCGAAAAAGGGTAATATTTCGAATAACTACAACATTACTTTGCGAAAAGTAGATTTAATTTTGCTGTTCGTTGGCTAAAAAAGAACAGGATGACATGAAGTGTTAGCATTAGCATCTGAGGTTGTATAATTAGGAATTTAATACGAGTGAATTTACGGTAGATTTTTCAATAGTTTTAGGTTATAACCTTTTTAAGATTTGGAACGAATTAAGTACTTGTTGCGCCTGTTGTTGCTATGTATTGATTTAGGTATTCAGTTTAACAGACTACTTCTACTTAACAACTCCACTCGCCAGAAGTTGTTCTTACAAAACCTCATCCTTGAAGATATCGTCAGCGTTGAAGAAAGACTTCAACGGATCAGCCACAGCCTTCGTCAGAGGATCCGTAGTCGCCTTCAAAGGATCCACCGGGTTCAACAACGGGTCTGGTGCCGCAAACGATGTATCAAAGGCGGCAAAAGGGTCTTCATCCTCTGCTACTGGAGCTGGTTTTCCACTTGTACTCGTAGTAGTTGCTGGTGGCGGTGGAGGTGGTGGAGTAGTGGTCGTGGTGGTTGTTGTTGAGCTTGTCGTTGGGCTTACTACAGGTACAGCGCTGGTTGTGGTTGTCGTGGTTCCGACTGGTGCTGGCCCAGCTGAAGTTGTGATGAATGGGTTAGCATTTTCCGCAGTTGTTGTATCCACCAAATCCAACTCTTCTGCAGTACCAGTACTAGTGTCGATTTGCGCTGTTTCTGCAGGCGCTGCTTCTGCAGGCGCTGTCCAGGCCTGAGATGGTGGTGGAGGTGGCGGAGGAGCTCCTGCAGACGTAGATGTTGTCTCAACTCCCGGTCCTGCAGGAACTACAGCATCACCTGCAGACGTAGATGTTGTCTCAACTCCCGGTCCTGCAGGAACTACAGCATCAACCGGTCCTGCAGGAACTTCTACAGTAGATTCAGTCGTAGTACCTCCAGAGGACCTCGCTCCACCGCCTGCAGCTACAGAAGTTACTCGTCCCGCACTTATCACACTAGCAGCACTGACGGAATTAATCGTGGAAAGACTGGTTGTTGATGCTACGTTTTTGAAAGCTGCTGCAGTTGTTGTAGATGATGAGTTAGAGAAGTTACTTCTTTCCACAGGAGCAGCTACTCCACTAGGAAGTCCAGTCGTAGTTCCACCGCCACTGCCTCCACCTCCACTAGGAACAGCAGCACTCGTGTTCGGTGTGCTACTATTAGCACTACTGCTTAAATTATCGCCAAAAGTCACGTTTTCTAGCGTTCGCCTGGGTTTAGAACTACCGCCGGTTCGCCAAGTTTCGTCACCAGGTTCGCTGGCGGAGACGGAAACCTGGAAGGAGGAGACGGATCACGAGACTGCGTTACTAGGATTCAACTTTTTTAAATACCTTGTCCTCGCAACTTTTCATCTTGATACTTCTGGAAAGACGTTTTGATCGATCTCCCAGTGGTTCTCCAAGCAGTCATGCGTGATGATGTGAATCTACTCGGCGACTTGCCTAAGATTTCCCTGATGACTTCTACCCAAGCAGTCACACATAAGTACATCTTGATCCCAGCAGTCACACATAAGTACATCCCAGCAGTCATACATAAGTACATCCCAGCAGTCACACATAAGTACATCCCAGCAGTCATACATAAGTACATCCCAGCAGTCACACATAAGTACATCCCAGCAGTCACACATAAGTACATCTTGATCCCCATATATAATCTATTATAGTGAGACTCCCCTTTACAGGCTACTGAGTTAGGGTCTTGAAATTTTATCAGTAATTGTCTCTTATTTCCAAAAAATTCTAGTGGTTGAGCTGAATCACAAATAAGACACTCACCATAGCACTTAATGCTAGGACTTGTGTGCTCGTATGTATTCTCCTATACATAAGTACATCTTGATCCCTAGATGCAAGCAGCTCGAGATCCGAGTAGGAAGCGTTGGCTTTTACTGGCCCACCGTCTTTTTTTTCGTCTCCCGTCCTGATTTGCTGCTCACCCGGACCGCGCTTTAAAGCTGTTTTAGGTGGATATTTGAGTTATAATTGCTGATTTGGTCGCCTGGAACGCACATTAAAACTGTTTTTTTAGGATACTTAGTTTTAGTTGGGTTTTCATCATAGAAATTCAACCCGGCACGGGCTCATTTACAGGACGCTTTTTCATCTGTGAAGGAGTGTTCTTTTCCAATTTTCAGTCCTTTTCCGTTGAAACATCGTCATTTTTCGGGACAGGTTTGGTGGGGCTTGGGACGGAAGGTCATCATCCGGGTAATACTCGGAGAGGGAATTGTGACGTCGCTGTTTTATTGCTTTTCATCGTCTTTTTATTGACACCAAGAGTAATGACGAGCACTCTCTGGATTTCTCTGGAAGGACCGACCAGTAGATTGGGATTGGATGCTTGCGTATAAACTTCTACTCTCATAATCTCTATTAAGCTCAACTCTTCCACTCCTGTCTACATCGATTTTCTCGTCAGATTCTTCAGCCACTACGAGGATTTTTCTTTTTGGGATGGATTTTGAGTCATAAGAACGTAAATACCCACCCACCTTCAAGTGCTGGCTGCCACGGACCATAACGCAGTAGAGCCGTGTATTGCGAGGAGGTTCTCCTCGATTGTGTCGTCTGCCCCAGCATCATGATCGCTTTTGATCAGGATGAAAATTTGATTGCGATTTCTAGGAACGTGTGTTGCTTGCAAGGTATAACGCCTCGCTCCACAGCAAGAAACATATATGTATATCCCCAACGAAGTGGCACATTGGCGCACACTCCAACTTCAAGCATGAAAATTATGACTCAGGTGGAAAAAATGGTCATATTTTATGACAATTATGGCGGATAGGAAGTACTAGATAAGAAGTAGTAAGCAGGAGAAGTGTAAACTAATAGTGGGAGTAACATCATTCAAGGAAGGTACAACTCAGTGCAATCAATTTTGATGCAGTTGCAATGAACAAGAAGTCAATAACAAAGTGTGCAACATACGAACAAAAGTCAACACATCAAGAACAAGAATGTGAACTTCAGATTTGTGTCCTGCAAGGAAATCCGCGGCGGCATCCTTGCGCTAGACATCAGTGACAATGTCCCTCGTCTTATTTTACCCACTTCTCCTCTTTCAATCATGTACTTAATTTTCATGGAAATTTGCACCCAAGATAGGCCTCTTCTACTGGTATGCTGGCAACCTTTAGTAGGATATCTGCCTGATACAACACTGATTCTGATGGTGATAGCTAACCAAAACCATGCTAATAAACGGAAGATGTTGTCCATGATAATATCAAGTATTTCAGACGATGAGAACATACAGACACACTACAGCTTTTCATGTATTGTACCCAGTATCACCGAGACTGAGACAGTCTTGTACCGAGTTCGAGTACCTATTACATCAACTGAATTATCAACATGATAATCGAAGTCAACCACAACCACTCGTGGGGCTTTGATATTGATGTTGGTGTCCAAAGATGTAAGTGGTTGAAAGTAGTCCAATTCATCATGTACAGCTAATTGTGTGATATATGTTGTCAAATAAGAGAACTGAGTATAAAAATCTATTGATGTGGTCAACGACCAACCAAGTATACCACGAAGAGCCACAGATGTAGTTATGTATGATGAGTACTATGAGGATTCCTTGTCAGAAGGATTCAATCATTTCCAAGAAGTAGATGATCCTTGAACGGCTCCTGGTGACATTCATTATTAACGTTTACTCTTTCAAGCTCACTTTTTAGAACAACTTTTGCCATATGTCGTTGTACAGGAAATACTCCGTTGATGCCCGAAAGATTTTTTTTCGGGCGATCGAAAAAGAGTGTTTATTCCCAAGACCACTGATTACTTCTGCTCTTCGTCCAGGCATATTCCATCGAGCTACAACGTTGTGAATCAGCTGCCACCAAGTCTAGTCCCTTCTCCTTGAGCACCTTCTTGTTGCAAAGGAGCGAAAGAGTTATGGCAACATTCGCGTATCGCGCTTGCACCACCGAAGACGGCTGTGACCGGATCAAATGCCCTTGCACTTGCTTGATCGTTCTCTAGCAGTGGCAACGAGCTCTGTAACGAGCTCTGTGGATGTTGTTGGAACCCAGCAGAGGACTGTTGAGGTTGATAGCCAGTAAGCGGGCCGCCTTTGAAGTCTAAGTCAAGCATGTCGACCAAATCGTGCTTGTTGCCAATGCCGCCAGTGCTAGCATAGTGCGGTATAGGTGGATGGTGAACGCTTGGAGGATGGGTCGGTGATGATGGCGCACTGCGGATCTGCTGCTGCGAGTCTCCAGGAAAGCCTCCGTTACAGCCCTGTTGCTGCTGCTGGTGATCAGCGAACAGTCCACCTCCTAGATGGTGAGGTAGACCTGCTCCGCCTGTGGTATTTCGTAACCCTGTTGCTGGGCTTGTAATTGATGTATCCTGTTGGTGCAACAACATCCTAGTACTTGTACACGCATCTTGATGGTCCTGCTGACGGTGTTGTTGACTCTGTGCTCCCACCTGGTTCTGACTACCTGCTTGAGGACTAATGCCTTGTCCACCTTGAGCTGCGAGCGACCCCGAACTTTTACTCATACTCATCATCATCTCTGGAGCAGGTGTGCTTGTCCTAAACGGTGCTGGCTCAGAGTTACAATTCGAAGGAGGGGCTGCAAAATTATACTCAAGAGGCCGTGGAGCTGGAGCTGGAGATTGTACTTGTTGTCCTTGTTGATGTCCTTGTCCTTGTAGTTGTGCTTCTACTTGTTGTCTCGAGCTCGACGACGATGATGTTGTGTGGTGTGACTGCGAACCCATAGTACCCATTCTAGTTTCAGTCTTGAGAAAGTCCAAATCTGAATTTCGCGAGGGACGGTCCGATAAGATGTCGTCGATCCGCGCACTATTTTTACCTTCTCGTCCAGGTTCATCTTTCTGGCTTGTTGTCCTTCTCAACAATCGCTGGGCAGCATTATCTGTACCATCGGTAGGAGGAGGAGCGGCTTCATGTCCTTGATGTCCTTCTTGTCCTCGTCCTCCTGGAACATGATAAAAACCATTTTGCCTATTTCGTTCTTGTTGATTCATCTTGTTCCCATTTCGTTCTTCTTGTTGCTTTGACGTCAACGATGGATTCATATTTGCGGAAGATGAGATCTTCTGCTGGTTCAGTCGTGTGAGGCTTTCCATACTCGCTGCAGCTGACTGACATGACGCTGTCTTCCCGGTTGAGCTCCCGGTAGACTCACGTTCCTGCAATGACTCATCTCCACTATAACTGGTAGTCGAGTGTTGCGTTACGAAAAGATCTTCAAGACCAGAAATAACTCTACCACCTACAACGCCATTGGTGCCATTGCCGCCCATGCTCTTAGTCGTAGTACCATAATCCTCTTCTGGTGTGCGGTTCAACGTTTGGATTCCAGAACCTGTTCCACCATCAAGTATAGCCCCAGAAGAGGTGCTTATTGACGATCCGACAGAGTCTGATGCGTGGAGCTGCCTGCTTCCTCCAGTCGAGAGTGGAGCTGCCTGGCTAAGATTCTTCATGCTCAGCAGTAGTTGCTCCGCTGCCCCGCCTAGCGTGGTGGAAGACGAAGTCGTACTTTGCAGATTACTGTGAAGCTGATGTGGCGTATTACTACTTATTGCATTCGGTACAACTGGTTGTGCCCCTGGAGTCATAGGTGGTCGTCCCGCAACCCCTGACGACGACCCACCACTAGGCACTTGTGATGTCGCTGAAGAAGCATGCGTTTGATGTTGTATATGCGCTGGAGTCGGCTCTGCGCTGCTCGTAGCGTTTCGGTCGAGCCTCAAATCGTGCTCAGGCACAGCTCTTGCTGCACTAGAGACATTGACATTCATTTGGATACAATTGCCCTGAAGAAGCCCAGCAACGTCCCTATTGTTTTTTTCATTCATATCTACAACAGCATTTGTCGATATACTACATGAGGACGAATTATGCTGTTGGGAGTGAGAGGATGAAAGGTCACCAGGGACAGAAGTTGGCATTCTTGAAGATGAGTTGCTTTCTTGTGGAGCTGGAGGAGCTTGAGATTGAGCTGTACTGCTATTACTGGATGAAACGGAAGTTGTCTGAGGAGGACGAGCGGGCACAGCTGAGGCAGCACTAGGGGCGGGACTAGGTGCAGCGCTAGGTGGAGCAGTACTGTTTGGTGCGATAGAAGTGGTTGAAGTGGAAAGTGCGGGATTAGGAGGAGGTGGTGGAGAAGGAGATGGAGAAGCGCCAGGAGGACCTCCACCACTAGATGACGATGATAGTGGTCCGCCAACTGTTGCTGTTATGTTGGTGCTGGGATTAGTATTACGTTCGGCTGTGCTGGAGGAGTTCTTCTGCAGTTCTTTGAGCATGCGGTCGCGCTCCTCTTGTTTCGCTTTTTCGATAGCCTCCTTAAGCGTCGTCTCGTTCTCCTCTCGCAAAGTGGCAAGCTGTGGAGAAGTTGAAGATAATGATTTTCATTTTGATTCTTGTAAGGATGAAGATGATAGTTGTCAATGTGAATCATGATAAACTCCAAATAGAAGTTGCTGGAGGAGGAGGTGCATGCTTCGTCCAGAAACTAACATCCCACAACAAGTACTTAGGCGTCAATCTTCATAGCATCAGATCCAAGTAGGCCACTCAAACAAGTACCGCAGCATCCGCTTCTTCCCTCAATGTCTTTTCATCGCTGAGAAGTTTCTTGATTTTCTTCACCTCCTCTTTCAGCTGTTCTTTTTCCCGCTTATTTTGGTCTTTCAGTTCGTAGAAGCCTTCGCGCTCGGTCATCCAATCTGCTTCTCTGCGAGCTGCTTTTCGTTGCACTTCGTCTAGCCTTTCGTCTGCGCGCTCTCGCTCCTCCGCTATCCTTTCGTCAGACTCCTCCACCTTTTGCCTCAAATCTTGATTCTCCCTTTTCAAGTCCTGATTCTCTCTTTTCGCCTTCGTCAGTTCCTCCTCGGTGAGCGTCAGTTGCGCTAAGGTCTGTTGTAGTTGTTGAAGATATGTGATGTCGATGTCCTCGTTTGAGTTATTTCATTCAAGGTCGTGAGAGAGATTCAAAATTTTTAGTTGTCGACGAATTATGTTGATTTGCAACTTGTTGTCCCCGTCTCCATTTTATCCCAAAATTTCTATGGAGCTACACGTCTAAGTAGGTAAGCCACAATTATTAGTATTTCCAAGACGAGTATTCGTAAGTAGTATCAAGCTATGTTTACAGGATCAAGTTTTTACAGGTAGCAGGTAGGTAAAAAATATTACTTCATCTATCTGATCCAGGAACTTGTGCGCGTCTCTCCGCAAGGGAGGGTCCGATTCTGCAACAGGTCTCCGAATTGACTCAGGTGACTCCCCTTCTCCTGACAACCGTGGTTGCGTTCTGCTGACTTCTAGCTGTTGCTCTATTATCCTCCCAACAACACCAGCCAAGGACTCGATAGTCAAAAAGGTGTGAGGTGCGGCTTCCTTTGGTCCGCCTCCCATCACGGCGGTGCTCGAGGAACTGGGGGAGGGGGGATTTTTGAGGGTGTGGTAAAACTAAAAGGGTGGTATAACCAAAATGTATGCGGTGGAGGAAAAAAGGGTCTTCCGGTTCCGCTCTAGAAACATACTAGAAGTACAACGACTATCTAAAAAGTGAAAAAATATAAGTATAACGAAGAAATACCTTCCACCCATTTGAAAATTCGGCTGCTTGTCGTTGAAAATCTTGAATCGACCAGCAGTCGCAAACATGTGCGTCGCCTCGTCAGGCATGGTGGTCGCTTTTGAGTTGCTTCCTGATCCAGACGCAGATTGAGGACCTGAGAGGTGTGGGTTTTTTTTGTATTGTTGTTTCATTTTTTATTTGAATTTATTGAGATTATTCTGCGAACACGAATTCTGAATGTATCTCAAGAAGTGTTCATGGTTGGCTACTCCTACTGCTCTAGAAACTACATCAAGGAGCTTTCTACCCGTCATATGTTATAGTACCTCCTGCAGCATTCGACACTGGCATTCTGGTAGCGAGGAGACTTCTACTTGCTGCCGTGTCGCCTGGCGACGCCCCATCGGCCGGACTACCTCTCGTTGCTGGCTGTGCTGGTGGCGGCGTTGCTTGGTTCATGGCACTTTGCTGTGAAGCGCCAGAAGAAATGTTGCCACCACTTGCTCCACCACCCGCTGAGGCCACAGGAGCTGGCTGTTGTTCTGCACCCGCAGCTGTAGGCGCAGCTGGAGCTTGAGGTTGTAGTTCTCCTGTCATTGTTGAGGAACGCTGTTGTTGTTGTTGTTGTTGTTGTACTTGAGTTTGAGAGGTAGGTGGCGGAAGTTGTTGTTGCTGTTGTTGAGGAGGACCTTGTGCTTGTTGAGACGGATGTTGTTGAGGCGGATGTTGTTGGATTATGTGTTGTTGTGGAGCCGGAGGTTGTGCTTGTGGGGGGATCTGCATGGTCACGACTGCACTGGCACTGCTTGTAGTGTTTTGTTGCACTTGTTGCGGCACAGCATCACTTGCACCTCCTTGACCTTGTGGAAGACTATTGTGAATGACGGCCGCAGTGGACTGTGGTGATGTCCCTGCAGGTGGTGTCATTGACAGATTTTGTGACAATGTCACACCGGCAGCTCCACTTGCTGGCATATAGTGCTGTTGCTGCTGCTGTTGTGCGGCCATTATCACCGGCTGTTGTGATCCCTGTGGTTGAGCTAGCTGTTGCATTGGTTGGTGTGCCAGCTGTTGTGGCGGTGGTATTTGAGCCTGCTGCTGAGGCGCAGCTACTCCCGGAGGTTGCTGTTGCATCTGTTGTTGCGCCGCCATCGTCTGTTGTGATTGCGGCATCTGTTGCGGTGCCACAGAAGTTGTCTGCAGTTGAGGCTGCTGCTGAGGTGGCGGCGGTGGTGGTGGGGTCGGCTGTGGTGTCTGTTGTTGAGGCGGTGTCGCGGCCTGTGGCTGCTGTTGCTGAACCGAAGTAGCCACTACAGCAGCTGACTGCTGCGGAGGTGTCCCTTGTTGTGGTTGAGCTATTGGTTGACTCCCAGCTGCCGCCCCAGCACCTCCAACAGGGCCTCCTCCTCCGACACCCTGTTGATTGTTCATCAGCAAATGTTGCGCGGGTTGTGGTGGTGCATGTGGTGGACTACTGCCTTGAGGTGCTTGCCCCTGTGGCTGAGCCTGTGGCGGCGTTGCACCATGCATTGTAGCAGAAGCAGAAGTATAAGTATTATTAACTTGTACAACTTGAGACGCAGCCTGTTGTTGGCCGTCTGTTGTAGGAGGACATACAACACCTGCTGATGCTGCTCCTGTTGCACCAGCAGACCCTATTGGATTGCCTGGCCCTCCTGTAGTTACAGCACTCGTCGGGTTAATTGCAGGAGTACCTGCAGCTATCGCTGACTGTGACTGTGTAGTCTCTACTAATGATCCCGCCTGTGCGCTTCCACCTGTTCCACCTGGCGCGGTTCCTGGTGCCCTGTTTTTTTAGAAGGTCAGAGAAAAATCAATCGCGTTTTGCACATCAAGATAAAGAACGTCTTCGTGGTTTTCTTTTGAATTCGACTCAACAAGATTTATATATATTCTCTCTTTTGTGGCAACTACTAGTACGCGTGAATACAAATTCGAATTTATTCCTGCTCTATAATCATGGAAGTTGAACCCGTAATCAATTTCAATACCATGATTGAGGCGCGGCACCATTTGCTGGAGCGGCCTGCTGAAACTGAGGCGGCGAAGCGAAACTACCGGCAGCTGCTGGGTCCATCTGAACGACTGGATCTGGACAACTCAATGTACTACTACACGTAGTACTAGTAAAGGTAAACAGCTGCTAGTAGAAGTATGTGTTGTAGTTGTCGTTCTCTAGATCTTAATCTTTATCTGGTCTCCACGATGTTGTCCCAAAAGTAATTCATCCTGAAAAAAACGAAAACCTACTTCTTTCTGCTCCTGTCGTAGTCCTGCTCGTGTTACTTCTTCTATGTAAAAATTCCTACTTAAAATTGTTGAGAAACGTTTTCGTTGTAATTCTGCGTGAAGTTGTTCTTGATGTACAACTACTAGTGTAGGTGGCAGCGGCGGCTGGAGATTCGGCTCCTGTAGTCCTAGTAGTAGTAGTTGCTGTACAACTTTCGTTATTTTGAAAGAAGGATTTGGCCTTGGTGCTTCTCGGTCTTGGCTCACCTCAAGAGCTGGTGCTAGTGAAGAGTCGTCGTCCGGTGATGAGTCTTTGCTTTGTTCTCGGCACCACTGCTGCATCATCTTTTGTGTTTAAGATTAAGAACTGAAAGCTACTGTACATGGCTTCTTGCGTGGATTGCTCGTATTGATCCGTTAATGTTAATGGTAGGACCATCATCTTGTCGAAGTTGTTGTTGTATTTTTCGAAAAAATTAGCACAACAAGGAGATGGACACGAAGCCAGAGGCCGAGAATTATCAATCATTTACAAGTACTTAGAAGTAAGAGTCAATAGCTCTTATTTCATGAAGTCGTTTGCAACATAGAAAAAACAACAACAACTAGAATTATCAACTAGCTTAGATCTTAGTTGGAAGATGATGTACAAAGACAAAGTTGAAGACCTCTTTAAGAACTTCATAGAAGAAGATTCGTAGTCCTAGTCATAGTCATAGTTGGTAGGTACTTAGTATAAGTGGAAAAAGATCTCCATTAGGTCTAGGTCAAGTTTTGCAGTTATAATATTAGACACAAGCTAGCACGACAACACGACCTACTTATTGTGCTCAAAAAAACATCCCTGATATCACAAGCACACTTATTGTGCTCAAGAAAACATATCACAAGCACACTTATTGTTCTCAAAAACACATATCACGAAGACTTTCAAGGTCAAGAAGGTCAATTTCAACGTAAACGTAGTAGTTCAATGAACAAGTCGCTGAATAAACTATGTGTAGGAAAACGTCGTCTCTTTTGTTCTTCTCTCACTCGCTTGCCTTCATCCGGCACAACATTGCCTTCTCCTCACTGGCTTGCACTCCTGCTTCTATTTTTTTGGAAGATGATCATGAGAGAGTCGTTTGTTGAAAAAAGTATTTAATATCTGTGGTGGTCCGGTTTCTTGTTTTTCATTTACTATCTAACGAGTGAGAAGGAGCTCCATCAAGAGATGAAAAAAGTAAGGCTGATGAAGAACAGTTGCATGTATATTTTTACGACACTTAGTACAGCAATTTACAAGGACAGGACCTTGGCTCTATCACACGGCGCACAATTTCCATTTCAAGTTTTTTGCATCTTCTTTTTCTTCGCATTCTTGTGTGAACTTGTTGTAAGACGGAACTCATTGCAGAACAAATTTCAATTTTGTTTGCGCGCAGATTGCATTTTCCACCGGGACGAACAAGATGAACACTGAACAGGGAACAACAAATACGCGAGAATTTCGACGATTCTGAGAAAGATCATATTGATTCTCATGACCTTTCAACTTTCTTCACTCAGGTTCTTCGGGGCGTCTGACAGGGACGTTAGAATTGGTGAATTTTTTCAAGAGCCAGTGCCAGAGAAGCAAATAAATCTATAAACAAGTACATGATGTCCTACCTTGCCTCATGGAACTACAAAGAGACGTGCAATAATGCGGTAATTGTGTCTCATGATCTTATGCGAGGCCGAGGCATTGTGTTGGGTCTGGTGAGAGGACAACGTTTGTACAACTACAGAAACAGATTTCATTTAGGCTCAACAACATCCTGACGTCGTTTTTCCTTGACAAGGATGAAGCCGGATCAAGTGACACGCTTATTATCTTTCTCTCTTCGTGGCATCATGTTGTCTCCGCCTGTCTGCTGTGTGCGAAACGAATCTCGCCCCTGTGGGTGGCCAGAAACTTTTTCTGAAATCTCCAAACCCAAATCCAAAACATCTTCAGATGATTGGTCGCGGCGGTCAACAACATCTTCAGATGATTGGTCGCGGCGGCGGTAACCGCATTTCCTGGCGTATTTCTGTGGCGTTGCGCGCGACTGTCTCTTCATGTGGCGGATTGTTGTCCTCTAGAGGCGCTGCGCTTAATGATTGGGGACGATATGAGATGATTGGTCGCGGCGGCGGCAACCGCATTTCCTGGCGTCTCTTCATGTGGCAGATTATTGTCCATGTCCTCTAGAGCAGCTATTTAAAAGGAGAATCATCTACCTAGTTCGGCAAATGATCCCAAGCGGTGTAAGCTTTCGCTGCGCTTCGTAGCCGACGATTCAACGCCAACTTCCAATCTTTAATGTCGCGATCGAAATCCTCCACTATGCGCAAAACGAAATTCACCTGCTTATCTATGCTCTGTGTCTGCATATTAGGGGTTGCAACTTGACCGATCCAGGTCGCATATGATCTATGACTTTTGTACTTGAAAAAGTCATAGATATGTCTGTCACAGAGATGTTGTCAACTTCCAAGCCTTAAGCATAGTCACGGTCTCCCCGCGTGCTATGATCGCGTCCCAACTAACCAAGCTGTCGGGTTCATTGCTTTTCTTAAAGGTAGTTTTTCAATATTTATAAGTAGTTTCCCGATTCGAGTGGGAAGGGATGCCCTCTTAACGTTTCCCCCTAGTTTACCCTTTAAATCACGGAGGACTCGTCCACTCAGTTGTATAGTCGTCCACACGGGATATTAGTGATAAAAAAACGACACCTAATTTTCGCACTGGAGGCTGTACTGAAGTTGGTCAGCTCGACTGGAGCTGTGGAACCGTCGACAGGGTCGGTGCCGTGAGGAGCATGAATTCCGCCAAGACTTCGATGTTTCATCTCGCCGTAGTTGCTCGGATTTTTAGGGGTGGATTTAAGATTTTTAAGAAATTTTTCGAGGAGGTACTACATCGAAAGCTGTCGTGGCTTTGCAAGAAGATGAGAATCTTTCTTTTAAGTACTTTTTACAGCACTAGCAGCTAGGGTGTACTAAAGCTATCATCTATCTATTCTCTACTCCTGCGTAACTCCACGTGGCAAATCCGCAACCGGATTTTTCAGTAACCGCAAGTCTTCTGGCGCACCACAGAGAACTTTTTGCGGTAGTTGGGCTGCTGCCGTGAATAAAAACGTTATGTCGTAACTCGGCATTGGCTCTTTCCGTAAAATGTCCGCCAAAATATTATGGCTCGACGACAAGCTCCTCCGACTTTGCTGCGTCAAAAAGCGAGCATACATGCTCACCAGTGTCCTTTCCGTCTCATCCGCCAGACGGAAGCGAAAACTAACACGAACGCTATTCACGGTCGCTTCTATCATGCAAGCTTCCTGCTCGTCGCGGGCTATGTAGACTGGTCTGCATCTGCACTCCGGTACCATTTCTTCAACCTCAACTTCGGGTCTATGGTTTTGCCGTTCTACCACAGGGGAAGGAATATCCATCATCGAGTTCAGGGATGCCTTTTGTTTAGAGAGGAAGTAGAAGTTGAAGTCGTCTTTTTCACGTAGTCCTAAAAGAAAAAAGGCCATTTGTGTCCTAAGGTGGTATCGCCTAATCGTATTAATTATATTTGTTTTTTTTATGTATAAGCATGGAGGAAGGATGCGAAAACCAATGCCAATCATGTCTGTTGATTTTTGTTCCATAATCAGTGTGACCCCAACTGCGCGCAGGTACGTTCCACTCGTCATGGCAGCAGAATTGGTCGTTCCTGAGATTGCGTTGTTTTGCGATGCTGTCCACGGTAGCGGTGGTAGGCTGCTCTCGGTAGTTGCGCTACTGTATACGTCAAGTAAGCGGCTAAGCCGGTCTGAAAGCGGTAAAGCTTCCACACCAGCGAGTCGGTCTCGGATGTTGCCCCCAAAGTCTTGAGCCTGCGCCTGGCGCTCTAATACGGGGTCGGAAGACGAGGACATGTTTTTGCTCTCTCAAATCAAGAAAAACTTGCTCGTGTTCAGGCTCTCGAAGTGCCCTTATTCACTCTTGTTATGAGCTCCCAATCATCATAGTCTTTCTTTTATGCTTAAATGATCCCACAATGATCCAGCGCGATTTGGTCGACTGGTGCAATACAATACAATACAATACACCTAATCACGCCCAAGATTTTAAGCTACTAACACCGAAGCCGCACTGAGAGTGGAAGTGACACCTCATCTGAGCGTTACACTTAAACACTTAAGCATCTTCTTCGACCTAAGTAACCATCACAAACTCTATCTTCATCTTGAGACGGCTAGCGAGACACGTGTCACACAGCTTTGAAACCACCTCACTACTTATTTGACACTATGTGGACAGATAGGGAGTAAGACAAAGACCTGAGAGCAGGAGACCACCCTCATTTCTTTTGAGAGCTTGAACTAGCAATAAAAACCATCGGCCCGAGCCTGGTTTGTCTAATTTCGTGCGGTTACAAGCTAGGGAGTCGTAAGGTGGACAACCCTTAAAAAAAAACCCACCCACCACCTACGACTAACCAGTTGCTTTGGAGGACTTAGAGTTCTGTTCCATATTTATTATGCCAAGCTGCATACGTGATTCCACATCCAAACCTAGCGCTGGTACTGGAATCAAAAATAGAACACATAGCAGGGTTGGACTCTTTCCGCAGACGAGTTGGACGCCAGTCTAAAACTACTGGCTTCCTCCACATTGATCCATACTGACTGCTGATAAAAATTTCAAACTGTCTTTGCAGTTAGCAAACATCAAATTTCTTTAACAACTCCAAGTCCAACTGTCTTTGCAGTTGACAACCAGCAGAAGTTTTTCATTAGTGCTGCCGGATTTTGTCGGCTACGTACTGTGCAATTTTCCGGAAAGTATCGCGCACTTTGACGCGACTTTCCGGACGTCACGCTCAACACGGCGTATGTACGTATTAAGCTGCCTGTAGGTTGTAAAAAAGAAAAAGTTCAAAAACAAACTTGTCATGCTTGTCATACTTTTTGCTGATCTAATTTCGACAGACTTTTACTGGGTGTTAATTAAGTATAATCAATACTAGCTGTCGTGTAGAATGTATTACCTCAGCAGGTTCAATAATTGAGAATAGTGGGAGTTTGGTAAGGGGTTTTGGTTGTTTTTGTTGTCGAATCTCGGTTCAAATGAATGCAAACTAGGCCCCTAACGGCGCTTCAAATCCTGTGTAAATGTTTCGAATCTTGAGCCAAAATGGCTCGTAATGAAAGGAGAAAAAACGTTCAATAGCTTTTCACTTCTTGCACGTTTTCAAAATGTGCAAGGAGTGAAACGAAAGAGAGAAGAAGAGGAAGTAACTTATTTACGGAACCTAGTGCGGATTTTAAGAGAGTGCTCAAATTTTTGGAAGAACTTCGGGGAGGGTATACGAAAACAGGCCATTTTTGTTAACCCTCCATTGAGTTCCGAAGAAAATTCGCAGCGATCACTCAAATCAGCATAAGGAACCAACTAGACTTATTTGATCTCTGACCTCCTTTCGAACCACTTGAACCAACTTAAAGAGAACTGCCAAACTTGAAGAATTTAGGATCTTCAGGGAGCTGCGATTTATGATTTCTTAACCACAAGCGCACCAGCTGGGGTGGGCACAGTGAAGTCTTACACTTCACGGACGATGCGCCGACCCAGCATATACTCGAGACGGCGCCAGTGCACTAGTGCAAGATGAGGATCTCTAGACTTATACAAACTCACAAATAAGAGGCGAAGTAAATAGGAGACGCGAAGTTGATAATTCTTAGACGCGAAGTCAGTGGAAGGTCAGTGGAAGATCTCATCCGATGTGAGTCTGAAGTTAGTACATAATAAACTTGGTGGCGCCACTGTTATCACGTCATCGACACAAGCATCGAAAATGAAAAAAAAGCGGGGAAGGAGCTTTCTGTTTTGCAGTGCCATGCTTATCCGAAAAAAGGAAAGAGCTTGCACGTTTATCCGAGAAGCTGCCGGTGAAGGACGCGGCTAGCCCCCTATAGTATGGCGGCCCTTCGTTCGGGCTCTCGTGGCCGTGTCACAGCAGTCGCGCCTGCTCGAGTGAGAGCGAATCCACGCCCGTTCGTCGTAGTTGTTTGTTTTTGTACTTAGTTGCTTTCAACTTATCTCAGCTAGTACTGAGTAAAATGTGAGGAAGACTGTTACTCTAACTAAGTATTCATGAGTTGACTTATGGACAGAGTTACTGTGTTCAAGTGCAAAAACTGCTTCAGTTTCAACTAAGTAGTTGTATCGTACTTGACTAGCTGGCGTTGTGATTCAGAACGTTGTGAAAGAAAAGTTACCAAAAAAAAATCTGACTGTTACCTGCTTACTGACTGTTGTTGGAGTTTCAAAAAACGCGTCTTCTTATTACAGGCACGTCCTCAGTGTGTTCAGCCAGCTTGCTTCTGACCCACTAGAACCGTGCTGAAGTTTACTTCTGCTCTGCTGCCTGTTGTCCTACCTTGTGGATTTTCTGTTGAGAGTGAGATGTCAACTTATTATAGTGCATCATGCGGCATTCTCTCTGCTGTTTGCACAGCACAAGAAGCCTGCTGATGAGAGCACCACGAGAATCCAAACGTTGAAGTACTACTCAAAACATACTACAGCACACGAATGCACTCATATCGTCACACATTAGCAATTTCGCAGTCTTCTGCATGTTGTACACACGAAAGAGAGAGCTGACACGTCACCCGGATCATAAGAAATCTGTGATCGTCATTCTCATATCAGATTGACTTAGACTTTAAAAAAATACATTTTAGACTTAAAAAAAAGTTGTATGGTCGTGGAGGGATCAAATATTAGTACGTTTTGCTACTAGTAAGTTGATCATGTCCTACATACTTCGTATCTGATGTTATAAATTTAGTTAAACTCTGATGGATCCCCAATGCGAAATAAAATAAAAGTTAAGTCGTAATCTGCACTCTATCACCGATCCGGACAAAAAGGACAACTTATATCCGGATCACCAATGCATTAGTTTCCGTCTTCTTGCAACAGTCAGCCGACGAATTCTCATGCGTTTCCAAGCCCGCAGGTTTGTCTTTGTGTTTGTTGTTTGCAAAATATACTGAATTTACTTCCGCTCTGCTGCCTGTTGTTCTACCTTGTGGATTTTCTGCTGAGCGTTACTACAATAAACATGATCACAAGAAGTACTGCGTCCTTTTCTACTACTTCATGATAAGTGCATGCACTCCTTTAGTAAAGCCCAACGACCCCTAACCTCCTCAATCACGCCACTTCCAACCGAAAGCGCCGCTTCCCCTTCAAATTCAATCACGACTTCAGTCTCAATCTCAATGATCCTTGATATTCCTGTAGTAATTCTGCATGTGTCGGTTGAAAAGGACATCGATTTTCTTCTCGATCTCGACGTTGCGAAACTCAGGTATAGCGGCTTGCGCTGGGTATCCAAGGTCACCTTGTGTTGATGAATGTGTTGATGAATGTGTTGATGAATGTGTTGATGAATGTGGATACCCAAGATGACCTGAAGCCCACCTAGCAGAAGTGGAAGGAGTGATTGTGGTCGTGAGGGTGATCGATGAGAGATGTGATCCCCTGAGGGTGATCGATGAGAGATGTGACCATCGATGAGAGAGGGTGATCCCTGGGACGCATCATCCACTTCAAAAACGTCGACGACTGGCTATTAACCTCCAACTAGTACAAAAATTTTTTATTTCTCTTACATGATATGGTAATAGGAAACGAGAAGAACATGATTCAGATATCTATATTAGACCTTCCGGGAATTATCCATCTTGAGCGTCATCTTTGGACCCGTTTCCCCCTTACGCGGGAGGCCCAGGATGCTTCTCCACGTGGGAGATTTCCGGAAGTCATAACTATGTATACTTGTGGTCGAGCAGACCAACTTGTGGTGGAAAAGAACATCAAGATTGTATAAAATACGTAGTAGTTCGCGCCACAGGTTGTGGTTTGAATGGAACCACAGGTTGCTCGAAGGTTCATGTACTCGGGACAAAAACCATAGGTTTCGCTCAATTTCCGTTTCGAGCTGTCCAGGTGCCCACAGGCAAGTGCCCGTCATCAACCTCATGTGCAGAGCTGGTTGCCCTTCCTCTTCTGGCTGTGTTGGGTTCGACCCTGTCGATGAAAAAGCAGCAGCATGCTTCTGTCCTCCATGAGAACCTGCATTTCTACTAGGTGTACCTTGACCAGCTACTTCACCACCTTGTTCAACTTGAATCCCACGACCAGCACCAGTATTCATCATCATCTTCGTCTTTCGATTGTTCAATACTTGTGCCAAGACGATATCACGGTCGTCGCCGTCAGCGTACAGATTGTCGTGGATTTTTATGGCGCCAGGAACATTCGCGACATTGTGAAGGATCTGCACTTTGTGCCGTGGATGCTCACAGTCTCCACCACGCCACACTCGACTCACACGTGGTAAATACTTCTGCTGCTGCTGCTGCTGCTGGTTGTAATGTTGATGACTTTGATGAGCTTGACCTTGAGCATGACCTTGAGCTTGATGAGCAAGTTCTTGTTGATATTGTTGGTTGTTCGTGACCCTGGTTGTACTAAGCTCTTCTTTACACCGCTGATCATGGTCCAATAGCACAGCTCTTCGTTTTCGTAGCCAATCCAAAACTCCACAATTTTGGCCAGCAACTCCAACTTCCGAGAGCTTCATTTCGTCCAAGTTAAAGTCTTCGGTTTGCAGCAAAAAGTCAGACAGATTGGGCGCAGACAAATCCGGTTTGTTCAAGATTAAGCCAGCGACTTGTCCGTCTGCTGCGCGCTCGGTGATCACTATCGGTATTAGAGGGGGTGGTCAAAATAATGTAGATGATGTTGACAGATCCGAAAAAAAATGATCACGACAGGTCTTTCGGTGAGAAGCACACGTTATGTAGTACCTCCGCACCAGCAAGCTGGGAGTGGGATAAAAAATAAAAATATTTATCATCTATCACTAAGACTAATATTATCTTCATCATTATTCAACACCAGAGGCCCAACTACATCAAAGTCAAAGCCATAAAACTGCTCGATGAAGATTGCGTTGAAAATAGGGTCCGAGAGGATGTCCAATCAGAAGCATTCCAGGCTCTATTTCGCCGGGCTGCACATAGCGGGAGTTCGAGTTTTTCTTTTTAAGAGTTGAGGATGTCGCTCTTCCAAGCGCTTCATCAGGTCCTGTACTTCTAGTTTGTTCAGTTGCTTGCGATAGTGAGACTGAAGACGTGGACTGCTCTTCTGCTTCCCTCGATTCTGATGACGAGACCATTTTTTCAGAAGCTTGAGTAGCGGAAGAAGATATAGATATTTTTGCACTACTTCTAGTACTTGCCACGACATGATCCTCTACAGAATCAGAAGTGGACAAAGAAGTGGCTTCGCTTGCTCCGGCTTCGTTAAACGTCGCTATTTCGTGTGAGCTACTTGAAGCAGGAGTAGAGGCAGTGGCATTTTTCGGTGTTGAAACGACTCCGCTAATTGAAGCAGTTGTAGAAGCAGTGGTCGTTAAATCAACATTCGCATGTTGCTGTTTGTACTGTTCCAATTTACTACCTTGCTCAAGATTCAGCTGCTGCAATTGTTCGTCTTGCGCACCACCTTGCCTAAACATTGATGAGCTACTTGTTCTAGAATTCACTACTTCTAGACTAGCACTTCTTCTAAGGTCCTCGTGAGCGTGGTCCTCACGCTCTTCTTGTCCACTAGAAGCTGCAGAAGATGAAGCGTTGTCTTCAAACCCAAAATAATCGTCCTCGAACATGTAGTCCTCGTCGTCATGGTCCAAATCGCGAAAAAACGACATCGGAAGATTTACACCTCCTGAGGAGTCAAAGTCGTCCATATCCATGCTCGACATGGTGTCCAAGTTTAAATCCGCAATGATATCATCCAGGAGCAGGTCGTCCATCATTTCTTCATCCGTCATAGCCATGAAATCCTCTCGATGTTCTCGCGACGATACGGTGTGCTGGCTGTTAGAAGGAAAAAGTAAAAGAAAAGAGAAAGGGGGGAGCATGATCTGCATGTTCGTGGAAACGAAGAGCAAGACGTGTTTAAATAAGGCAAAAATGTGAGGTTGAGAAGATCTTATTCGATGAAGCCTTAACATCAACGTGCCTTGCAACTTGAGCGTCTAGATCCTCCATCGGATTTAACCCTAACACTGGCGGCGTGGGAGGCAAAATTCTGGTTGTCGGCGAAGACGAAGACGAGGCTGCATGACTAGAAGTACTAGAAGTTTTGTTTTCCGCTTTCGTCGCTATGACATCGGTGGCAGACTTGGCTGCCTTTTGCTCCTTGCCTTTGGCTGTCTCTTTTGCTACTGTGCTAAATGGGGTCAGAGCTTCCGACGAAGTTGAAGGTGACAATGAGCTCGAAGGTGACAATGAGCTCGTAGAACGAGCAGCCGGCGCTTCCCTCGCAGGCGCGTCAATATCTCCTGCAGAAGTACTTGTCGACGCAGTATGTTCACCTTTTTCAGTCTTCGTGCCATCTGTTGATGCGGAGCTCGACGCTGGAACGATCAAGCTTGTGTCGCCTACTTTTATCTGCTCTGTTTCCGCTTGTAGTTCCTTTTCCCATTGAGCCCAGGTTGCTTTAGGTAGCTTCTTCTCCAAAAAATCCGTGAATAATGGCAAAAAATCGGGACTCTGATATTATTAGGTGGATGGTAATCACTGTCACTACGATTAAGATGGTGGTAAAGATGATCTCTGTACGCAGCACAAGAATGTTGTCACTCTTCTCCAACCTCTTAGAATAACGATGATGATGATGATGATGATGATGGTGCGAATCTATTCGGCAATCTGCCAACTTAGAGCAAGAACGATAAGAAGTACCTTAATTTCCTCTGCTATCAGCTTCTCCAACCACTTAGAGTAACGATAAGAGCAAGTACCTTGATTTCCTCTGCTATCAGCTCTTCCCGCTCATGCTGGTTCATCTGCAGTAGGTCGTAGAAGAGCGCGTTGCTCTTCTTCCTACTGAGCTCAGGAAACCAGCGATGATGCATGTAATCGTCCACCAATCTCAGCAATTCAGTTTGTCCAGCACCTCCACCTTTTTTTCGGCTGCCTGAAGCAGTGTTGCCTTGAATTTTTAGAGAGTGCTAGTACAATGATCGAGGGTTTCATTTTCTGCGAGGGAAGTTACAGTTTCGTGTTAAGACAACTACTCTGATCAACATAACTGAAGAAAGCCAGCGAGTCCGAATGTCTTGTTTCTTTTTCTCCTCGCCTTCTTTCGTTCCGACAGTGTGCTCTTTGTGGTCAACAAGTCCGCGTCCGTCTCCGTTCTAGCAGAGTCACTTGGCATATTGTCCAACGGCGTACTAGAGCTAGAGGCAGAACCACTCGAATCCTGTCTCACTAGAGGATTTGATTCTCGTTGAATCTTGTGCGCGACTAGCATCAACCGATACGATCGCCGTTCTTTTTTCTCGGACAGCAAGCGGTCGAGAAGCGCGTTGGCCTCCGCCTCACTTTTTGCTTTTGCCTCAGCGGCGGAAGGCAGATGAAGGTGGTCTTGTTCTCGATCATGTTCTGATGTAGTTGACGCTGAAGCATTATTCGCCTCCCGCCCCGTCAATGAAACTCCTGCAGAAGAACTTTCCTCAGATGAAGACGAACTAGAACTAGATGAAGATGCTGCAGTACTAGGGGCCGCAGCTGCAGTCGTGCTATTTTTTGTTGGTCTATTGCGTTTTCGTTTAGACCTGTGGAGCTGATCAAGAAACGCATTCACTTCTTCCTTACTGTCGAACTGGTGGCGTCGTTGCTCTTGTTCCGGCTTTGGTGGTGGTGGTGGCGGAGAACTACTACTAGAAGAAGAGGATGAACATGAAGAAGCTGGAGGAGAATTATTGGTAGAATCAGATGAAATACTAGTACTTTGTTCTTGCTCCTTCTCAGTGGCGCCGGTGAAATCGTTCCCTGTCGATGCTAGGTGCTTCTTCACTGCTTTCTGCTGATGCACGAGGCGCGTTGCCATATGAGGTGAAGCGCCTGGTTTTGCAGCTGTGTTTGGTTGACTACGGGAAGAAGAGAGAACGTGGACCAAGTTTGCCACTGAACTTCTCGACCTACCCTCAGCACTTGTCAAGGCTGGCTCCTGTCCGACGAGACGTAGGCGAAAGATTTGTCGACTTCTATCTATACTAGCGGAAGGTGGGCTACCTTGTTTAGCCCCTTTCTGTTGTTGAGACTTCTGAGGTGTTGCCCCTCCTCCCTTGGAAGTGGACACCCTCACGAGGTCCACGTACGCATCAAGCTCTTCTTTGGACGATATCTGCGATACGTCATGTATGGTCTCGAAGCCGATTGCAACTCCTTCTAGAGGTTTAGGGTTCTTGGGCGAGCCTGACAGCACATCCCGAAAGACGTATGCCTGTGCGTCTTTCAAGAAATCGTCCTTAGCGGCAACTGGAATCGCTAACAGGACTGAAAAGAAGATGATAAAAAAAGAACAATACAATCTCTATGAGATGTTAGTTTAGGAGGTAACATTTGGTAAAAGTAGAAGCAAGGCTATTTTCACATAAACACGAATCTGATCAGGCAGTAATTGTACATGTCGCCTTTTCCTCGGTCGTCAGATCGTAATCTCTTTCTGAGATTTCAGCAAAGGCAGCACTCTTTTCGTCCTCTCCGAAGAGGAGCGGCGACTTTGAAGATGGGCTACTAGATGAAGATGCTGCCTTGTCGCTCGCAGTTGCTGCTGGGACTTTTCCATAGACTGATCGCGTAACTAGTTGCAGTTCCTCTAGCCTGGCGTAGTAGTCATCGTTCTCGGCTTGATGCCTTGCAGACGATGCTTTGCTTCTTATCGAGGGAGTCGCTTGTTCCTTCTCCAGGTCCGGTGCTTTCGCTGTGCTACCTGGTGTTGGAGTCGTAGCTGTGGTAGTGTCGGTCGACGGTGCTGCTTCGTCATTTTTCGCGTTTATTCCAATTGCTGTTGCGTCTCGTACAGAAAGATCAGCACTCTTCGCTTGGTCTGCTCCGCTCAAAGCGTCGATATGCACCCGGTCGCTGCCTCGACGAGTGCTGCTCTTTCTCGTGGCCCTGCTAATTCCAGTAATGCTACTGCTCGTGGAGGTAGAAGAAGATGAGTCTTGAGGTGCTGACGCAGAAGTTGTTGTAGATGGCGCAGGTGGTGGTGGAATCCCCGTCTTGTTCAGCACAGCTCTTTGCTTATTTGCTGTATCATCTCCAGTAGTTGAGACTGGTGGCCGCACAGAGGATGTTGAACTAGAAGTTGTCGTGGGACCACTAGACTTCCTCAAAACATCCAATGCAAAATTGAACGTTCGCAACGCTGCAAAAGCGTCCTCACTGGAAACCAGGTCTTCCCTGTAGAAGCGAACACTTCTTGTCAACAAATGTGGTGCTTCAACGTCGAAGAAGCTGGTAGAAGACATCTTCGTAGTCGTAGAGGTAGTGGTAGGGATCGAAGATAAAGAAGATGGTATTCCGGATTTTTCCGTCGAGGAACAACTATTGCTGGTTGTAACATTGTTGACAGGCCGAAAGAATTCCCCACTAGCATTTGCACGCCGTAGAAGCCTTGTCAATGTTTGATGGGCCCTACGACCTCCGTTTGCAGTTGCAGCGTCCTTGCTGTTTGTAGAAGTTGTGCACGCAACATCGACATTACTCGCGTTATCTTCTTTTCCTTTGTTGTTACTTGATGCTGACGACGATGATGAGCTCCCGCCACTTGTTCCCTCCGCCCGCCGTCGACTCGTCTTCTCTGCATCTACTCCCCCGTCTCGGAATCTGTAGGTGCGACCACTCTCATGCATCCAAAATTTGGATGGGGGTGCCAGGACAAACACTCGTGCCGCTTCATCCTTGTCCACTCGACGCGCTGATCGGAGCAGCAGTCTGTACAATGAACTGCGTATCGGGGTCTCCATTTGCTTGCTGAAGTGGCAGTCTCACCAAAATATGTATTCGTATTTCGTATAGAACTGATTCGGTTGTCACGACGTCGAAGTCCCAGGAATGGGTAAGAAGTGTGTGGTCGTCATCCTTGGTCTGTTGTGCGATATAAATGTATGCATGGAAAAGATTAGATTCTCGCAGTAATAAATCTTGATTAATTACTTACAACGGAATATAAAAAAAATAAAAAATGACTACTAAAAATAGCAGCTTTGTGTTTTCAAATATGGTAAGGTGTCGTTTTGATTCGCGATTTGCGTCCCACTCTGCGGATTTCTTTTCCTTGTTTGGCAGTCTAGTTTTTCTGGAAAAGTCATAAAAATCCTTTGTTCTCAGCAGGTAGTCCTCTAGTACTCTTTCTACTCAGTTGGTGCGACTACTCGGACTCTACTCAGTTGCCTCTACTTCCATGTCTCTCTTCTACTTCCAAAGCCTCTGGTCATCGGCTTCTCCTTTACTGTGCTGCGGTATTCTCTAGAGGACCTACTTGTGAAAAATTCAGTTGGTTATGTTTTTCATGTCATGAAAGAATGTTCTTATGTTTTGTGGAATGGGATAGTCAGATGAGGATGCAGATTGACCTTTATGCAAGTACAGGAGATCGATCGGAGACCAATGATGTCTCTCTTACTTTTCATATTCTTTTCCTTCCACAACAAAAATAGAATACACAATCTTGATCTTCTTCAAACATGCATTTATTGTTCTAATTGTAATTATATGTCATCCAAAATTGAAAAAAGAGTTGTAAAAGTGCATGCTGCTCTCCTCCATTATGTCTTGCGTCGCGGCGAAAACGTAGAGCCGATGCCGCAACTATAACCGCGTAACGCAGCCATTTCTCCGGTTGTGTATCTCCCGTTGATGTTCTTGTTGCGAGCACTGTGTGTGGGGGATGGAGGATAGTGTCAGTGCGCGTCAGGGTCTATGTTGGCGTTACCGTTAGGTGAAAAAAAGGAAAATCAAAATACCTGTCAGGATCCACACGACTTCTCTTGCTCGCGTCCGAATACAACAACATCATGATATCCACATTTTGTCAAGTTTGTTAAAAAAAACAAAATCAACAACATAACCATAGAAGTAGTACGCGCTTTTCTGTGCAGTGGTCCTCGTGAGCTGTACAGTGGACCCAAATACGCGTGAGCATTCCGCAAGTTGCGTTCTAAGGTTATTAGCTTTCTTCGTGTTGAACTCCAATCTTGACTCGGTTTCGTCGTGTCTGTTGTAGTGGTGATTGTCACAATACAGTGATGGAGATATAATTTGTATAACCAAATCAATTTTTGCGGGGATAGAATTTAAAGCTATTAAGTGGATTGATGACATACGAAGAGGAAAATTATTTCTGCTTCTGTAGACAGTCTACAAACAAAAGTAAAGTAGGTACAGCTAAGTGGATTGATGACATACGAAGAGGAAAATTATTTCAGCTTGTAGAGCTTGTCTACAAACAAAAGTAAAGTACAGCTTTTGAATCTTCGCTATTTCTGCGTTCTTTTCAGCGAGTTGTTTCGAGAGAGTGCGTATCTTCTCTTCGTAAATCGCGGACTTCCCACGCATGGCGCTCACAGTGCCTTGCAGTCGATTCACTTTCTGCTGATTCACGGTAGAGTTCTTACCCGCCTCCCGCAGCTTCTTATTAAGCTCACCAGGCTCATATTCGGCGTCGAGGTTTATTGCGCCGGAAGAGGCCATAATTTGGGGTCTTGTTGTTTTAATCGCCTCTACTTTTCGATTAGTATAAATTTCAATTTAATATTCGCGCTCAGGGATATACTACTCAGTATGATGTACTACTTATGTAGTTGTCCATGATGGATCAGCACTTTAGCCACGTCTTTTGGTTTCCGACACCAGTTTCGATGCGCTTCTCTCTCTCGCTGCGCACTTCCGTTGCGAGTTATACACTGTCATCGATTTTCCGGTTGTCAGACGAATCTACCTCAGGCTCAGAGTCCGATGTCCAAGTGTGTGACATGAAACAAGAGCTGCTTCATCATTGCCGAAAAGACCCTGTAAGAACAAAAACCCTCGAAGCGAACGAGCGAAAATGGAGTCGTCTTTGCTCCTGATTAGTACGAAGATATGAGTTTGCGCTGTTTTGTACCATCAACGAAGGAGTTAATATGGTGGAATCCTTACAACAACACTATGCATGAGGTCACACATCCAAATCATCTATCCTTTTTCCCTTCTCCGTTCTTCGATTTCTGCCCGCGCGGCGTCACTCTGCGCATGGCTGAACGTGTTACCGAGTAAAAACTCACGATCAAACGAGGACTCTACGAAGCGACGTCTATCCACCTTTCTTCCCGCATCCCTTGCGGCATCTTGCTGTTGCTTGCGTGTCTCCATCTCTGCTGAGGCTGCTTGACCTCCTAAGCCGAAAACTTCGAGACTGAGGACGTTTGGAACAGAACCAGGAGTTGTTCCGGAGGTTCTTTCTCTTTCTTGTTCCCCTGCTACCAGTGGTGGTAGAAGTGGTGGCGGAAACTCCCATTGAAATGGAGGAGGCGAAGTTGCTGGATGATCATCATCTTCGGATTCACGCACTACTGAGCTCGGTAACAGGTGTCCTTCTGCAAAAACCGAGTCCGAGATCAAGAGGTGACCTTGAAAATTCTCCGACAACCAAAATCTAGACATGTCGCCAGCTTGTCCTCCCAAGCCTAGCCCGAGAGCGGCGTACCGATTTCGACTGTTCAGATATGTGAAGTTTGTGCTACTTCGCGCTCGGTTTCGCTCTCGGACTGGTCGAATTGTTAGCAAATTATCGCATTCCGCATGTCCAAAGAGAAAACAGTTCTCCCCACCTTCCTCGATGTATTTGCCACTGCCTTCACGAAAGCCACTAGGAGAAAATGCCCCGAAGAGAATTGGTGTAGTGTCTGAAAAGGTTTCTGTCCTGACGCCAGCTCTACACCTGCATACAAGCAAAACTGGATTTTGCCCGTAATCGTCCAGACTCTTCGCTAGCTTCTTAAAACTGGTGCCATGAAGTGAACTGCTGTAGAGCAATGTCGGTGCGAGAGAAATAGATGGTCCGCCGCCTGCTCCGAGTATGCCCAACGTTCGCAGCCTTACGGCTGCTAGCTGTGAATCGTCGAATAAACGGGATTGGAAGCGGAAGGCACTAGAAATGATTGTCAGTGCTCCTGTGTCGTGGTCCTCCTCGCCTGCCAGAAGTAGAATTTGGAAAAAATACGGCACAAGGAGGTCCGCGTACGGAAGGCACGGGTCTGGAGGAATAGACATCCTCGTCCTTGCGTCAGCAGTTGTGGTGGACTTCACCTTGTCCTTTTCAGGAAATATAACGACTTGAAGACCTGGCATTTGAGCTTCACTGGATTGCTGTGACGCGGCTGGTGTTGAAGTAGTCCTTCCATTCTCTTCAGCTCCTTCTCCTGCATGATCACGATCTTCAAGGCCTGGATGATCACGATCAACCAACATCTCCCTGATCGCAAACTGCATGATCTCCAACAACATTCCGCTATCACCACCAAACATCTCCCTAAACACAAAATCCACAGCTCCAGGATGGTCCTCCTTCGTTGCCGCTGAAAGCAACCGCTCTGCATTTGAGCAGAAGCGTTGGTAGGCTAGTATTTGTCTTGGCGAAGAAGAAGTTATTTTTTCCACATTAATATTGTGGCAATGTTGACCCTGTTGGCAAGGAACCCCATGGTGCCCATCTGAAGATGAGAACATATAATCGGTCATGTAGTCCCAGGCACCACCCAGCCAGGAAGACCGTGATGGGTCGAGTGCTCTTCTCAACTGTGTTGCACTTCTATGACAGAAACAAGTGTACTCATACTCAAGAAAAGAGGTTCTTTCCTATTTAGAAAGTGCCTACTTTCTTGAGGATGAGTACACTTTTTCGCTTCATAACTTCTCGTCTCACCAAGATGTCGAGCAGTCCTTGTCGTTGTCTGATCATCGTCCTGTGATGCATTCAGATCGATCTCTTCGAGTGCTCCGTCACCTCCTGAAAGAGTCCTTCCCGAAGAATTCCCAGGTATTTCTGCTCTTGAAAGCGCGTCAAAAAACGCGATCCGCCAGAACTGTGGTATTCGTTTCGGAGTGTTCTCGAGGAACGTCTCGATTCCGAACTCAATGGTACCATCATCTTGACGGAACAAGCGGCTCAGTTGCGATGCAGTAGATCCGCCTGCGTCGGTAGAGGTAGCAGGGAGAGGGGGCTCCGTCATCTTTGTGGATCCGTTAACATCTTTTTGGTGAATGTATGAAATCAAAAGGAACCTTTTGATGTGGTCTTGAAGCGAATAACAGGTTAGTTTTTTAACAAAGCATCAAGTATTGATGAATTTCATCGTTCTTGCGAAGAAAAGGTGAGAACAAACAGGCAACGGACTGGGTGAAGAAAATAAGACAAATTCGGGAATAAAAGGATGGGGGGATAACATATCATGGGGCAGTTGTAGTGTCTCTCTGTCCTGCAACACAGTTGACATCATCTGCGAGATCACAACATCATGACAACAGCTAAAAATCCAATGACAGATGAAACTTTGCAAATGATGAACCGAGCACCTCGTTCTTTCACATCCCGGGTTGCTGCATCCATGCTCTTCATTTGCATTTGCAACTAGCAGCCGGCCCAGAAGAATAAAAGAACTCATTTTCTTGCGATTGCTGACTTCGAAGTTGTTTTTTTTTTGCGAACAGGATGAACATAGTAACAGTCAGTAGGTATGTACTCGTCATTAGTACTTATGCAGAAGAAGCATGTATTGTCGTGTCGGGCTCGTCGTGGTTACCTCTATTACATCGCAATGCATATCGTTATCGATTACGTTGCCACCGAATAGGAATGCTAAGCTTTACGCCTGTGCATAGCCATGAAAAGGAACAAATGAAATAAAGATCGACATGCTGAATAGACTTCAACTGACTGCCATCAGAATCAGTGGATGCTGGGAGTACGGTAATCAAATACATAGGAATAGGAATCGATAGAAGTAGTTACCTACGAGAGGAGGAGGACCGAATCATGAATCATGATCAGAAATGGGAATATTTATCATCACCAAATGTTGTGCTACCTTTTTTTTTTCTGTGCAAAATACAATGTCGGTTTCGCTTCTCTAACCGAATGCGCTTGACTATCAGTCAGTCGTTCCTTTACTCGACTTAAAACCACTTTGCTTGCGGCTGCAGATATCGGAAGGCCCGCTAAAGGATCGTTTGATCCAGCTCCTTCCCCTGGCGGAAGACGCTGACCAGCCTCTGTCTCAACTCTCCCAAAGTAATTCCCACTGAACTCATCGGCTCCGTAGTAACCCTCGCGCCACAATTGGTTCCGAGGATCGCCACGAATTACTCCAGCAGACCGGCTACAACCAGAACCAGATAGCATTTTACTACTACCACCATTACCACCATTCTCGACCCCCATGAGTTCTTCTTGCCATCTTTCTTGTGGTTCTCTCCCGACAAGTAGCCGCCGATAAGGTCCCTCAGCGTCGGTTGGAATTCGTTTCTTGCTAGGTGAAGGCGTCGCCGTGGATTCGACTCGCAGAAAATACTTCCTTTCGTAATTTCGCCGTCCCGGTAAAGACTCCTCAGTAAAAATCGGAGACTCTACGCACACACGCTTCGCAGCCTGCTTCGAAGACGCTGTCTTAGCACCGGAGGAGAAAGACTTCTGACTAGGAGGTTGTCCTTGATTTCCTGGTCCGGTTGTCATCTGGTTCTTCATCGTCTGTTTTCCACCACGACCAGCTATTCTCGACGACCCGGAGCCACGACCGCTTGCTTGCACGTTCGTGACAGTGAGCACAACGTTCCCTGAAACGTTTGTTCGTGGTCGCTTCGGGCCACCCACTGTTGAGGCTGCTGAAGAGGCAGGCGCGGAGTTTGGCCGACTAGATGAAGTCTGGTGAAAGAGCTCGTGTGCTAACGCTAGAGAGTCATAATTCGTTCGACTCCTATCGCAATTGGATCTGCTCATAGACGCAGCACTACTACGCGCACCCTCAACTGAAGAAGTCCCGCCGTCAACGAAATCCTCTTCACCTTCGTAGGAGTAGAACTCACCACCACCACTAACTTCGCCAGGTCTTCTACTACGTGTTAAAGAACCACTAGAAGGTTGTTCTGCACTGTAATTCTCCTTGTTCCACCCTATTGCGTCCGCATGTTGTTCCAAGAGCTTACCGTACAACGGCTGTAGATGCGACGCTTTGTTCTGCACGCCACTAGCATACATGTGATTGGTCCCGATATGGACACAACCACCGCCACCTCTAGGCTGCATGTTCTTCCTACCAGGACTACGTGCTGGGCTAGAAGCGTCCACAAAATTGTTTTCCTGTAGGTCAGGGTCATCCTCGTCCTCGGCTTCTTCTACGACCAACTCATCACCATAGCGCTTGCGAAGGAGATATTCAGAATACCTGTGTTTAAGACGGAGTTTGATGAATGACACTGATCATTTCACGAGCTGAAGCGTATGCTTGAAGTACGGAAAGCAAGAAGGTCGTTCGACGTAATGGGGTTCATGATGATATTGATATCTTCTAGCACGGTCATTTACTACCAATCCGTCTCCCCCAAGCGGATAACCGGCTTTCCCGGTGCGTTCGGGTTGGTTCTGCCTGAGCGGAAGCATGCCATTGGTGTCTCCAGATGCATAAATGGATGTTTATGTGGGGCACCAATGGTTTTTGGTACCAATGCAAGCTTTTGAAGAGCTTGTAGCTCCCCTGCTTGGGTCTTCCCCAACTGGCGCCTTCGCTGCACTTGCCCCCATCGGAGGAGATGCCTGGTGGAATGCAGAAGTTTGGTTGAAGAACTATCGGTCTTTTTCCTGGATCGAAATTGCGAAAAAAAGACGCGTTGTATTCGAAGAGAGTGGTAAGAAACCTGAACAACAAGCATTTAATTTTACTTCTAGTCATTTTAATTTTTAGCAACACGAAGTAGAAGTACCTTTCCAAATCAGCTCGATCTTCGATCAAGCGTTCATATTCCTCCGGGTCCTCATTTTCGCTGGCCTTCCACTCCTGCCACCGCTCTTCGAAGCGCCTTAGTGCTCTTGGGAGATCGAACAACATCGTTTAAGGACGTGGATGTTGATTTGAAAATATGACAAATTATACCGAAATCGGCACGCGGCGCGCGTGACCTAAGTTCATCTGATTGGAGAAGGAGATGTTCTTTCCTTGGCAAAAAAGGATCGATATGCTTCTTATTTTACCAGGCGATCCTAGATGCAAAAACCGTAATCGACAAACGCTTGGTCGAGCGACATCCCAAGAATCCCATCAACAGGATCGTCGTGCTCGTGCACAAAACACACATATCCACAGCGTCGAATGATCAACCCGAGTCGATCGATCACAATTCGTCGATTCAATTTAATTGTCATCCTAAGCCTAAGGACGACGTGAAGATCACTTTGGGTTCACTGGCGATGTAGCAGGCATCATATCACAGGCATAAGTTTCTTGTTGTCTCAAGGTCAAGTCTCAATGTTGATGCTGGAAAAACAAGTTCAAGTTCAAAAGGACTCAATTTACTACTTAGTAGCCTCATTAGGTGGTTCTTTTACTCTCTGACAGTGACATCAGGACACCCCAATCGATACTTATCTACACTTCTGATCGCGCTGCTTTATTTAGTTGTACTAGTAGTTCCTGTTCAGTTCATTCAACTTCTCTTTTCATTTTCTGTGCAAGAGCGAATCTGTTTTTAGTTCGTTGTACTGCAAAATGTTGGTGCGCAAAACATATCTGATTCAATCAAAAACAAGTTCAGAGACAAAAATTGACTGTTCACTTACTACTTGAGGAGTGACTACCGTAGTGCATCTTCGACGAGAGGAAGCCAATATATGGGAATCTTTCTACTTTTTAGACTGTACGCAATGAATGAATGCAAGGAAATTTATAAACACGCTAAAACTCTTTTGCGTGGTTACTGTTTTTCAGTGCAACTTCAGAATGCAGCAAAACAAACTATCTATCTGGAAGAACGCAGATTCTTTCTTCATCGACTTTACATCTATCTACCCAAATATTAAATACCAGATGCCAGTACTACCTTATTAACCAGCGCAGATCCTTCACACGTCGCCCTTCTTTTCTATTACTTCCTCCTCGTCTGATGTAGTTGTACTTCTAGTCCAACAACATCTACTCCTCGAGGAACTAGTATTTCTCAGCTTACTTCTCTTTTTCCATTACTATTTCTCCACCACTACCACACAAACGGTGCGGCAGCCTGCATGTCGAATGGCCCAGAGGCGTGGCGAAAAAGCGCCGTCGTGGGCATTTCATGCTTGTTGTGCTTGGTCTCCAGTAGCAGAGGATCTTCCGGATCAGAGGATGGATCTGTTGTCGCGCCAGCGAAGCTGTACGCATCCAGGTCATCGTGCTGTTCCAAAAAGGACCTCTGATCATGTGCAGATTGCTGTTCTCCATCTCCACCAAGGTTATCAATGTGAACACCAACACTGTGCAACTTGAGCAGCTGGTGAGATGATTGTCCAGCATGCTTCTTCTCGAGGAATGAGAACGGCGCAGCCTCCTCAACAGCTTCAACTGGCACGGTAGGAGCTAAATGACGGATGATGTCCCGCACAGACTTCTTTTCTTCTGTAGCGGTGGTTGTATCGACATCTTTGATGTTCTTAGAAGTAGTCACCTCTGTTAGGTACTCGACTGGCTTGCTGCTCAGCATCGCATCGACTTGAGCGGATGTAGTGGTCTTGGCGGATGTAGATTGTTGTTGAGCAAATTCTTCCACCTCCTCATCCTTCTGCTCTTCCTCTCCCTTAGAAACAGTCTCCGCCATCACTTGTTCTTCACCATCTTCCTTGTGGTCAGCTTTCGCGAATCCGACACGCAGATTGTCACGGTCAAACACGGTGAAAAACGCACGAATGAATACGTCACCCAGAATCCAAGCTGGTTTGCCCTTCTGCGACTTCTCCTCACGTCCAAAACCCATCTCGGCGGGGGAAGTTAGAGGAAGAAAAATATGCAATTTCAAGGAAAGGATGGAGGTCCTCGAAAAGCGATTATTGCTAGATAACATTAGATCCGAAAGAAGAAATACAAATATCCATGATCTCATAACATAATCCCCATTGCGCAGGCCTGGCGTTTCCCCGTTTCCGGGTTCATCTCCTCCATCATGTAGTCTTTCGGTTGCAGATCCAACTCGTACAATTCACCTGGTTTTTCCGCATCCCTGAAAACGAACGTCAACGGTTTCAAATTGTCGAACCCATTGCAGTCTTCCTCGACTCCCATCACTTCGTTCATCGTCGGAATGAACTTCTTCGGAGCAGTGATCAGACTGGTTCCAGTATCAACCAATCCGGTGCAACCTTGCTCACCACAAAAACCGAATTCAGAACCGTGAGCCTTGACATCGACGAGATCGATGGTCCAGCGTCCATCCATGGTGACATTAGACCAGAACATCTTGGAACCAGGGATGATCTTGCTCTCGTCGATCTTGCCAAGGGTCATGTAGCCAGGTTTGGTCGGGTTCCCGGAAAAATAGAAGCCAAATTGGTTGTGCTGTATTGTTTTGATGACATTGATGTCATTGGAAGGATGGAAGGAAAAATGGTGATGATGGTGACGATGATGCTAAGACGAGAAGTTCTCGCGACTATCGCCAAATTCTCTTCATCCATGTTTTTTCAAGAGAATAAAGATCGATGAAAGCAATAAATCGCAATGAAAAATAGTACAGTGATCACGCCCTTATCGATCATGTTGTCCAGGATTGGGCGATGAAAGTCGCGTTTGTATTTCTGCGACGCTCTGCGCATGTTGAGTCCCAGTCCCAAGATCCCGTCCATCGGCGAGTCCTTAAACGGGAAATCCGTCTCCTGTTGTTAGCGGTTGCAGTAAGTTGACCGATCTAAGTAACTCGAATATCTACTATGTCATTGCAGCCCCTTCAAAAGGTCTCCACATGGTATGCTCTTAGTAGATAGGTCAACAGAAGTTCAAAAGGACCTATAATTTTACTAGGTATGCTCTTAGATACTAGGTCAACTTCCAATGCTTAACTTTGCGTCACGCCCACTCCTTGCCACGGCACCTCGAGATCTCCGATCTTCACCTTATCCACACCCCAACGGGCGCGGACAGCTCCAGTGCCGTAAAAGAGGTCTTGTCCAGTTCCGGTGGAGATAAACGTGGTGCTCTCACGTGGATGGAACTGCTTGTGGTTTTTGCAACAAGCATCAGGGCAGTGTTGACCAGGGACCCAGAGGTCATTGCTGCCGGTGTCGAAGACAACCGTGAAATTCTGAGCGGGCGTTCCGATACTGATGTCTCCATAGAACATCATGTTGTTGTTGTTCACAATCTGGACCTCCTCTGCAGTAGCATTTTCACCCCTCTGAAGGCCGCGCACGATCGAAACGGCACTTCTGGAGGTGAGTTTTTGCTTCGCTTTTGGACGAAGCTCGATTTTTGTTGTGGTAGTAGCGAGAGCGTCTGCACATGCTGCTGAAAGTGCGGCGACCAGCAAAACTGGAGCAGCTGGAAGACGAACCATGGTCTTGATCAATTTTTTGATGAAGGTTCTCACAAATGTTCTTGAATGCTGGGTCAGAACAATTTCTTGGAATGAAGAGAAGAAATCTATCGACTAAGTCTGTCCTCTCACTCACGCCGTGAGCTGCGCAGACACCGGTTCAGAATGTGGATGATGATGTGAGGACAACTAAGGTGTACCAACCTTTAAGTGAGAGATGAATCATCAAGTGGGGTCCGCCTCCGGGAAGGGGAAGGGGAAAAACCAAAAAGATGAAACTGTCGTCTGAGTCGAAACGATAAATTGGAGACGATAGTTTGCCGTACTGATTTCTAATTTGGAAATGAAACCATTTGAGAAGTGAAAACGATCAAGGTCGGGATCTGACTGAGGACGAGCAAGGGGAAAAAGAAACGAAAAGATTATACCGAGTCAGCATACTAACACGACAAAAAAACGATGCACGACTGCGACTACCGATATTCACATTGATTCGACCGAAGCGTTTGGGTATCTATCTACTAGGACACGACTATTGACCGAATCGTTGTTCTCACCCCTGTTTTACATACTGGGGCGGTAACACAGTTGGAATTCATGCATGAAAAAACGGGAGACTTCTAGCATTCAGATCTTCAGAGTTACTTCAGGTTCAGCTTCAGCTCTTCATCGTAACAGAAATAGAGTTGTTCATGAAGCTCAGTCTTGAAGTCAAATTGTGTTATGAAAGCAAAATGAACGGGTGAATCTGCCTTTATTTCGACACCATGACGTGTTCATAGGACCGCAAAATGAATAGGTTTGGAGAAGTTTACTTATATGCATGACGATGTTCTTGATGTACGCAAATGAATAGATACTCTAGCACTAGCAGATCCAATAATTTCCTACCGACGAGTTCTTTAATGGGATTCGAGTAGACAATGGTCTTAGCTATTTTGTACAGAGATGATACCAGCAGCACTACGAGACCAACATGACTAATTGTACTATGGCTGATATTATGAATGTTGAACAAAAGATCTCCTAGTAGTTGTCCTTTTACTTGTACTCGGTCATCAACCTCATATCTTCGGAACCAAAGAGTCATGCAGGTGGCTGGTCTTTGGTATGGTAGGGTCGATGGGCATATGCACAGCGGTCATCATTTCTGGCGACATCGCCTCATACTTCTTTTCCACGCTAGGTGGGACCCAACCCGTTGCGGGAGTCACTTGCGACGACGGCGGGACTCCAGCACGACCTTCTCTGGGATACTCTGGTAGCTCATGGGGGGTACCTTTTTAGTTTAGTAGTTTGGGTTGGGGTTGGTTCTTGGTTTATTATGCTGGGGATCCATAGGTGAGAACAATTCATCATTGATTTTTAATGCAATTTATTATAGTTGGTTCTATTCTTATCATTATTGATCTTTAATGCAAAAATTATAGAGTACGATGGAGCATCGTGTCTCGACTGACAATGTGATGGTTCGGGTTTTGCGGCACCATCATCTTGCCCTCCACAGCGTCAGGTATGTAGCGTCCTGCTTGATAGTGACTCGGATCTCTGAGGTCCTCTAGCTTTGTCACCCTAAATTCTCGTGGCGCTGAAAAAGGTGCTCGGGGATCGCGGAGCTGTAGATTCGTGGACACATATTTCTAACTCTCATCTTGGAGTTCTTGTACTAGACGATGACGTTCATTGTTATGCCATGATATGTGTGCCTCTGTTGCAGTGATTTCTTGACTACCGTTCATTCAGTTATTCGCATTCATTCTCATTGTTATTCGACGATGTCTTTCTCGTCCCTGTTGAAGATGATACCAAAAACTACACTTACAACCCCGGATAACAAATTGTTCTACTCCTGAAGAAACACAAATAGTACCACATTGATATGCCTGAGCATATTCTTAGTTCCGATCGTTGCCGCCGCATCCCACTGGGCTCCGAGGTCTTTGTGCGGATGCTTGTTTGATATGGCTTTTGAAAATCCTGCAGGGTTGTGGTGACGCGCAGTTGTATCCGGTACTTGAAAAGTCTGTCCTACACTTTTCTCCGTCAAGTAGGAGGGTTGTGGCGCACGCCATGGCGGAACTCCGCGACCACCTTCCATCTTCTTGATTTGTGTCACAGGAGTCTACCTCAAGTAAGTAGTTCAACAAATAGTCGATATAAGAAGTACGTAGATACAACTACGTCTACGGTGATGCGACTTAGACTCCTTGCAACAAATAGGTGAATGATAAGTATCTTCAATAGCTGGTAAGTATGAGATAAGTGACTATTCCAACCTAGATCATCTAATCAAATTTAACTTACCCCTCTGTAGCAAGTGATGAATATGTAGTTATTCGCTGACTCCGTACTAGAGCATCAACTCAATCTGATTCTACGTCATGGGTCGTGGCGAGGCGGGGCAGATCCAGGGAACAAGGCAGAAGCATACCGACTCAGGATAAAGTCCGACAAGATATTGTGGAGACCGAAAAATGGTGATGCTCTTTGCATTCTTCATCATGCGTAGTTTCTCTACTAAATCTCATCTATGGTGACACAAATCAACAGAACCGATTGTCAATAAAATTCCGATTTTATGAAGGAGGCAACAGAGAGGACGACCGGCGCACGAGAACAAGCAAGGCAGCGAGGTTATAATACGTTTGTTTTATTCTTTAAAGTCTTACTAGACAGGATATTAGATTTCGTGGTTGTTTCAATGGGCATGAAAGACAGAGGAGAGAAGTTGTCTTTTGACACAAGAGCGTTCTTGAAGATGTATTAGCAGTGTTTCTGCTGACGGGGGGTCAGTGATGTTAGAAACTGCTCCCTCGAAAATCCGCACACAATCTTGCTGGACTAACACGATTGCGGTCGTTGCCTCTCTTTTTTATCGCATGTCCAGCTTGGTGGTCCATGACTTGCACTGTGCGTACGATTTTCCGCTTCTTCAACGATCCGCCACCCATTTTCATCTCCGAGGCCCCTTGCTTGATCACCCGGTCCTCATGTAGCGTGTCCTTCAAGTCGTCCAAGGTCGTGACATTCCTAGCGCGAAAGAGTTTACGCTGGACATCGCGGGCCCACTCGATTTGCCGGTCGAGCTTGTAGTGGAAACCGAGAAGCAAGTTCTCGATTAAGTCTGCTCTGGAGAGAGGAGGGAGTTTCTCGAGAGGGATGTGCTGTTCCGGTTTCAGATTCTTAGGGTTATTGGTCCATCCGTAGCTAGGCATGTTGGCTGGCCTCAATCGTTGCACCGCTGGCTTGGATTTGTACCCGTCTCCATTACTGTCTTTGCCGCTGGCAGCTGCGTCACGACGCTGCTGTTCGAGTTTTTGCGCCTGGGTGTCGATCTGCAACTGTGTCGCATTCACCGCGGCGCGAGGGTTGTTCATCAGATACTGCACCGTTTCCTCGTACAGCCTAACTGCAGTCGCGAGCATGGCGTCTGCGTCCTGTTCAGCAAGGAAATCGTCCGGCAAAGCTAAGATTAACAGGACCAACAGCTCCAGTCGCACAGTGGACCAACCATGATGCACAGCCACTACTTCCTCGACCCTTGCTAGAGCTTCTGCATGACATGTGACGCCAGCTGCGCCACCTTTTACTGGGCTGCGCTCCTCTTCTTCTTTGTGACGAAGTTGTAAAGCTAAAACTTGTTTGCTGGAAGATGATGTGGTTGACGAAACATCCTTTTTCTCAAAATCGTCAGTATCTTCGTCCTTCACATCTGTAATTGCCAGTGCAGCTGGTGGAGCACTACTAGTGCTAGCATCGGCAGCATCCGCAAGATCCAGAGGGTCGGTTTCTTCTACCTTGTGCAGTACCGTAGACAGCACACATAGCCTATCCTGAGGACAGCTGTTCAGCAGAGCCACTGCTGTTCTCACGTGCCTTGGCCTTCCACTACAATACGCCAACAAAGGCACTGTTCGCTCCGCACGTTGCTGCTCATATTTCAATGGTGCGACCTGGTATGCTGCGGCTGCTCCTCTAGGAAGGAGTTTCGCGAGAGACAGACTCAAGCCTGGAACCCGCGTACTAGCGACCCCGTGAAAGCCGATTTTGCGGCACGCCAGCATCTGGCGAACGTCAATCTTCGCACATAAGGCTTGAATGGCAGTGATGTACTTCTCCGCAGGTATGTGGAAAGATAGCACCACATAAAGCGCTTCAACGATACTTAGGAGGTCGGGATGCCCGTTGATATCGATAGGTCCTTTTGCTGGTCGTGCCTTTAGTGTCGTGGAAGGTGAAGTTGTTGTAGTAGAAGTTGTTTCGACTAGAAGTGCGGTCGATGACGATGACGAAGCCGAAGATAGTTCTAGTGGTGGTACAGCGTCGTCTGTCTTTGCCGCAGCGCTCGTCTTCCCAGGAGCTCCTCCAACATTCACAGCATGATGAAAAGCCTCCAGCATATTGGAATACGCCCTCAGTTCCCGCAGGATATTCCCCACTAGTAGCACCACGCTGTTATGCTCTGCGTATTCCCGTCGCAGCTGCAGGGGCGAGAGGAAGTGCAGCCTGATGAGTGCCTGACACTTTAATTCGAGAGTGAATTCTGGCTTCGGCATTTCGCTCTTAATCAAGAGGATGATCTCCGCAGCTGTGTTTCTCGACTCGATTGTCTTGGCTTCCAGCTGTTCTGCGCCATAGACCTGCAACCTTCTTCGATAAAACTGCTGCACAGCTTGGATCTCTTGAGGGAAGGAACTTGGACTGGAAGGAGCGGCTGTTGATCCTTGTACTCCTTGCGAGGCGGCGGCCGATGATAGGACCTCTTTACGACCGGGAAGGAGCTGATCATTTTTACCTCCAACTAGTGAGTTAGAAGATGTGCTACTTGATGTCGTATGATCCCCAATTATTTTTTTAGTTGTACCGTTTGCGCCATTAGCTTTCGAGGTAGCAGTAGGTCCACGAGCATGGATGACAATCGGACCTTTCGAAGCAGATGAGATGCTACTCGAGGCGGGCTTGACACTCACAGCAGCAGCAGCAGCAGCAGCGGGGGGAGCCTCGTCGTCACCACTATCGTAATCGAAATCCATCTTTTTTTTTTTTTTTTTTCACAAAAAAGAACAAAGGATGTGGATTACGCTTAGGATGTGGATTACGCTTAGGATGATATCTTCAAGGATGTGGATTACGCTTAGGATGATATCTTCAAGGATGTGGATTACGCTTATTCGAAAAACTGAAATAAGCAAGTAACTGATCAGAATAAGCGAGATACTGATGAAAAGGAAGAGTAGCCTTGATCTTAAGCTACCTCCCTTATTTCAGTCAGTAACTCGGTTATTTTGAGTTTTCGAATAGGATGAACAGATTGAATGCACTTTTACACCGCGTCAAGTTTGGAAACGGAGGATCCCTCGTTCTTAAAAACGTGCACATACTATTACCAATCCTAGGAAGACTGCAGACCGGGATTTTGAAGTAGTTTGAGCACACGTCTTTTTTCGACAACGATGAAAGGAAAGGTCGGAACACCCGATGGAAAAACCAAGAACCAACTGCGAACAACCGCGCTTTCTGATTTCCTATAACGATTTGCATTCTACTTGTCCTCTACAACGATTCTGTACATTTTATTCAAGAGAGATTTTTCGATTGTTATAGCTTTGCATTTTATTCCTTTGTCGAATATCCTGTGCGATCTTGTTCGTTTAGCGTCGCACGAGTGGATCAGTACTACATTCTGAGACTGAGTAAGTTACTGTATCAAGAATTCCTTTTTCTGATGATGTAATTGTAATAGTTCGATAAATTATGGTCGTGTAGAAGACTTTCAATTCTTCTATTGTAGGAACAAGCTGAAATTTACAAGTAGATGAATATCATCCCTTCATAGTATCTAGAAGAAAATTAGACAATAACGAGAACAATATGCTGCGTTTCTGGTAAGTCTGTATGAGCTATTCAATATCTCGTTTTTTTTGCTTGGTCGATATAGTAGTTGTGATGACTCGTTCCGTTCATACGGTTTATCTTGTAGTTAGTTTATCAAAATACAAGCTCCGGTTACACTACTTCGTGCGTCTAGGATAACATGCGCAAGTTCAATTCGTTTAGGTAGCTACATCTACATGATCAATCTGTCATCCATAATAGTGTTCAAGGCTGGAGCATGTCGCGCATGCTCCGCTGGTATACTTTTTGCGAATATGAGATCAATTTCAATCAGAATTAAATGAGTCACGATCTAAAAAGTACATCTATAATTGTTCCTTGTTGCGCGTAGTGGATGCTATTTTTTGGATTCGTCGTCTGTTGTATTTGTCGGTGAAGTTAATAGACTTGAAGTTTTCATAATCGATATTGTTGCGTAGTGAAAGCGAATAATTAATATCGGAGATCTGTTATTCTGCATGCATCAAGAACTGTAAATGGTCTAAGATTTGAACGATTTTCGAGCTCACGATTGGACGCGTCAGCGTGTTCAGGAGGCTCCAAGGGGGATTCTTTCTTGTCATTATCGGAAGGAGTTGTGCTCCGAGTAGTTGTAGTGCAAGAAGTATGAAACCAAAATCTCTTATCATTATCGTACTTTTCTACTTAAGAAACTTGATAATGATAACAGATTTTCGTTTCATAAGAAGTAGAAGAACAAGCACCAGTATGGTACTCCTATTAGTAAATCCTTCTCCTTCTACTACACGACCGCAGTTGTACTAGTTGTACTACCTTCTTGAGCAACTGATAATTGTTTAGCGATGCCCCTTCCTGAGTCCCTTCTCCTGTTTGCGTTGCAAGCCACGCTGCGTCTTGAGCTTGAGCTCTTCACGCGTAAACGGTCGTGTGTCATCATCCTCATCTTCATCTTCGTCATCGGTGTAGTCTTCTACTGTTGACGGAAGTTTGATCTGCAGCTGGCTCATGGGCTCGCGCGTGCCTGGAAGGTCACCCTCCTCCTCGTCGCCCTCTTGCAGGGCAGTGTGCAACAGCAGGATCTCGTTCGCTCGAGTCTCGATGACACCGAGATACTGGAGCATGTTGCCCTCGGTAACGCCCTGAAGGCCGAGAGCACCGTGCTCGGCAGTCTGCGAGCAGCCGAGACTGAGTCAGTGGGGTTGGAAATTTCTAAAGTTGTGCAAGATATTCATATGTTGATTGATTGCGAGGACACAAGTCATGATTTTCTATGCAACCAAATTCCATTCTAGACACAAGCCATTCACAAGTAAAAATGTTACCGGTTATAGATGCTCTGGAGACCGGCTCTAACTGCGGTGAGGGTCTTCAATGCCTGTTGATATTTCAACTCGTAGTGCTCTGCACGCTTATCGGCTCGATTCCACTTCTCCTCTAACTCTCCTAGGAGCTTCTGCTTTTCGTTGGAACCTAAAAAAGTCGCGGTGAGATTGAGAATCACTAGGTGGTGAGGAAATAACGATAAGAGGAGAAGGTGAGGGACGAAGATAAAGTACACGCAGAAGTTTTTGAACATTATCATGCCTGAAGCAGAAAACCAAGTACAAAATGATGATGAAACTGCTAGGTTGGCGGTTCACAAGTTCACAACCAGCAAACCAAGTAAAAAAACTACATCGAAGGTAGTTGTACCTCCTGGTCCACCGCTCTTCAATGTCTCATATTCGCCCTTTAGAGCTTGAATCTCGAGATCTAACCTCTCGATTTGGTTATTCAACAGATTGGCGTAGTTGAACAGTGAGAAGTTTCCGTCCTCAGCGTTCACGAAGTTCTGCACTAGGTCGTCAATGTCACTAATACCGGTGGCAGCCTGTTGTGAGTGGAAATGGATGAATGGTGGAAGGTTGTGTCTGCTGGGTCTTCTCATTCAGGACGATAAGGTCATTAGTCTAAATTTTTGTATCTACCTAAGCACTCAGCAAGATGAAGATCGTGTGTGGAGTTCATTTACTAGAAACTACCTGAATCTTCGCGAATGCTTCCTCATAGACTGTTATCCTCTCTGTGTTAGCGCTCTGCGCAACCTTTCCCTTTGCAATCATCCACGCGTTCTTCGTTACCTTCTTCTTCATCTTGTCTTCTTCGTCGGCGCCTGAAAGAGAGGCGGAAAAAAGAGGCAATCATGATCACCACATGAATATCAAAGATCCGATTTTTATGGAACAAGAACATGTTAAGGGGTAGAGTGCTGGTCATAATGTTTTGCTTTATGTGAAATCCCAGAGTAGATCAAAAGGAAGTTATTTTTACTCATATCGCCCTTATGCTCCTCAACGCCACGATTCCTCTCCTTCTGTCGCATAAATTCCTTCATCTTCTTATCATTCTCGATAAGCCGTCCGAGTTCCTTCCCTGGTGTTAGTGGTTTATTCGATATTATTTATACTCATAGATATACGGAAGGATGTTGTTTGCTGAATTTCAGAAGATTAAGTTGTAGATACAACTAAGGACCACTGATGGTATTTAGCTACTTAGCATGAATCTTTTTTTCAACAAGTCATCTTCTGTGGAGGTAAGTACACTCTTTCTCGAATTCTTGATGCTCTTTGTCCGCTTGCTGCTTGAGACTTGTCATTTGCGCCTGCGCTGCGTCTCGTGCTTCGTATGCTGCGTTTGCCTAGAAGTTGGGTTTTGCGGAAAAAATGTGAAGCATGTTGTAATGTGATATCAACAACAGAAATCTTCACCATGAAGTTGGTCAAACTTAGATTATGATTATGTTGAAGAATGTTGAATGTGATAAGTGAACAGGCCAACGCCTAAACCACTAAGCCAGTGACCGAGAAACAACAAAGCACAAGAACAGTACCTGTTCACTTAGATTATGTTTTTAAAGAATGTTGAATGGACCGAGAAACAACAAAGCACAAGAACAGTACCTGTTCGATGATATTTGCCATTTCCTTCTTCTTTTGCTCGAATTCTTTTTCTAGTTTCGCGTAGATGTTATCGAAGACGACTCGCTCGCTTCGTAGGCTATCAATAGTGTCTCGCAATTTCTTGTTTTCGGCTACTGCTTCGTTGAATTTCTGTTGGAGGGGTGTGTTCAGTTCATGTTTTTTTACTTATTTTTGCTCTGTCTTGGACGAAAGAAAACCGTATAATCGATATATTCAGGAATAAGACGAAAAGTACTTACCTGCAACGCTTTATCGAGCCTGTTCTCCAGCACTCTGATCTGCTTTGCTACTGCTGCTGCGGACTCTTTGGCGGCGTTGACACCACCTTTCAGTCCTAGTTCCTCTCGGACTTGGATAGTCTTTGCTTCCACGATATCGGTCTTTTCCTCAATCTTCGTCTTCATCTCGAACTCCTTCGCGATTTGCTTTTCTGTTGTTGTCATTGGCAAAAGGGAGATGTGAAGAAATGTGAAGAAGTCTAGATTTTTTGATGCTCAATTTCAAATTCATTTTCACGATTTTTCTACTTCTCTTCCATCCTGCGATATAAGGAAAATGATTACACAACACATGAAGAAGATGCAGACCCTTATAGTACCAAGTGACTCCTTGCTTTCCGCAATCTTTGCCAGTGTTTCACCTGCTCTTCGTGCCTCAGGCCCACCTCTATCAGCTCTTCGTACTTCGGAGAGTTCTTGCTTCATTTGCCTGTTTTCCCGAGTAAGCTTTTCGATGCTTGCTCGTTGCTTGCGGATGACGCCTTGACTGTCCTCAGAGTAAGCTCTCTTGTCATTTTCGAGGACGCGGAATTTCCCTGTAGTAATTGGTGGTTGTTCAGATTGAAGGTGTGGAGTGAGAAGTTTCTAGAAGCGGGAGAATGTACTATTTCTTTGTCGTTGTTGAGTCCTAAAAGGGAAAACAGGGAAATCATCTGCAAGCTACCAGCAAAATCAAATTCTAAAGAGGGTAGTAGTTGAAGAGTAGTACGCTGAAGCTCCGCCACCTCCTGCTCGACGGGCTTCTTGTCCTCATCTTTCCTTTTTTTCATCATCATGTTCGAGTTCCCTTTGTAATGCCACTAATCTTCTACTTGTAGTTCAACAGTATAAACACAGCAAAATTTTCAACCTATTAGAACGTTGAAGTAGAAGACACAGAAGCTACAAACTACAATCTCTTTCGATTTATTGTGTATGAAGTCATCAACTAAATTTTTCAATTTATTGTGTATGAAGTCATGGGGAGGCGGGAATTTTTGGAGGTTTGGGGTGGTAGGGTGCGACGGTGGAAACAATGTAGTCCCTGACTGTATTTCAGAATAAACATCATGCGATGTGATGTGCCAGACTTATTGTGATGCAGAAATAGAAGACTTACTCCGAGCATGAGTTTCGTGTTCGTCACACGTTCGATCAACGTTATGCTTTCATTTCCAAATCGCTCACACTTATTGTTCTCTCGAGTGCAGCTCCTCGCTCATTGTGGTCTTCGCTCCCTACTCAACGACAACGACAAACAGTGCTTGTCCCTCTTCACGAATACGACTAGCAACGACTCGTCACTTTACCTTGTTGAGTTGATGACAGCAAAAACAATAGACTGGGAGGCAACAAGAACCGAGGCTCGATAACTTTTCTACGTACAAGATAGAAGTGCGACGTTGAAGAATGGTTCTAGTCGGGAGCAGTGATTCATGGACAATCCCGAAACACCCACTGCAGTGTAGTGCTTCTGAGTTGGAAAATTCTTGAAACTTCTTTAGCTCTGCATTGTCAAACATCGAAACATATTTTCTTCCTGGTATCTACTCCTCGGGGGGTACGCATATGTTTAGTAGGCGGGTCAGCGCACGCAACGATCAAAACCAAAACGACTTTTACTGCGAACTAGACATCATGACCGTTTCATTTATCACCAAAATTCTATGCTGATGTATTTTACTCCACTTACACTACTGGCGCCATCAGAGATGGTCGCGCTTTGACAGTAATATACTGAATGAAAATGACTTTTAGTAAACTACAAGGTGGATGCAGAGCGGAGCTCGCAATAAGTGCCACTGCTACAACTTGTGTTTTTGTCTTCATGGGATAACAAGTTACATTATCAGCAAAAAGATAACCAGGGATCAGACTTACTAACGACTTTTACGACTGGTGATTGCTTTATATTACAAGGACCCTATGTGATGATAATTTTCGGCATAACGGATGAAGAAACCGCTGGTATCTTAAAAGAAAAAACGGGTAAATAACCATAGTTTCAACAAAAATCCGAGCTATGTACGATTACCAATTTCCTCGCTGTTTCTACGTCGTTATGTTTCATCATGGGGGCTCATGTTCTGTAGTACTTAGTTCTTAAGAGAAGTAGAGCGCAGTTGCTCGTACGATTTTCCACCTGTCGTCGTGTTCATTTTGTATCTGTTTTCGGTCGAGCAAGCTCCGCATTTCTTATACTGTAATATCTGTAAAAGTATATGATGTTGATGGCTACGACTATTGGTGAAGATTCTAGTAAGAGTTCTCATGATGTACACCATGTACTTAGTTCTTTTCACAAAAGACCTGTACACGCACCGGAAAACAGCGCGTCATCTTTTACGTAATTCTAACTACGGCTTCTTCAAACAAAGTAATCACTGAAACGCATACAATTTAAGTACAACAAATCTGGGATTTCCAGACTGGAAACGAGTAAATTTCAATTTCACATCAATTTTATTATTTCTTGTCGTAGCTGCAACATACTTGCTTCTTAACCTCTTGGAATCGCCAATTTCAGTAGTACACCAATTTATTATCAGTACAGCGAGCTGAGAAACGAGTCTACAGCATTTCCAGTTGCCCCTCGTCCAGCAGCTCTTCCTCTATCTCCTCCCTCGGTCGCGGTATCACATTTGGATAACGCGGTACAGATGCGCCGTTTCCGGGTGCGTCACCTGGTCTGCGGTTTGACGCTGCTAGGAGATTCTCCTTCGACATCATATGGAACCGCTGTTCAGATAGAGCCCTCTTCTCATACTCCAACTTCGAGCGGTCGACCATGTCCGAGTAGCCGCGATACAGTTTCGAGTCCACGTAGAAAAGAAGCATACTCGTCCGCTCCAGTGCCACAGACATGGACACTTCAAATTTCGACAGTTTCTCGTTCATATTGGCCATGGGGATTAGAGTGGTAGAGAAATGCAAGTACTTAGATGTTTTTAGTTGATATAGGCTTGTTAACCTTAGATGATACTTAGTTGAAAAAAACATTTCACGTGAGATGAAAAGATCCTGTTCACAGGAAGATATTTTGATTATCGAAAGTTTTTTCACCCCCGACAGGCTTTTTGATACCCCTGGCACGATCTAGTAGAAGGACGAGTGGTCACGATTTAGTACAGCAATTTCGATAGTTGTTCTTGTTGTACTCGCTCTCTTCAGAAGATGAAACAAGGGAAGCTAAACATTTCCAATTATCCCAATCATTTATTCCGGGCCTTAATGTGAGGTTCGTCGCATACATGTCCTTGGCTTCGGCATCGTCTACAGAGTTCAGCCGCAAAGCTGCTCCCATAAAATCTTCATATCGGACTGATCCACTGCGTTCCATGTCTAGAATCTCAAACAAGGACCTCGTATGGCCAACGTCAATGCCGACTTGCTCTAACCTTTTGTAGAGATCAGGTCGGTCTCTCAGTAGCAAGTCGTATTCATGCAAGGAAATGCGACCGGCAGCAGCGGTGTCGGCTTCCTGTTGTATGGACGGAAGAGTGGATTCTCACTCGCTACAGTTCTTACTTCAACGAGAAAAAAAAACAAATTCAACATAAGTACCTCAAGCGCTTGCTTTAGTTCTTCCATCCGTTCGATGCGGACAACGCCCTCTTGGGTTTGCTTGCGCAGGTGTCGCGCCTTTCCAAGCTTGAGGGTTTCCGCGACGATCACCGAGACAATAATGTTCAGGAGACCATACCACGTTATCATGATGAAGAAAACCCAAATGCAAATCATCGACGGCTGGTTGTCCACCTGATGAGTAGATGAATTAATTTTTTGGAAATGCAAAGCGTCAGCGACTGGGTGTAGTGACTACAACCGGCCGCCGAGTCCTGGGCCGTCGCTCTCTATTCGTAAGATCAAAGTCACTTGCAATATTGCCGAGCGAGCGCGCCTTCTCCGAGCAAAAGCGCCGGAGTCAGCTCACGCTACCAGATTAGCCCGCCACGACTCAGCGTAGTCAAAGGCCCAAACTCCTTCAGCCACGTTACATACCCGTTTAACTTCGCGAGCATTCCTGGCGTCAATGCTCCTTAGCCTTTGTTTTTACAAAAAAAAAGCTGCGCGCCCGAATTCTTTACAAGACAACCCAGAAAGAACCACGCTAGCATGCAGGAGCCGCCCCTCCTAGACCGCTATAGCCCAGAAACATTCATCGGCAGCATTCACGCCATTCATCTGCACCGCCATCCACCGAAGCCCTGCCCTTCAGGGGCTGGCCTGCAGCAGCCCCGAGGGCTTCGCATTGAAGTCAAATTGATTCCATACGATCTCCAGCCAGGTACTTCCCCCAACTATCAGACAACCCAGCCAAGCGGCAAGCCGCGGGGGTGGCTCCTTTCGGGGATGATCCGCCACGGAGTGCCGCCGTGCTATCCTGCTGAAGTAGTGGACTGCCCACACACCTGAGAGAGACGCAGAGAGATACACAACGAGGCAACTCATGGCAGCGCAAACCGTCGACCGCTGGCGCCCCAGCTCAATCACGCGGGGCCCGTTTTTTGTCGGCAGGTCTCTTGCCGTAGCTCAGCGCCAACAACCAACGATCCCAGGGCGCTGGGCCCTTCTACAGCCGGAGACGTGCCCGCGGCTTCCTTGGTGGTGGGGTCACAGGCTTAGTGAAACAGGCGCCGGCCCGTTCTGAGGGACTTCCGCTGCAAATTTGCTGCAGGTTCGCAAGCCCTCCGGGATCTGCTTGGGCTGGCTTGCTCGCTAGTCCCAGCCTCTCCTGTTATGGTGCTCCAGCATCCGCACCGCAAGGCCCGCACCAGCATCCAACCATCCGCCAAACGAACGGCCTCAATCGCTTACGGCTCCACCCCTGTAAGCCCGTTCCCATAACTGCGAGGAAACTCCCCCATGGGATCACTAGACAACAAGGCGACAATGGGTCTCAGGCGTGCACTAACACACGCGCCCGCGCGAAGTTGAATATCGAACGCAACCAGACTCAGACACGACAGCCCAAGCCTGCCGCTATCAAAGCCCGGCGCGCCTTGGGCACGTGGCTGCAGACGTTAACTCGGGGGAAGCCGACGGCCCCGGTGGCTCTAGGAGAGTCAGCCGCCCTTGCAGGTATCCTCGGTATGGTCGTCGGCTATATTCAATGAGGCACCCCAAGAGCACGCCGCATCGGGCTGCCTTCTTCTTGCAGCTCCTGGGGCTCTCTTTCACTCGGTAGCCGACGCCCCCAAGGCATTCGAGCGCTGCCCTCGCTACGTCCAGCCGACACGTGCAGCAAGTTAGCCGCAAGCGGTGCGCCGTACATCGTCAGCTGCGCCGCCATCGTGCTCGGCTGCGACAGGTTGGGCCCTTCATTTGTCTCACGCCCTCCCCTAACGGGGCCTCTCCTTGTCTCATCCTTGTAGGCACCGGCTCCACTTGTAGGCCGTCGACGTTGCATCATGGTGAGAGCGATTGGCGAAGTACATGATGGTCGGCCATCTCTTATAACAGAAGTTTCCCCCTGATATATTCTATGAGGAATACCACAGGCCTGACAATGTTTGTGCTCCATTCGGACTTGGTAGCTAGCACTATCAATGTCTGCATAGTCGTTCCACAGCTCCCAAAGTAGTCCCGCCAATTCCATCCAGACACTTTTGCATATGGTGCATATAGTTCTCGCTTTTTACCTAGATGTGAGGGTAAATTCAATAAAAAGGGAAAAATGGTAGCGCCAGCGATAGATGATTTTGTAGTGAGTTTCGTGAAGAAGATGAAGCATTTTACTCTTGTTAGCACATTCTGTGTAAGTCAAAGACTATTAACTGAAAGGAAAATCGACTCTGAAAAAGTACCAACAGTAACGGTGAAAACGATTCCGAAGAAGTAGATGAGCATCAGAAATAGCGCCATCACGGTAAGGACTGCAGGAGCAGCACCGCGTAGAGCCTCCCCCATCTTCACTAGCGTCCGCATTGCCGGGAAATGCCTTAATATGCGACCAAGTTTGACTAGTCGTGCCGTTCGCAAGACCGTCAGTGCTCTGCGTGAGGAATAGAAGAAGTATTTCTCGGCAAGGAAATAAAACGAAATTCGAAGAAGTGGCGCACTTCCAACAAGATGCGCAGATCGATCTCGATGGATGAAATGGAAATCCAATTTCTACGAATAAAAATCTTCAACACGCGCTGTCCATAATTCCACTTTTAGCAGATACTACAACGCCAGTACCTGAGCGTTCCGCCACTCTCTGGTGCCGCAAGCGTCAGTATGAAGGTGTCGATGCACCCAAGTGTAACGATGAACCCATCGAAGACCGCATACGGGTCAAGAAAGAGCTTCCGTCTATGAAAGGCCCAACGAAATCGCAACTCTGCCATGAAAATGAGAAGAAACCCCACATCCGCTGCGTACCAATACCACTCGCCTTCAAGAGCAGGAACCGGCTTCACGGAAGTTACTTCGCCTGTGAGGAATTTGATGGTGATGGTGGTCATTGATGTCTACTCTACTCCTTCTACTAGTAGCACACTAGCAGCTAGTAAATGAAAAATAGAAAAGGGCTGAAGATATTTTACAACCAGTACGTCTACATGTTGACTACCTTGTCCTTTGCATGGTCCAGTCTCGATTCTCTTGCAACACACGCCTTGGCTGTCACACTCCTTGACATTCAAATCCGTCTGGAGCATCAGGAACACGGTGTTGCATATGATGAAAAATCCCATAATTCCGTTGAAGGCAAGACTGTCTGGTGGCAAAGCAGGCTGATTCTTGTCTTCTTCCAGCGTCATATCGATATCCTTGTACTTCAAAATCAGTTCCGTTGCAACGTCTTCGGGCTTGCGACTGAGGTATATATTTATTCGAAAACAAGGTAAAGGTTCGGACTGCAAACCTAAGATTTCCGACTCTACCTGCTGCGGAGATGAATACACTTCTTTAGTCAAGGCAAGTTGTATCACGATCTAGAGTCATGCAATGAACATTGAACGAGAAATTTCGAATCATGTACGTTAGAGTCAAAAGAAGTAGTCTTAGTACTGTCCATCCTCAGTAAGAACTTAACAAGTCCTCAGTCAAAAGAAGCAGTCTCAGTAACTACTTATCATGGTCTTAGTACTGTCCTTCCTCCAGCAGTCTTTGCTTTCTTCGTTGACGTGCGGCCTCTTTGCGTTTTTCAATCCAACTAGGGGTTTGAATTGGTACAACTTCTATCAGGGAGCGACTGGCTCGCCTCGTCTTGTCCATCCAGCTATCTTTGCTATCCGTTCGAAAAGACGAATTCTGAGAATCGGCAGAGCCCCTTCGGCCTGAGGAAAAGAGACTTATGAAGGATGGTCTAGTACCGCAGATGGAGAGGATCAGGAGGACTACGAGATTGTTGTTTACGACAAACACAAACTACAGGGTTAGGGCTTAGGGTTCATGTAGGTCGCGGCGTGCCTAGAATCAATTACATATTCTAGAAAATACCGTCCGCGCGATATTTACTCCCAGGGACGCCCTCCTTCGACCGACTGCTGCGGCGCTCACCTCCGGATGATCCTCTTCTTTCCCGAGCGCCTCCACTGCTGCTCCGCCTTCGGCCGCTATCCAAACTATCTTTCGAATTACTGCGGCTCCGTCGTCTGCCTTGCGTATTCTTGCTACTAGTTTAGATGTGAAACAGAAGTTCTTTTTCGTGGTATAACACTAACAGCACATCCTATGTATAGTGATAATTACTCCCTTCAACAAACAAATTCATCAGATTTTGAAATCACCTCAAAACCACATCAGGAAGCATAACTAAACGGATCCCTCGCCAAGTGCATGCTGCTTGCTCCTGTATCAAACACCTCGTCATCCGCGTCTGAATCTTCGTCTAGCTCCTCAAAACTGATGAGATACTTCTCCTCGAACCTTTGCCACCTTCTTTCCACCCCGTCAAAGACCGTATGGAAAAAGTCAGACCCGATCTCCCTAACTGGAGTCGAAAAACACCGCCAGCAGTCTTGCGCGCATTCTCGAAACCGGAAACAAAGCCAAAAACAACACCATTGTCTGCTGGGATTAGATGAGGCGGGTAAATCAATTTCTTGTAAGTAGTTGTACCTGTACATAAGGAACAAGTCGTTATTAGTGGTTGCAAGCTTGTAAACTATTTTTACAGTTGATGAGAGTCGTACCTGTACATAATAAGCAGGTAAACCTTAGATAGTCAAAAAAGTTCCACATGAGACGAAACAGTCCCGAATACAGGACAGCGCTGCAGCATGCGTCTGGACGTCATTTTTAGTTTGTGTTTGTGTGGAGTTGTCCTATATTTTGATTGGAGGCGTATTGGTATGATGCTTGCAAACCAACAAGAATCCTTAACTTTCAATCTGTCTGGACTCGGAGTCTTTCGTCTTGTTGCTAGAGCCCAATCGGAGACACCCATCGCTTTCCAGATAGTCCGCTTGGAACTGCCAAGGGCGCCGTGGTGTCCTCCACCAGTCACTTGTGGGTCGAAGGTGACACCTGCACAGAGGAGGGTTTTGATGTCTTCTTGTCTGGCATATTGTTTGAGGAAGATAAGGTGTGTTGAAATAGAGTTTGATGATGATCATGAACGACATCTTGTTCTGTGATCTTGAATGAGATATTTTCTTCACTTCTTGCATTAGCCGTAGAGGTCATACCGCTTTGTTTGCTGCTCCCTGTCCCCGCCCTATCATTTTCGTCTTCATCGCTACTAGTACTTCGCCGTTTCAATTTGGTGCTTGCTCCTAGCGACAAGGACTCGAAAAAACGCAATCCGCGACTCGGTTTTTGGCTGTCCGTTCCATCTTGTTTTTTTGCTGCATGATGTTGTGCATCCGCGTGCTCATCTGACGACTCGCCACTGCTGGCCCAAGCCGTAGTTTTGTTTTTTTTCTTACCCGCGCTGGATGACCGAGGTGGGGATGCCGAAAGTAGCATCGCCGCGACTTTTCTGCCCTTTGAGGCTTGCGGCGAAAGGCTTCCATCAGTTGTGAAGCCTCCGTCACTGCTGACGAAACCCGACATACGGTCACCTTTGACTGCAGCTTCACCAAGATACTCGTTGTCGGACGAAGAATAGCCTCCCCCGAAGTATGAAGAGGATGATGGTGGGAATGGAATGCTACTATACTTTTGATTTGGTTCTTGACTCACACAACTGAACCGATGAAGTCGATTCACATATATAACTACACCCCCTACAGTAGAATCAATCGACGCAAATAAACTGACAAGAAAAGACGTAGTGACTTCTTAAAGATGAATATCCAGCAGGAAGAGCAGGAGGAGGCTGACGAGAAGCAGCTGCATTCCCCTGTGCTCCGACGTTAAAAGTCGAGAAGTTCGGATTGGCATTATCAATAGCAACTCCTTTCGATGAAGTACGGATATCCCGTTTCCTCGTTCGACCAGCCCCAATGCCTGGTCCTGCAACTGAGACCTGATTCGGTGGGGCGCCATCGGTGCCTCCAGGTAACGTGCCAAGCGCTGAAGATGTTGCCTGGTGAACCACGAAAAGAGGCGGCGATGCGCTGTCAGGCGGAGTCGGCTGCTGCTTGCTGTCCTGTGTAGATGGTAAGAAAATGGTCTGTGTCTGTGAGCAAGTCAGAGTAGAGTAGTTACTTAGAAATTGAAATTTTTTCTTGTGCTTCTATTCCTGATACACATTATGCAGCTGCAGTAGACCTCAGTCGAGAAAAATATACTTACTTACAACGAAGTACCCTAACTTACCCTATTCCTCACCGCACTTTTCAATGCTCCACCTGTATCGTCTCTGATGCTGACTGCTGTGTTATAGACTTCACGCGCGTTTCTCTCAACCACCTCATCTACTTTCTGTTTGTTTTTACGGCCAGCTTCATCCCGTAGCATCTTATTCATGAAACTTCGGGTGTCTGCGTTTACTGGCATACGACCCGCCGTTGACGAGCTCGAGCCGCCGGCCGTCGCAGTACCTCCAGGCAGAGCCCCGGGAAGAGGCTCTGCAGCAGTTTTACTTATGACAATTGGCATTGTATCATGTGGAAGATCCAGATCATGTAGGGTTTTTTAATATACTTAATGAAGACCACAGGTGATGATGATGTACTTGTGTTGACATCACATAATTATATATGTTATGCTGTTGAACTTGAAGAACTTGAATCACGATCAATAATCTTCAGATAATGAAGACAAAAATGACGTGGAATGCATGTCATGGTCAACGAATGGACTTCTGACAGAATCATGTAAGTAAGTATGACATTACTTCTTCTAGTAGAGCCTATTTTGATATGCACATACCTAGACTAGCCTTCTCGATCTCTATGACAGACTTCATTATGCTTATGGCATCCTAGCAGACCTAAAAATTGTTTTTGGTTGTGATGCAGCGAATGAGCGTGAAACATATTAGTACCTAATAGCCAGCAAAATTTCTCTGTCAGTCAAATCGAGAAGATGAAGCACTTATAGTGGTTGTGGGGATAGTCGGTTGGGGGATCTACAAATTACGAAGGTAGGGACAAGGGCAACGACTTGAAGTACTTAAGTAGAACGAGAAATGCAAAGAAGCTTTGAAACGGAGAGAAGAGCAAGAGTGCTCGAGATGATAGTAAACTACACCTAGAGGTTGTAACAAAGAAAAAAACCTTGAGGCGGCCGAACATATCCAGGTGGGGGAGAGAAATTGGCGGGAAGGGGTGGAGGTCCGGCGATAGGCGCTCGGCTACTGCTATCGACTTCGCCTGCCGTTTTTTTCTTCTTTTTACGAGTCGGACTAGTTTGCGTGGCATAGCTACCACTTGAAGAAGAGCTTCCTTTGTTCACGTTCATGGCTGCTTTCGTGCTTGTGATTGTACTTGTTCTTGCAGTGCTACTCGTACAACTCGCTCCTCGTGGGCGGCAGGTAAGAGAAGTGCTTTCTCCTCAGTTTCGTTGATTATTTCGCCAAACTAGTCGCAGCACGAGGTGGCATCATAGTCCCAAGAACGTGGCTCACCCGCTTCTCATCATTTTCGGTTGTAAGCGGCCATCATGGGCGTAGCGCACCAGTGGTCGTAGTACGGAAGGAGGAGCTCCCGGAAGGCCTGACTGATGCACCCGATTCGGAATCGGAAACTCACTTCCACTATTACTAACTTCCACTATTCCGACAAAGCGAGGGAGCCCCTGCACGTGGTGCAAAAGAAAAAGTAGTCTCGCCTCCGACACAAACCCAAGTTGAAAAATCCGCTTCCCACACCCGCGTATCCAAGAACCAACCGACATGAAAAGGCAGGCACCTCCGACATGAAAAAAGGCTTGCCTAGGAATCCAAATCCATGTTGATTTTTGACACTTTCACTCAATTATATCTTTGCTCCAAACCAGATCTCCTGTCCACGTCGAAGCTCATGTCTTCTACTGCAGCTTCTTTGATCAAAAAATAGTCAGTTCAACCGATTCTTGCTTCAGCACCCGCCTTCATCCTGTTGGCGGGTGAACAACAAATCTTTTCAATTTTCTTCTAAACCTGCGGCTTTTGTCGCGGATTTTCATGGACGACTTCTTCTTTTTAACCTTGATAAGAATCTTATGCGCAACTTGCTTCATACATGGTCATTTATCGCATCTTAACCAATCGTGGAAAATGATGATCGGCGTCTCAACAACCCCTTTACTTGACGCGTAGTTTATTGTCCTGCTGTCTGGTTCTTAAATCACGTGCTTTTCCATCCATCTATGTGTGTCTTGAATACTACTTCTAGGGTGTTTCTCTGGAATCTATTTTTTACACTCCTCATCGGATACACCTCCATATCCTTTCTTACTTCTTATTTCTTAGACCACTTAGTACCTACCCTACTTACTATTCTACACCGGAAGAGAGTCCGAACTACCTCAGGCTCAGATTTCATTATATATATTAAAAACAGATATCCTACTTCCTGTGAGACTATCACATACTCGTTTAACTGCAACTGTCATAAGAAGTTCACTCTCAGTTTAATTCCAACAGCTCACAAATAGGCTCTTCACCGCTACCCTGAAAATTCAAGCAAACACCCCTACCCTGAAACTTCAAGCAAAGAAACACTAACTCAATGATTTCGAGTTCCAATGTTGTCGTCGTGAGATCATGTAGTAGTTACCCCGAGGAGTCCGGCCCGGATCCGTCCTCGGACTCTTAGACATTTTTCCGCACGACAAGGAAGCTTTTTTGAGAAAGGAATGATCATAAACGGCCTCAGATATGCATTCGAGCACTCAATAAAACTGTACTTCTTCTAGAAGACAGAGCAACTACCTACGTACTGATAAAAATAATTGGAGAAAAACCAGAAACAAAAATACAAGTTTTCTCGTGCTCTTTATAACTCCTGCCTACATCTATTTTGATACCACGTCTATCACAATGATTGCGGAACGAAAAATATCAATTAGCTGTAGGTCAAGGTATTCCCTGGGGTGGTGAACGGATGCGGCTTTCCGTCGGTGCGTGCCACTGCCACAAGGATGAATGTAAAAGTAAATGTTAAACCATGGATCCATTCCCAAGGAATCTAAGGCACCACTCACACATGCTGCGCTACCCTCGTAGTTCGTATTCGCAAATCTATCTCCCTCCGAAGAGTAGAGATCATTTGAAGAAAATGAAAAACAAAGATAGACTTCTCCCGCCAGCATCCCGATCATTACAATCCCCTCAATCGATTTCTGTTTCTGGTTATAACTGATTACTTATTAAGACATGATGACAATGTATTAAGTGCTTCTTCTTCATCCCTTGAATTTATTTCACTGCTTTCCTAATCCTATCTACTTTTACCTCAATCAAGAACAGTTTTTGTTAAACTATCGACAAAAATGGAACAAGAAAAAATGATTATCTTCTTCTAAATAGTACTTCTTTTTCTATTATCTTCAAAAAGATCTACTAAAAACAAGAACTTGTTACTTACGGCTTCGAGCATTCCAAAAGTCAAAACTTCAAAAGGTGAGATGAAAGGGCTACTCCAGACAGAGGCAACAGTTTAATCCGCATTTTTTGATACTTTTTACACCAGTGATTGAATAACAATTAAATTATAATCGCCTTCACTACAAATAACGATCCTGAACATTTTCACGACGAAAAAGCGGCCGACCTACTAACCTAGGTGCATTGATGAAGATGAATAGGTTAGACAATATTGTGTTTGTGCATATTTGGATTTCCATCTGAATAACAAAGATATAATTGAGTAGATTATTTTTTCACTTTCTGCTGATACTATGTGATATTGATAAATCTTGCCTGAGCTGTGGGTTGATGTATTGAAGCGTTATTAGATTGCTCCTTAAATAGTTCCTTGTTCAATATTTTCTTGGTTCTTTATTTCATCATTTCTGTTGATATTTTTTTTTTACTCGTCCGAATTTGTTCTGCAGCTGGTTCTTCCGTATTATTTTTCCGTTTCTACTAGTACATCCTACGACTTTTTACGACGTTCTCTAACATGAACATTTTCTGATTATTTTTTATGATCAACACTACATCAAGATGATGAATTATAGTTACCCGATTACTCAACATTATGGCCATTCAACCTCTTTTCTTCCTCACCATTTGAATAAATAGTAGATTTTCAGATATGTGAAACTGTAATTATCATGACAGACATTTATACTTCAAAACTTTTTGATCTTCCTGGGCTAGTAAGTATTTTCTTCTTTGCATCTAATACTTGTAGTTAATCTAGTACTGAGATCATGAGACATCTCTCCCCTAGTACACCATGTTCTTCAGTATTTCCTTCTGTTTCTACTTTTTACTTTTCGTTTTCTTTTCCATACTATTCTTGTTTCATCACCTTAACCCTTCCCATTTTTCTTACAACTCCTCTCCAACCACAATCAGTTCGGGGGAGCGGACTACAACACGCTCGTACACCTCGCGCGCCTTCGTGATGTTGCGCGCCGGTGCCAAGATCTCCTGCGGCTGCACAACTGGTGCACCACTCAAGGGCATCAGCAACTCTGCCTCGCGTGGCTCCAACATGCTCAGCAAGAAGCGATGTTCCTTTTGGAAGGAGAAGTTGATGTTAGAGGACTCTTCCTCATAGTTGTTCTTGATCATGTTGTTCTGTTTTTTCAACTCCTGCTGTTGCTCAATAAACTTGGACTCCATGAACTCCTGTTCTTCCTCCAGCTGCTTCTCCAAACTCGTGCTGCGATCCTTGAAGGTCGTGCCGCGACCAGTGCTGTTGCGAGTGCTTCCCTTCGTTGCGGCCGCAGTAGGATAGTAGATCTTCTTCGTGTGTCCATGGGTAGGACCAGCAGTACTGGACATCATCTTGCTGTGGTACTGGTTGATGTTCTTATTAGCATTAGAGATCGTAGAGGAACCTTTGCCTGCTCCCTTCATCACACGCATAGAGGTGGAAGAAGCAGCACCAGACACAGCAACAGCAGCTCGAGTGGCCTTTTTCAGCAACAATGGCTGAGGTCCAGCCAAAGAGGTCATTAAGGTGGAGGAAGACTTTTTCGCTTCGACGAGCTTAAGTGCGGATTTGACCGAGACCATCATGAAGTCGTTACGCAAACGAGCAACGCGATCATATTTGCAAACTGGAAGGACATCGGTGGTGGTCATTTGCTGAGGTCCAGCGATCTGGAGCACGGTGTTGCTGTTCTTCTTCGCTCCACGACGTCCAGCACGCTTCTTGGCCGAGCAAAAAGACGAAGTTCTGGTGTTCTTCTTGCTGTAGACAACGACCTCACTTGCATGACGCAAAGCAACCTGCTTGTTGTTAGCCGCAGAGGAGAACGGAAGCGCAGTGGCGTTGCAAGAGGGCAGAGTGCGAGTAGTTGTGGTGAAGATGCGCATCAAGTCACTGGCATTCGGCATGTTGTTGTTCATCATAGAAGATTCGTTCTTCCTGTTCACGGAAACCACTTCTACGACCTTCGTAGAACGAGAAGCACCAGAAATTACTACCCGAGTTGTAACAGCTGGGGTCATCATGTTGTACTTATTCGCCGTACTAGAAGCTACAATCGAAGCAAAAGCAGCAGTGCCGTTGTTGTCCTTCGCAGCAGCAAAGGAGATTTTAGATTTAGTGTTTCCTCCTGCCGCAGCCATCTTCTGGTTCCACACCTTCATGCGCTTAGTGGCGCGTTCCATACGACGCAGAGTGCGACGGAAGTGCTCCAACGTAGCGTGTTCACGAACCGGCTGAGCCTGAGCCGCAGGCGACTGCACAGTGAAATGATGATGATCGGTAGACTGCTCACTCTCATCGTCCATGCCTCCAGCATCCTGTTCTTCGACATTCACAGTAGTGCGAACAGCAACAGGTTGTTGTACATGAGGAGCTGTCGTAGTAGGTCCAGCAGTAGTAGAGATGAAAGACTTGCGAAAGGTGGATCGAGTTGTAGCCGACAAAAAAGAACCACTCTTAGAAGATGCAGCACCTGGAGCGTTGTCCTGACCACCGGTGTAGGCGAGGAGTGCAGCGGTTGGACTCTGCGGGATCGTAGTCGGAGGCTTCGGAGCTGGACCATAAACGACCCGAGATGCAACAGCACGCTTCGGCGGAGAAGGAACGATCAAACCACTGAGGAGAGCGCGAGCCTGTGTTAATATTCTGATACAATTGTTTCAGATACGCAATTGATGTTTGTCCTCGCATACTGTTGTCACTTGTTTGGTCTTGATGAAAAATGTCTACTTCTGCTGTTCTGTACTAATGGAAACAACATACTTGCAAAAAAAGTTGTATTACCTCCTGATCCCTTTGCTGAGCACTAAGCCCCAATACAGGATGAGAGTTCAATTCTTCCACGACAGCCAAGATCGGATGGCGATTGAAGGTAGTCTTGACGTTGCGAGAGCAAAGGCCGTCCATCGAGCACAGCACATCAGCCTGACGACGACGACGCGGAACACGCGGCGCACCATGACGGTAGTACTCATCGAGATTGACCTTGAAAAGATATGTGTTAGGTTTAAATTGTCCTAGTACAACTTCTGAACGCAAACATTCTTGTTCTCCATCATCATCTATTACGAAAATATTATCACATATAATGAAGTACCTCCAATTGCATTCCGGTGACAACTGCGGAAGATTTGTCCTCTGCAAACGTGGTCTTATTCGGATTCATCGGAGCATTAGCACGACGAGGAGGCTCTGGAAAGGAAAACTTCTCTTCTATAACCGAGCACTTGGCGAAATCACGCACAGACAAAGCTGGATTCTTGTACAGGACAACGGAACGCGCTTTCTCCATATTCATTTTGGTGAGGCTGGCGAACGGGGGATAGCTGTAGCCACCAGTGACATCAAAAACAGGCTTCGCCGGACGCGTCTTGGAAACGTTGTAGACCGGTGCCATCAAGTAGCTCAAGGGTTGATCCTCAGCAAAGCGGCGCGTGCGCACAATGGTCGGCTGAGTCTCCTTCTGCATCTGCTGACGCTGTTGTGGTGGTCATGGGAAAATGAACAGATGCGTTTTCTAGTCGTTGTTGCAATTCGTGTAGATGATAAACTACTCTTATCGATTTGAGATGATGGAAGTATTGAGAGTCTCAGTCTCTAGGCACTATGACCACCACACTAATGACGAGTGTCGTAATATCCAGTACCTCCAATCTCTTCTCCAACGTGCTCGATTCCTTAAACGCGTTGGCCAGGTTTTGGTTGTCCCATTTACAATCCTCAGAAGCTGTAACCTTCGACGAACGGAAGAACTCGCGCATCAAACGAATCAAGCTCTTGCTCAACATGCTGCGTTGAGGCTTGGAGCGGTTGAGCAGCATCTTGGCAGCGGCACGCAGATGAGGGTCCTCGATATCTTCATCGCGGAGAAAGGCACTGTGGTTTTATGTGGTTGGTGGAGTTCATGATTGAGATGACACGATACCACGATGATCATGTGATGTGCTTGGTGGAGTTCATGATTGAGATGACACGATACCACGATGATCATGTGCTTGTGCTGTGAGAAACAAGTTTGCCAAATAGTTTCAGGGTAGTCTACTTAGAACAACAACATGGACTATAATATCGAAAATCTTGGATAGGTATCTGTACCCTTCTCGATCCGCAGCAGGCTTCAAACTCGGCAAACCCTTGAAGGTCCAGTTCTTAGATGTGCATTCCGGATAATCGACCGCATCTTCGACAGGGCACTGAAGGCCGAACAACTTCGGCAAGCCGAACACGGAATTGCGGAAGGTGGCGAGACCTGAATAGGATGTAGTTGGAGTAGTTGGAGATTAAAACGTTGTGCAGTACTTCTTGTTGTGAAAGAGTAAGAGAGGTCTATTTCTATAATCATGTTGATGCTGAATTTATGTCGATCTAGCAATAATCACAACAGCAAAGGAGTTAAAGAAAAAGTACGTTCACGCTTGATCTCAGCTTGGTCCCGCTCAGCCTGGTTCATGGTAAAAGTGGTAGAAGCAGTGCCGCGATAGGTGTCACGGCGCAAAGGGCATTGCGGATGATGCGCCTCACCATGTTCCGAATCAAAGAGGGAAAAAAGCATACTATTGTCGCTGTAGTCCTGCTCAGACATGTCGATGTCGTCCAAGAAGATACGAAGTTCACGTTGCACAGCGCAGAAGAGTAGCAAACAGGCGAGGGCCAAAGCGTTCTTGTTGCTAGCACCGCGACGGCCCTTAGCAGAGCTGTGGAGATGATGACCCAAGGAGGAAGTGCGGACGAGCGGACTCAAGGAGTCGGAGCCGAGTTGAGTGCTGGATACAGCGACTGGCGAGTGCTGTCCCCCCGAGACGCGCTTACCGGAAGACGTCGGAGACGGAGAAGGGCTCGTAATGGATGCGCAGCACACAGAGGGTTCGCACAGAGGACCAGAGTAAACGAGGTTCTTTGTCTTGATCGCACGACGAGCGGCAAACATGTCCAAGTTCGAAGTCATCTTCGGACGGTCCTCAGCATCGGTCAGGGAGAAACGAATGGTGTCGCTCAACTCACGCAGGTTCGCAATCGTGTCCACCTGCTTGCTTGCGGTCGACAGACGCTGCTGCAGACGAGCGGGCGAAGCAGAGCGTAACAGCGCGCCCATCTTCAAATATGATGTGTGATTCATCTGGTCGTTGCAGCCGCAGAGCTTGAACAACATAGTAGAGGTAGTCTTGACGCAGCCTTGCACAGCCAATTGCGGCAGACGGAAGATCTTCAACAAATACTTGCGGCAAAGTCCGGTTGCGCGGCGCAAACGCCGCAGAGCTTGGCGGCGCATGCGAACATACTTCACCTTCAGCTGTTTGCGGCTGCGTTGGTGCAGCTGATCGACACGCTGTGCGCATTTGCTGCGCTTCATGCGACGAGCTGGAGACGAACGGTCCGGCAAAGCAAGGCGAGGAACAATGGGGCCAACACGCTTGCAGTTACCGCAAGTAGCCACCTTCTTGCTATCTTCCTGCCCTTGTTGCACCTCGACGGTCGCATCAGAAGTCGGGTTCGGTGCAATCAAAGCCAAAGGCAACGGCTGCTTCTCGATCTTGACATATTCATCCTCCAGCGTTCGGCTCTCCACAGATGTGCACGACGAGCAGTCATCGTCCGAGCTAGAAGGCTGCTCCTCATCCGCTGGGCCAGAGGATGCCGCGGAAGAAGACAAGTCTTGAGCATTTTCGAGCATCTTCGTACGTGCCAAAGAGACTGCGCCAGACACTCCGCCTCCCGCTTCCACTGCGCAGACGCACAGTTGGGTCAAGCCGCCACCGATCTTGTCAGCTGTGTTCGAAACCGACATCGGAACGCTGTATCCAAAGAATGACCAGAAGCACGAAGCTGCAGCGTCCATAGCTGTGCAGTAGAGGCCGCACCAGTGTTAGAAGTAGACCTTACATACATTATTCATCTTCAGGTGCATCTTTGGCGTGTTCTTCCCTTAACAAAGCGCGCAAAGATGCCACTTAAGATGAATTGTTGTGAGGCTTAAAAGTGGTAGACGTTGGCGCGAGTGTCGACAACGGCGTCTCGGATGACACCGGGAACGTACTTGTTGATCCACTCAACGATCTGAGCGGTGGCCATCTGAATCTGGACACAAACTTGATCGACAGCAGCCTTCGTCTTGGCATCAGCGTTGGCGCTAGCAGCCTTCAATTGCGCGATCAACATGGCGGCTTGGTGCTTCACGTAAGCGATCAGCATTTCCTTGGCACTGATGATATTGTCGTGAATAGGATGTTGTCGCAGAACGAGTAATCGATAGGATGATGTCGAGTGATCGAAAGGAGTATGAAGAAAGATCCGATATTAAATTCATAATATTGTAACTACTGCAACTACAACTGATCAAGAAAAAAGTACTCTCGCAGCGCTCTCGGCACACGCTTTACCGCGTAAATCGGAGCGAACAGTACGAGAAAGATGAATGACAGCACCACTTTCACAGTCTGCTTGCACGAACGTGCCTTGCGTACGCAAATGGCAACCGCAGCTACATTACTGTTATCTGCTGTCACCGGAGGCTGCGTAGTACTTTGAGTCGTAAAAGTGTTGGCAGTTGACGAAGCAGGGACAGTCTTCTTTTGTGGCGCGATGATAGGCGCGAGTGCTTGAGCAATATCCTGCTTTACAGTGCCGTCTTCCAGCACGCGATTCGAATTGAACTCGGACCCATCATCATCCCTCAGTGTCTCTACCTCCACATCCGTACAGCTCTTCTCACTCTCACTAGCTGTGCCTTGTTCTGTACTAGCTACATTCGTGTTACTAGTATCCTCGTATTGTTGTGCTTCCAAAAGAACGGTAGTAGATTTGCGGAAGCTAAGTCCCGAAAACAGCGCTTTACCTCCGTTCATCACAGAACGGAACATCCCGACCTTGGCTGGCGCTTCTTTTGCTGCCAGGGGTCCCCAAGTGGAGGACGAAGACGAGGAAGATGTCGTAGTAGTTCCTGAAGTCGTGCTAACTCTAACACCATCTTCCAACGCGCCATCATCCTTTTTCAACAACAATTCCTGCAGGTCCGCACCGAGGTCAACGGCCGACACATCACTATCCGTCTCCGAGTGGGCTGGAGACATGTCTCCAGCATTGTCCTCCGATCCCGAGGAGTCGAGCTCGGACACCGACGCCTCCTCGTCTTTGCTCGCTCCACTTAGGAACGTCCACTTGCCACCCGACATTTTGTGGTGATATGCTTTTCTTCTCAATATTAGACTAGTAGAGCACGAGCTTTATCTATTCTGATTAAGTATGTTGTCTCTCTGAATTTCTTTGCTTTCTTCTAATATTTGATGACAATTAAGAAGACCTGTTTCTGCCAATTACCCTGTCAACAGCAGGAAAAAATGGAAAAAAGCTGAACCAAGTTAGACAAAACTAGTCATATCAAATACAACTCACAACTCAGTCAGGCTGAAAAAATATCAATATCAAACTATCTACTCAATTATGTCCTTTTGAAAATTCACGAAATCCGATATGTTTTAGATTTTCGATACAACTATCAATTCTTTTATGCGAAAAAAAGTTACGACCCTCGATGAGGCGACCACTTTTTTCTTGGAAAATATAATAGAAGGTGGGATTAAAAACAGTTGTAACGAAAAACTACAGGTAGATCGAGATGCTATTTTTCCGATAATTCGTTTTGTGCGCGCGGGCTAAAACATTCAGGTCTTAATCTACTTTGATAATGGTTTGCAACGAGGTTCTGAAATTGATGAATAGTCGAACTTCTGCGTTAAAAAGTTACGAAACCTAGATGTAGATCACAACAAGAACTTCATTGAAGTTATTCTTAGCTTCCTTTATCTCGTCCGTCAATGTCGGAAAAATCTTCACGAACAATGACTAATCAGAATACACAACTACAACTAGCGCCTTGTTGTAGAGCTAAAGACAACCGCTATATGAAGATTCTCGCTCCTGTAAAACTACAACTCCTTATAGGTTTAAATATCTTCACAAAACCCATTTTGCGTTTTCGCGATGAAAATGCTCTTAACTGTTTCCTGTTGGCCCTGTCGCTCTGTTTGAGTGAAAACAAGGTGGCCGATGGCGGTGGTGAAAGAGAAAGAGATACTAGACGATGATCTCTCAACAAGCACACTTTAAATCCAGGTTTGCTTCACTTAACCAAGAAACTTCGACAGGAAGGGATTTGGAATCGCTCGTCTTACCGATCTGTTGCACTCTGACAGGATGCTTCAACACTTGTTTCGCTTTTCATGATCTGGGAAAAAAGAACAGCAGCATGTTTTGATTTTCGCTCGTCCGGAAAACGATGAGATAAAAAAGCAGAAAAGAGAACATTTGTTTCTCATCGATCTCGCTCAGACAGACGGATCAGAAAAAGCCGCATTGAATTCATCAATTATTCGCTCTCTCAGAGACAGATCGTTTGTAGTATAATGCTTGCTTTAGGAACACATCAGCTCTCGGTAGAAGAAGCAATTCTAGGACGACAAAAAACAACTGTGTTGTATAATTTTTCTTCTTCTTTCATAGGTAATGCTAATGTCAGGGTTAAAACGAAGGCCCCCACTTCCTGACCAATGGTAAGTGTTGATGGCCATCTGTATCTGGAATCAAGGAGAAGATGTAGTAGCGTATGAGGCCTTTATGAAACCCGTAGAATCCCTCTCCGAAGACACTATCAAAGACCGTTTTGCGTAGCGTATACCCTTGTCGCTGGAGCCATTGCAAAACTGCTGATTCCTGTACCGCGGATCGTTCGAAAACGGTGCTGTGAAACACCAGAAAAGTTGGGAGACGACCGTAGGGAAAGGAGTTTGAAGATGTTTGTGCGCTGTAGTTTGCGATAGTCGTGACCACCTGCTCGTGTGGTTGCATGTTGCTGTTCACTGTTATTATAGCTCCTTTGTTATGCGAAGAGGGGGATGTAGCTGGGCAGAAGTTCTCAGCTGGTATCCACGACTTCTCTAACGTGCTTCTTTGTCCTCCACTCGTCACAAAGAGTTGGTCTAAAGTCTCGACAGGGTTGTCTCGGAATCTATCCCTCCATGGTGCGAAAGCTTGACCTGGCGAACAGTCGAGAAAAGCAGCGTCGAAATCGGTCGTCGGGCTTGATCCTACGTGCAGATAAGAATAAAGCGGCATGGCATGACACGGAGTTGCGAAGAAGATGGAAGGGCGGATGACTTCGTTGTCGTCGTTTTCATTATTGATGTGCACATTATCCACTTCCACATCGTGTTTCGTGACATTCAACCGCTTAGCCTCGCGCCCATCATGCCTGAAAACGTCGGTCACGTTGCATTTTCTGCGACTGCTTTCGCTCATCAAATTTCTATTTTGCAGTGGTCCACCGCGAGTGGCTGCGTCGACTCCACGGCACTCGTCATTGGCGAACTGACTGGTTACTGGAATCTTGCGGATACTCTTGGATCCACCTTGTGCTGCCTCAGCGCCCAATCTCAACAGTTCTTCCCTGAGCCACTCAGTCGTTTTATCGCCTCCTCGTTGATGCACGAAGGAAAAGAAGAGCAGCGCAAAGAACTGCAGCATAAACACGAAAAAAAAGCAGGTCCGGCACGGGCGTAGGCGTCGACTCTTTTCCCAGAGAGCTGAAATACCCTCAGCGACTGGCAAATAGCAGATCCATAAGACAGGCAGCAGAAAGCGGTGCTCCTTATGTGACGACGCTAGAGTAAGGCCAAATACAGTACCTACGAGCGCCAGCAGCAAAGGACGCAATCGTCTGCGGACAAGACTTTGCTGGCTCTCAGCAAGAACGCGTATTTTCATTCGACGTCGCTTTGTAACTGCGGTGGAAGTGCTCTTTGTCTCTTGTTCAACACTCGCAGCAGCCTTGATTTCTTGCTTGTTACGACGTCGACTTCTGAGGTATTGTGCTGCACCTGCATCATCCCCAGCTTTCGTACTAGCCTTAGCACCTTCGGCTAAAGAGTTTTCGTTATCCTTGTCTTCATAATTGCAATTATCCTCATCTTCTTCATCCTCAGAGATTTCCACGACATCAGTGTGATCTTCACGACCAGAAGTTGTAGCCGGAAATAGGCGACAGAAGCCGTAGAAAGCAAGGGGAAAGTAAGAGAGCAATACTCCACCAAGGCCGTCCAAAAAGTACCAATGCGTAGGTTGGGAACCATAGAACTTGCCTCCGTCTTGAAACAGATTGAAGCGCAGAAAGTTTGCGCCGGAAAAGTAGAGACGACCAGAGGCAAACACGTCTGAGATTCGTTGCGCTACCACTGGATGGAAGTATTTCTCGCAGATCGTCATTGCAGCGGAGAAAAAATCCACTAAACTCGTGTCTATTCCTATTGATGCGGAGATAGATGAAGAACATGAATCTCCGCCAGCAGGTGCTCCAGTTGATCTAGCCAGCACGTTGTAGCCCAGAGTGTCAACACCGACACCCAAGACCAGAGCCGTTGTTGCGAAGATGGAGAGGTAAACGAAGAAGTCTGATGCTAATCTCATAGCCGCACCGCTCCTGCTTCGAGCAAACACCGTGAAATACGTTACAGGAAAATAGATGCCCCAAAAGAGCGCTGCTGTAGGTCGCAGGACGCATGCAATCGAGCCGACGAAGACTGCACTCTTGGCACAGCCACGTACTTGTAGGAGGTAAACTCCGAAAGCGTTGAGAAAAGCTTCGACCCCACTGGAATAGGTACGCGGTCCAGCAAAGAAATTGAACCATGAGAAAAGCGAGACGAGGAGGACGTAGTCGGAACGAGACAATGCGTCAGTATCTTCTGCGTCCTCGTCTGCGTAACTGATGTCCGTATCATCGTCATCTTTGTCGTTCTGGTTTTTTCCACCTCCTTGTTCTGTTGAAGAACTCCTCTTGCCCTGATAAACCGTCCTCGCAATCCGCCACACGCACCAATCTGTCCCAGCAACGAACCAACTCTGCACAAACACTCGTGGTCCGTAGGCCACTAACCAAGGTGATAGGTCTGACAGACCAGTCGCTTGTAGAAACCCGTAGTACACTACGAAAAGCATTGGATGTAGCCAGCTGCGCAGAGCGTGGCAGGTCGGATCCCACTCCCAGGTGAAATGGCCTTTCCCAAAGACAACCAAATGCGCGATCTCGAGACTCTGCCACTGCTCGTCAGGCGCGAAAGCTGTCGCCAACAAAGCACCATTGATCGCTCGAAAAAGGACTAGGACGAAAAAGATCTTCAGGTAATGGGGCTCTTTCGCTGACGATGTAGTGATAGTCTCAGGAGCAGAAGTGCCACTAGTACCTCGTCGTGGATTCTTCGTAACCTTCTGCAGGGCAGGTCCTTGTTTCCCTCTATTCCCCTCAACCGGAAGATGCGCAGGCTGACGCACAGCCGGTTCATCGACGACTCGAGCGGCAGCCGCCATCTTTTTTTTCAATCACATGATAATCTGCATAGTATCGAGGTAAAAAATGAGCAGCAGAAGACCAATAAGGTCCTCGGGTAAGTATGCATCTCTCCTCTTCTTCTCCTCCGTCGAACCATCCGCCCCAACCATCACTATCACCCATGATTTTCACCACTTGGACTTGGTCTTGGACTTGGTCTCTCGAACACTTTCCGAACGGTTATCATAACCGAACGGTTACGGGAAAGATACTGAGAGAGTGTGAACTTGAAGATTCGGTTTCATTGATTGTAGTTGTACAGCCTATATTCAGATTTTTACCCACCAGACAATTTCTGTTACAAGTTGTTACAAGTCAGGCTCAAAGACGATCAAAATGAATGTTTTGGCTTTTCACCCAAGAAAATGTATCCTTAGTGCAAGAAGAAACAATACAAAACAATTACAAGATGCTGAAAAAGATGAACATTATGATCTTACGAAAAATATATACAAGAACTACTTCTGTTTTGGATTGACATTAGCCTACAACAAGAAATTTAGTATAAGAAGTCTGGATTGTTATCACCAAAGAAAGCCCTATTTTTGAGTATTACAACTTAGCTAGTACATTTTTCTATGTGTACAAGAAGTGTGTCAGTGTAGTTGACATCATGATGCTTTTAAATTTCACTGGCTTGTTTCCTTCCCAGCATGATCCAAGAAATACATTAACACAGAGACACAGCTTACTTCAACAAGTTCGTTCATAAATTTCAGATTTCACAACTCTATACCACGAGGGACAAGTTTATGACATGTTGTAGTTAGTCAGCTGCACCTCGTCCTCGTATCCCCGAAAAATTTCTAGTTCTAGAAGCCCTATCCTACCTACAAAGTGAGGCTATCCTGCCCGAATTTAGTGTATCCTTCTCCGGTGATGTATCTGCGTGGGAAGCCAGTGTAGTCGGAGGGACAGTGCCTCCTAGGCACGTCGTACATGGTGTACCTCGAGTCGTATTTCATAGTTCGAAACCGCGTCATGAACGCGCCTGACTGGTTGTTACCGCTCACTTGCGTGAAGGGTCCCATATTCCTTTCGCCTTCGATACGACCCGGCCAGTTGGGGATTACTGTGCCTGGCGGTGAGATTTGAGATATTATAAAGTAAGAAGCAAGTCTTCTGTTATTTGGTAGAACAGTTGTAGTTTCAGATTGGTGTTGGATCCATTTCCAGCGACAAAAACTTACTAGTACTAACACAGTTTGGTGTTGGATCCACTTCCAGCAACAAAAACAAGATGTTGTTGAAGATGAAGTTGTACTTGTTACTAGTGACACCATACCAGCTAGAAGTATAGAGAGCTAGTTGTAGTAAAGAATACCAAATTTCTCCATGCTGTTGAGTGGAACCGGCATTCCACTAGGTTGGCCTGCAGCCGTTATTTCTGGCGTTTCCCTCCTAATAATCGGTCCACGCTGAAACCAGCCTTCGCTCCATGTGTTGGGGAGATTAGAGATTTCTATGGTTTTTAATGACAGTGCGAGTAGTAATATAAATAGTATTAGTACCTAGATGATGTTTCGTTATATATAGCTGCAAAAACAAAACGAAAACTCCATCCGATCGATGAACCTACAACAACTATCGGCATTCTTGCTATTCGATAAACTAAAATTCGCAAGCAAAAGACGAGAATAACCGAGATAATGAAGGAAGGCCAGGAGCCTTTTGAAGCTACCTCCCTTATTTGAGTGAGTAACTCGGCTATTTTCAGTTTTCGAGTAACTTCTCTCAGTAAAAAAAGGTAACCTGCCTTAACAAAACACCGTCTCGACTGCACTTCTAAGGATTGACTCCTCCTTTCGAGCCATGGCGCTGATGCATTTGGTGGCAGGGTTTGATCTAGATAGTCCCGCAAAGATTTCCTGCTGTGCAGAGGTATGTAACTGCGTGATACATCGATTACCTGGACAATGGGGGGATAGGGCTGGTTCATGTTGATGTGCGTGAGTCATGCCTTGATGACAAGAGTGTGGGGGTGAGTCATGTTTCTAGGATAGTCATGCTGCTCGTCGTATCATCATCTACAAAGAAATGACTTCCTTAGAACATCCGTCGTTTCTCCCCACGAGGTTACCACTTCTGCCTTCGTCTGACTCTTCTCTTTCGCCCAGTGGCCTAAAAATTATGCAGCATGAAAGTGTTCTCAATCTTTCATGAAGGGACATCCAGAAAGAGCCCAGCATTTTCGAGCATTAGTCATCGGTCAGTGCTGTGAACGTCTACCGCAGGAAGAAATAAGAAAAAGCACGGGGCTCCTTAGTCTTGTGTTTATGTGAAGCTTTTTGTCTGGTTCTTGTCTTTCCGTTAACTATAAACACATCCACCAAACGAGTTTTTACTGAAATTTAGAACGTTAGAACAAAGGCGCCAAGCTTGTGTTTATCTTTCACTTTTCGTCTGGTTCTTGTCATTCTGTTAACTATAAACACATCCGCCAGACCAGTCCACTGTTCAGATTTTTGACCGCGGTCATTTTCAAGCTCTTTCTAGACCAAGAAGGTCTCGTCTCGTGTGCGAGTATAGATTACTCGAGAAAAGAACAGCTCCACAAGCGATCGACATCGTGCTACCGGTAGCAGAAGGGGCATCAAGTGACATCGAGTCAATAAATTCCAAGGCCTCGGTAAAAAGCCCCCGCTAAAGGGGCAGTGTTGCGCCAGTCGCTCCGCGTCTGCTCAGCATCTAGTTAGAGTTGAGAGGCCATAACATCCGAGGTCGCTGCCAAGTGTTACGCAAGTCCGTCCACGCGCAAAAACGCCTCGTAGCACCGCCGTCCATATCCGATGCCCCTCCGTAGTTTCTCGCTAATGAAAGATCTAGATGGAGTATGTGACTTCGGTGGTGCTGCACAGGTTGAGACTCCTGCTTCTGTTACCGTCCAACGGATGCCACAATACTCGCCGTCACTGGTCGTCGTTTTAAGACGGCAGCCAGGGTAGAAGTCAGGGATCAAAGTATTGGGCTCGTCTTCTCTTCTGATTATCGCAACGAGAAGTAGGCCATCGATGTATCTCTTATGTATCAGCTTGCCGCGGTATGCGTGTTGCACTTTCTTCTTTTCATGTACGAGGCCATAGATGTTGGATATCTCTACCATTAGAGGGCTGCCCATGGGCCCGCCTCCGGTCTGAACAAGAACTTCTCCCATTGAGCGCACCACTCCAAAATTACAATCTAGCTCCACGCAGCGAAGTACCAAATCAATGCGGAAATGCCAGTAGTCCTCCCCTTCCGGTTTCTTCTTCGCATAGGTGACGCGCCTCCTCGGTTTGTCCCAGGCCTGTCGGTAAAGGTCCCGCGTGACTGGCTTCCCAGTATGTGTGGAAGATTTCGTCACATATCGCTGACCAAAAAGCGAGTCTTTGTGCAGACGGACGCGCTTGGTAAATGTGTTGCCCCGTTCCACTAGAAAGTATTTGAATCCCTGTCGCTCGATGCTCTCTATGCGCCGACGGATCTCCTTGATAGCGTCGCGCGTGCTACACTTCGTGAAGAAATCCTTCAGGTCTCCGGTTTCGAGCTGTAGGATGTGTCTCTTCCTCTCTTCCTCTGTCATCGCCCGCCAGCGTCTGTTGGCGTCGTGAAGGCTCATGATGATCTCCTGCTGTGTCCTGAATAGATAAGCGTCATAGAGCGTCCCAAAGATCGACCGTATAATCCTCGCTACTGAAGAGAACCACCTCCCATAGATATGCTTCGCGTAAGACGTGATTGGTCGGTATGGTATCACACCCCCTGGCAGGTCAGTCGTCTTCATTCTCGCTCCTGGTTTTAATGAGGCGAAGAGCCTCTGCTTGATCATGATCCTCAAGAATGGCCATCTGTGACGCTTCCTACCTCTCCACTGGTTTGTCAGCGATTTCGGTGGCCGCTTCCATCTATTGCGCTCCTCATCCCATTCGCCTGCATTCTCGTTAGCTAAGTTGAAAAAAGCGTCCGCGTCGTCGATATGTGTGCGGAAAATGTCGTAGCTCTCTAGTCCGTGCCATCCCTTGAGAGCCGTGTAATCCTCCGAAGTGTGTCCCGCCATTATCCGCTCCATTAAGACATTACACGCGAAGAATGGGAAGCGTCCTTTGTCGATGTCACCAGTGTAGCAGTGTGCTGCTAGCTCCTTGGCCTGTTCAGTTACGTCATTGGCGTTAGCATATTTCTCCTCAAATGTTCCCCAGTCGCGCCCGGCGTAAGCGAGTCGCTTGTCGTCAGTCATTCCCCCACACCTCCTGACAATATCTAGTTTACTGAAAGCCTTTCTGGCCGCAGTGATTGCACGCGCCTCCTCCTCTAGTGTTGGCGCGAATCGTCCTACGCGATTCCAGTCTTGGCCTCCCTTCTCCTGTCGTATCAAGTGAAAGCCCGAAGATATAGGCTCGCATAAGATATGTCCGTCAAGGGAAGTCACGCCCGGGTATCTCCTAAGTAACAGACTGCGCGCACAATGTAGGGGCTCCCCGTAGAAACGCCTGCGGGCTGCTGTCGTGTGCCACTCTTCTTGCTTTGTTCCGAAGATGTCTAAAAATCTTGAGCTCGATCGTCGTTTGATGCGGATGGCAACATATGGCTCGAGTTTCTTCTTGGGGTCGTGTTTGATCATGGGACTGAAGTATTTGACTAGACTAGATATGGCTATCGGTGCCGTGTTGTAGAGCTTAACTGTGCACACAACTGTCGACGCTCCTGCAAAGTCCTTCATGTTAGCCTTGAAAATGTAGAACTTACCAACGTCCAAGGTGTTCCGGGCAAGGTAGTAGAGTCTGGTGCGCGCTCTCGGGTCCATATTCTCGAGATTCGCTGCGGTGTGTGCTTTCAGTCCGATTTGTCTGGAACATTCGAGGACCATCTTTATCCTACTGTTGATGACGCCGTCCAGATTCTTAGAGCAGAGGATGTGGAAAGCCTGTTTCGGAGTCTTATCAGAGATGGGCCGCCTATCATGTTCCCCCCCATTGTCTCGCATTCTCGTCGCCTTGAACTGTGTCCTTTTCCTGTTGTTGATGATGACTGTCCTCACTACAGCAGCATCCTCTTTACTCCTCCTTGCGGCGATCATCCCCTGCGTATTCTCTGTCGCGTGGAGCCAGTTCATGAGGAGGATCTCTGCTGCCTGTAAATTGTAGCGGCTCTTGACGGGTGCGCGCATGATAGCGATAAAGAGATAAGAGTACACCGCCTTGCGGTGGAATCTTGAGGAAGCTCGGCTCGCTCGTTCTTCCGCTCCCTTACCTGTCCAATGTGTTAACGTTCGCTCTGCTTTCGTCTGTGTTGTTATGCCTACATAAGTCGACTTCGTGAAGGGTCGCCATGCAAGGTAAACAACATGGGTGTCGTCGTCTGTCTCCAGCTCTATTCCACTAACTCTGCGGCAGATGTGTACTTTCTCCATTAATCTCTCAGCGTACCTGGTGCCCGCGTTCTGTAGGAGGTTCAGCGCGAGACACTCATCGACATCAAACAAGGCGTCTCGGAATCTCTTTAAGAAAGAGACCGGCCGGATCTCTTCGCAGACTCTGCCATCCGTAAAGTCAAACTGTCGCGCCCGTGCTTCTGGTTGTCCTGTCCATTCTTTCTGGTGGCCGTAGAAGAAGGTGTGCCCTCTCTTCACCACGCTGATAATACAGCGACAAGGCTTCTTACTGTGGAAACCAGTAACACCTCTTCCACACCTTGCGCAGAGGCCGTAGTTCTTGGTTCGTTCGAAGGCCCACGCTGCTAGACAGGTTTTTACTTCATAGAGATCTTGTAGTGCCTTCGTGTTCCTGCGGTAGTGTTCGACAGCTTTCCCGAGACTGTCAAGAAAAGAAATTACTTCAGAGGATCCAGCAAAGAACTCCACCACAATCTCATTGTCACGAAAGTTGTTATACGTCCTTGCTTCTTGTTCTATCTTTATTCTACTTCTACTCATCATCATGATTTCTCCGTTAGCTCCCAACTTCCATTTGTTGCTTGTTCTGGGGTACTCTTTTAAGAAAGGCGAGGGGATACCCCAGGTACTATATGTTGTAAAAAGAAGATGGCCAAAGTTGTATGCTTATGCTTATGCCGTCCCTCTTCATGCAGCAAGCCGAACCGCAGAAACTGTACGGCAAGGGACATTGCGCTTCCTCCCCGACGAAGATAAGACTTGTGACTGTGCATGAAGTAAAGCTAGTCTTTACCTCCATAGTTGTATTGCGGAACAACTAAGAAGAACCCGCCACTATTCCACCTCCTATAAACCATCTTCCACTGCGTCAGTCTTCGCCTTGGTTGCGATACGGGTCTGCGAGGTCAGATTGAGGATAATGAGAGACTCGTAGAACGTCTGGTAGATCGTGCCATCACCAGTCCACCCGTACTTGTTCTGAAACTCCTTCCAGAGGGTGTCGTTTGGTAGTACTAGGTTCTCGGCGATCTCCTTGGCAACCCCCTCGACGAGGCTCGTGAGAGTTTCTGGCCCCTCTGTGAACTCCGGGTGACTGGGTGCTTCGGTGTAGTTCAGCCATGCAAACCGGAGCGCATTCAGACTCTTATTGTAGAGCACGCGATCAGACTCCATCCAGGTATTAGTCCCGAGCGTATCTGTGATGATCCTCCCCACGATGTCGATGGCGTTGCGCGCTGCTTTGTTCGACAGGTCTCGGAGCGGTATAGCTCCTCCACGGACGCCTTCGCTGAAGTCCTGGACGTGCTCAGCGATCTTTACTGGTATCTCCTCCGGTAGTGGGTCTATAATCTCATCTAGTATGCTCATCGTTCTTGGTCTCTTGTTCGAGGACTTCTCTGCTGGTTCTTCTGGTTTCAGACCTGCAAAAAGTCCCACTCGTGGTTTATTCTGGTCGAAGACGTTGTTGCTGGTTGCTACTCTCTTGCTCTTATGTTCCCGATTCATACCGTTGCCCTTGTTGTTCACGTCCTTCTGTAGTTCAGCGAGTCGCAGTTGCTTATCTAGATTCTCTGCTTTCGCCTTCTCTAGTTGGAGCGCAGCAGCGAGGTCCTCTCCGCCACTAGATGTAGCCTTGTCGTTGTTCTCTTTGCCTTCAATCTCGACCTTCATCGTCGTTCGCTCCCAGTTGATGTGGCTATACCAAGCTGGTAGCCCCTCACTCATCCTGAAGTTGCGCGCAACTGCTGTGAGTTCCTCTACTAGACGACTCGCTCGCTCCCCATCCTCCTGGTAGAGCACTTCTACCGTGCCAAGTACTTCAGCCAAGTCCTGCGAGTGTTCCCGTATTGCAGGAAGTGGGACAACAACATGGATAGCGTGGTCCAAGCCTGGATGGATCCTCTGGAAGGCGTCACGCATTGACTGGGGGACTCCGATCATAGATCTCGCCGGTCTGCCTTCCTTGTTCAAGGAGAAGAACTCGATGTTGCCAAAGAAGCGCTCGTAGTCATTGCAGTGGGAGTTGTCAAATCCCGCAGATGGTTTAGGCTCGTACTGGTTCTGGAAGCCAGCCCCTTTGCCGCCTTTGCCGTATCCTTTGTAGCCATAGCCGCTGTTGCCACTATGGCTATCCTGTACGCGTGTATGAAAGACTGGGGCTGTTGACATGTTGCTGCGACTAGATGGAAGATGGGAGCTATTACGTGATCTACGGCGTATTCTGCATCGCAAGGAAGTAGTTTTGAAGTTTATACGTGCGCGGAGGTGGAAGAAGTGCGTGTTGGTACAGCATAGAAGGAAGCGTGAGCCTCCACCTGAGGTTCTTGCTGTGCCAGCTGGGGAGAAGTGAAGAACGCAGAGTCCTTAGGACAAGAAGAGAAGGCAACAATTTACGAGCGCCTGCTCGACAACGTCATTATTCTCATCTTGTGTTGTTTATCTCCTTGACTTATTTGGTTGTTGTTTTCTGGATTTAACACGCGTACTCGCTAATAAATCCTTTTAATCTACAAAGAAATGATTTTCTTAGAACATCCGTCGTTTCTCCCCACGAGGTTACCACTTCTGCCTTCGTCTGACTCTTCTCTTTCGCCCAGTGGCCTAAAAATTATGCAGCATGAAAGTGTTCTCAATCTTTCATGAAGGGACATCCAGAAAGAGCCCAGCATTTTCGAGCATTAGTCATCGGTCAGTGCTGTGAACGTCTACCGCAGGAAGAAATAAGAAAAAGCACGGGGCTCCTTAGTCTTGTGTTTATGTGAAGCTTTTTGTCTGGTTCTTGTCTTTCCGTTAACTATAAACACATCCACCAAACGAGTTTTTACTGAAATTTAGAATGTGTGTCCTAGTACCTTAGTAGATCTCGGATGGTATGGCGCGTCTGTACCATTCACGCTTACTGGGCCGTACCACTGTGTGGTAAACTTGTCGTGACTCTTCATCTTGTCGCTTTTTGGATGGCCTAGCTTTCAGAACTATGATCTTTGGTTTTCGCACGATAAAACTCAGAGAAGATGTAGAAAGTAGTGACTCTGAATCCAAGCAATCTAGTGGGTACAAAATAAGCAGAACCTCAGTCGGTGTCGGAATAGAGATGAATAAGCATCATGCTATTTTTTGAGTGAAGTTGCTCAGATATTCTTTATGCGCGTGTTACTTAGTGCATGCGGCAATGTGCTCGGGTTTTTTCTAAGACAAAAATGCAAATTACTAGCCTTCAATGATGCTTTCAAAACAAAACTTTGAGTTTGAACGACTAGGGTCAACAAGAAAAATTTGAATCAAAGCTCCTCAAATATCTATTTAGGTCGTGGCCTATATTTGGGAGGCGATGGGGAATTCAGGAGGCTGGGATAGGGAGGATGAAGCATTGTTTCGTTGCTGTGAAGATCTCACAGCGCGAGCGAAGGCACACTCACATCCGAACAGATCCTGTTGTTTTTTCTTGACATACGAAATAGTGATAATGTTTGGAGACGAACCGACGAGCATGACCGACGAGATTTTTGAAGAGTCAGATCAATAGGTTGCTGTCACACCGAAATAGCGAACAGCCAGATGGAATCTACAACAAGTGGGTGGTTGCGGTCGTGGAATCTACAACAAGCGGTTGTAGAGCTAGAGTTTAGCTACAAATGCAACTACTAGAGAGTTCAGTAAGGGCCCGTCGTGCTGAAGGAACACCAGCTACAAATGCGACTACTAGAGAGTTCAGTAAGGGCTCGTCGTGCTGAAGGAACACCGTGTTGCTGACTCGTCGACTATCTATCGGACGGAAAGTGCTAAGAGGTGGCGTCTCTGACGGTGTTGATAGATGTGTATAAAGGTAGGGCGAGGTGAAAACTAGCACACACCGGGAGTTTCTCTTGAGGGTTGCGCTAGTACAAGGAGTCAGCGGAACTGTGGGGTCTCTATCTGGTCTCTGAAAAAGGCTGACAGCATGATAATTTTCAAGAAAGTGAATTCGTGTCGAAGTCAAATCATGCTCCATGATCCTCCACACAAACAAAAATGCAACATGGACGATCATCATGTCCGACATTAGTTTTCGGAAATATCAAGTGCAAAAAGGAAAAACTAGGGCCTGCGGGCTAACATGAACAAGACTCGTAAGCCCACACCTAATATGACAGACACTGAGCTGAAGTAGGAAGCAAACACGTAGTAGCTAATCAATCGATAATCATCCGCATGCAGCTCAGATGTATCATCGATCACGATATGGAAATTTGTTGAATTCAAATGCCTCTGTGACAAGGACAACATGGAAACTAGGACTATGATGAGAGAGACCACATACGACTATAATGTGCAAGTCACAACTACAACATGATCATCAACAATAAACGCAAACCAAAAATACTTCTCCAGCAGGTTGTATGCCATTGAGATGCTGTTAAAAACTTCTTCGAAGATCACCAGACTATAGTGAAGATTTTCTCAGGACGTAGTATGTGATCAAGCTATCTTTCTATGTCCTAAAAACAGTAAGGGCCGCCAAGAAAATATAGGCATTGATCATGGCGAGAATTACAACTAAATAAGGGGCTACAAGAAATCATTTACCTCTTCCTGCACACTGCAGACCATAACTCATCTATTATGATCATAACTAAGTAAGAGAATCTTGCCATTGGTTTTGGCTGCAAAAACTACGAACATTATAAACTAGTCAGTTCAAATTGTCAGGTAATTCTGACATTACCTCAAAGCTGATTGTGTGTAAAAAATAAAAATGGACTTCTGCCACTTGAGTATGTAGAATAATTACAAGACGTACTTTTCACATCATGCTATAATTCTTGTAGAGACCATCTTGAATTTCAAATGACTATGACGACCGTAATAAGTAATCTCTTCCTGAAAAATTTATGCTGTATCTTAGCCGGGCGTTGAAACTACGTCTTCGTCAGGTGGCCACGATTTGGTATGATCTTACTGGTAGCAACACCAACATCAGCAACAGCGAGTCTTTCATATCATCATCTCTACTTCCTGAGTTAGAGGTTGAAAGTTGGCATCTCTAGCTCGCATTTCTATGGCTTTCCTACTTGAGATAGCCATAGAAACGCGCATAGAGATGTCAACTCCCAAGCCTTAACTGAAGATGATCTATGCTGTTTCATATCCTCAGTCAGAGAGTAGACCGAACGGCTCTGATAATTTCATTGATCGTGATCGCCTTACTAGTTCATGTTATCCCCCTTGCTGTTTCATATCCTCTTGTAAGGAACTTTTAGGCGAACTTGGACTCCAACCACATGTTGTTGTCTGGAGGCAATCCGACGCAGGCCTTAAACACGTTCTCCAACATGGCACGTTGCTTCGCGAGCGCGTTGATGCAAGGATGCTTCTTCGGGACGAGAGGTGGCAGATTAGAGAAAGAGATGGAGGAGCTTTTATCTTTATGTGTTCGTGGAGTTAGATAGATAGATAGATGTACCCACTCAGACTCACGGGGTATAAGATATTTGATTAGTTGATGTCAAAATCGCATTCAACTGTACTAGGTGGAGTTGCTGCGTAGTGCACGACCACTTCGTTTACGTAGCATGACGAAATACTACAAAAAATTCTAATTTTCAAGCAATCCAATTGGCATAACTTTAGTCAGGTAGCTCAGCAGCACATTCACTGGATGCAGAGGCTGCGGCTCCTTGTCTTGCCCTTCCCGCTTAATACGTATGCGACTGGTCATCTCGGCCAGTAGAACCAAGTCCAATATCAGCGGTGCAGCCAATAGAGAATCCTCACCTTTGAAAGAAACGTTTTTGATGGATTACGTAGTCGTAGCAGTGAAAAATGTGATTTTGTTTAATACTAAGCTCAAACACAGCGCAATATAATGGGAACAGTGATATTACATTATGACCTGCTATAATTACTACCTACAGTGGTCCCAGTACAGCTAGATCAAATATTAGTTCGAGCTTCATCATAATGAGTGTAGGTGGTGGTATTAGTACATGTATTGTGCATGACGATCGTGTTCACGCCACCGAGGAAAATTTCGGAAGAGTACTCGTCCATCGCTCGTTTTGAGTCTCCGACATACGGAATGTACTTTATCACGACACAGCGTTAGAGCTCTCCGCAATTCATCTTTCAGCTGGTGCATCCTTGAAAAATATTTATGGCAGAGTATTCTTGCGTTCCCTTGTGAAGGTACTCCTACTCCCCCATAGTACGTTTCAAGGATGCAGGCAAGGAGATGAATTAAGTAGCTACAGCCTTAACAATGGTCTGGATGCTCAGGTTCCGAGTCTACTTCGTCGTCAACTTCTTCCGAAGTTGTTGTGACTGGCGAAACAAGAACACTTGTGCTATTGCCTGAAGATGTTGTTTTCGGAATAACTGGTGTGCTTTCCCGCGAACTTGAACGAGTAGCTGGAGTCCTATTCTTGTAGTTGTCCTCTTCTTCTACTTTAGTCGTTGTTTTTGAACTTTTCTCGTGAAGTGGAGGACTTCTGGATGAGGACAGCACTGCAGCTCCCGTCTTCTTGCCTCTTTTCAAGTCATACAAAAGCTCGTTGCTGTGGATCATGTCGTTCACCACATCGGATTTCGATATCTCTTTGCTCTTGAAGCAGAGGGGGTTGCTCAGATTCATGCCGTCGTTATTCCCGAAAGATTAGAGCGGGATAGTCCGGACGACGTTGTAATTAGTAACCATGACTTCATCACTTTGTTAAAAAGTATCTACGAACATCATGATACAAGCCCAAAATTAATATCACGCGTCTTAAAGATGATTGTAGCTGACGATTGCTCGCGGCTTGATTCCTGCAGACACTAGGAAATCGGTTAAGACGCTTTTCATCTTTGTTTGACCGCTTTTAAAATCATCACCACCGATCATGCTACCTCGTTTCTCCGCCAGCTCGATGACGCCTGTTGTGCTTCTATCATTTGACCATGGAGTAAAAGTGGGAGTCATGATCTTCTTTTAAAGTATGTGTATGTAACTTGAACTTTTAGAAATGATAGAACAAGGGGCTGTCCCTCCAATATAATATCAAGTCCACGATCAACTTCCACACGTAGTTGTACCGGGCACGAATGTGTTCTGCGGCGAGCCATTGATGAATGGCACTCCTTCCTCGATACAGGCAATGGCGTAAAGAGTGGAGGGAGAAATTTCCGCATGATTTGCCCTAACAGATGCCATAAGGGCGTCCAGGGTCTGGTTGTGAGGGCCCACGTCGCTATATCGCTCCGTGTTCGCTGTCCACATGACCACAACTGTGTCTAAATCGTTATCAGCTTTGAATTTTCGGACGTCCTCTCTAATTTGGGCAGGGATTAGAGCAAGACTTATTAAGTTGTACTTACTTCTTTCACTTTCTAGAAGTGCTGCATCGACTATAGAAGTACTAGATAGGCTTCTCAAGTTTTCTTAGGCTATTCAGTCTACTTATGATCAGGAATCTTCCTTTGCTCTTCATAAGATTTGTGCCTCTTTTGATTTCGCAGTCATCACGTTGGTGGCTCGAGCTTGCTGGTTCTCTGCAACGAAGGAGGGATCGAAAATTGCTGGAAGTGGCTTCAATTCAGACATGTAAGGAGCTACCTTGTTCTGCAGGTCCACGTCAAGCACACCAGCGCGCTCCATGGCTCGGTCGAGGCTTAACCTGGTCAGGTTGTATACTTTCAATCCTTATGATCCTATTAATTTGAGGTGTACTAACTTACAATTCAACAAGCTCATTCATTGCAGAGTGTGACTGAATGGAGTTGTTGACCACGGACAAGAAAGGACTGGTGACATTCGGACAAAGTAGTACTTTCGTAAATTTGATACCCTTTTACTTACTCGGACAAAGGACTGGTGACATTCGTAAATTTGATACCCAGAAATATCCCAGCCGCCCAACACTAGATCGTTAGGGTGAACCATCGGCAACAGCTTGTTAAAAGGCACATAGCACTCTTCGCTCTCGAAGTTTCCGACACGAATTGTTGACCTGTTTTTAGATTTAGCTTCTGGTAACAGTTACTGATCATGAATAGTCGTAATCAGCAACGAGAACGGGATCATGATCATGTTGAAGGGGTAGATGAAGTACTTAATTTTCATCCTAGTCAGGATGTAAGAACGCTTTGGAGAGATTCAGAAAAATGTATCATTTGATATTTTTGGACTTGCATCAGTGCAGCATCAAAATGACGACTACTCCTGTAACTGTATGTAGTATTACGCTTGAGTAAGCGATCCGTAGTAGTTGGGTTTCTGCACTCCTGTCTTCGTTCTCCAAGTGATCCCTTTCTTATTTGCGATAATGCCTGCGGTTACTGTGGAACCATTGTTGCCTCCCCATCCGACAAGCATGACACCCATCTTCGGAACTCGTTTATCCGTCACAAATTCGTACTTCTTAGAACTTGCAGGAAGATGGGGAAGCATCATCTCGGCAGGATGTTGGGGAAGCATCTCGGAGGTACCCGTTGCCGTTTCCCTTTAGAAACGGGACAAAGATGACTCTGGGATCATGAAGATGTATTTCCTCAAGCCTTAAACTTATCCTGCTTGGGTAAGACGGAGTATTTGGTTTCTCCATCAGTGGTCGTTGTGGCGACGATTTCCGTGGAATCGTAAGTGTACCTGGAAGTGATTTTTGGGTAAGAAGAGAAGATCTTCTCACTACCGTTTCCCAAGCGCAACCCAGTTCTACGATTGTTCTTGGAGGTGGTGTTTGGTTTTGGAGTAATGATGTGAGCACCAGCATGATGATGCGAATCTATAATTCGGCAATCTGCCTAAGCACCAACGTAATCATCTTATTTCTGTACTTGTCCTCGTGTACTCATACTCTGTACTAATCGAGTAAGGTAGTAGTTGTTGTAAGTACTTGGCTCGAAGCTCGGTGTCGGTCTCCACGACATTCGGTCCGAAGCTTACGTTGTCCAGCAACATTTTTTTTTCTGGGTAAGCTACGTAATTCAAGCGACAGACAAACAGATTAGCTATAATGCGCGAATATCAAACAGAAAGAGAAACTCCTGTAACTGCGTGTAGTTGTTACAGAAATTATGTTGCGAGTTGAAGAGAGCACAAAAATTTCCAACCGCTAGTAAGTATATGTGATAAAAAACTCCTGTGAGCCAGGCGTTGTAGGACGATTCACCTTTGCGTTACAACGTGACTACCTCTCACTCAACCGATAGAACCAACTTGCTTCTTACCGCCATAGGATAGGATAGGATCGGACGCCTTTGCTGAGCCTTCACGCAAGGTTGGTTAGCATCATTTGCATACTCCTGATTGGTAGATCAGTATTATGATCCGCCATGTTCCCGAGAATGAACCGGCTCAGAATAATGTTTCTCTTCTACACTGGATGCCGCAAGCATCTAAAGAGAAACACGCTGCTGCAGAACACGAAACTTCTCCTGTGCACGTGGTACAGCTGCGATAATTCGACTTTCTCAGAAATATAATGATACGCTGCAGCAGTTCTGCTAGAATGATATCTATTTTTAAATGAAGTCCCGCGACGCGCGTCGCAGCGCAAGAACGCGAGTAACAACATTAATCTATTTTCGTCGCGCCACATCGATACATCCACCACCTAGCGGCGCTGTATTAATCAGTTTCTACTTTTGAATGACATTCTGTGCTTCAGCTTCTTTTTTATTTAGAAGTACTACATTTTTGATTCATTCTGCATTGAGTTCGTCTTTATGTTTCTTTTTCTACCTTATATTTTACGCTTTACTTTCGTCAAAATGCGCCCAGTGGTTTTTCCTTTTGCCTGTGTCAGTGCACGCATTCGGAATCGCGAGCCGCGGCGCCAGGATCTCATTGCGACTCGCTCTCATCGCTCGGCTGTCAGGTTCACGAGTCCGTACTTGGTATCGCAGTGCTCTCGCGATATGCACGTTCACGAACGCCACGCCCAGCAGTGCACTTGGTTAGAATTGGCACTTCTGCTTGAGTTTTTCAGGAGTTAATGGCGAGACCTGCCTGACCAAAAAAAACCGTCATGGCGCATGTTTCGTAGGAGACGCCGCTGATGTGCATCGTCTATTACAAGTGCGGGGACCGCGCTTCGTCCGGCGCGGGACCGACAGAGCTACGTACTACGCGTTCGAGCAGATGCGCGGGAGCTACAGTTTTCCGCGAAGACAGCATTACTGCTACAATTCCTACTATTTCTGCGGCCTGCTCTTCGAATAGTAGAAGTGAGTAGGTCTTGCGCGGTTCAAGTCCGTAGCAGGGGAGGGCGAACTGGAGGAGCGTCATGCTGGCCAAAGCTCGTACTTCATCTAGAGGAAGTATATGCTCGCCCCCGCACCCGGATCAATGCATTCCTCTACGCCTTTCCAACAATAGCAGCCTTCGTTCAGGTATTGCCCTGGCCTCAAAGTCTGGAAACACAGCTGAAATTTCTCGTCGGAAGATTGATTGTCGCGTTGTTGTGGGAGTTGAGCTGGACCCGAAAGGCCTGTCCGCTTTGTACCCATCACGGAGTCGAAAATCGAAATCACGGAAGATAGCAATTGTTTCATCCCTCCAGCCTTCCCGGTTAATATCGGTGGGATAAAATACAGCGGCTCGATGTGCTGACACATGAAGTCGCCTGGGCGGGTGCAGGTATTTTGATGTTGAACGAGTTTCAGTGATGCTGTTCCTACTAGTTGTAATCATGAGGAAACGGCCCTTCTACTTCTTTTTGAAAAAATCATGTCCCATTCGCGAGCTTCTTCTACAGCTTCTTTCTAAAAAAAACTACAGCTAGAAGAAGAAGTATCTTGTTCAACCTTGTTATAGAAAGATACAATCACAAGAAAATACCAGTCGCCATCAGTGATTTCTTCTTCTTGCAACATTTAAACCAATTTTGGTTGTCTTTTTCGAAGATCCAGTTCGTCGCAGTACAATTCGGCTCATCCGGTATTTGTTCCACTATGCGCTTCCGGTTGAATTTTCGTTGAACCACCTCACAGAGAACCTTGTCGTACAGGTTTGAGAAGACGTTGGCACTGCGATCACAGTCGTGGAACTCGGAAAAACCAAAGTCGGCTAAGGCCATCTTGTTCTTGTACTGACGGAAAAATGCTTAAATTTCGTCAGACCGATTTTTGACTTATTCGATACGTTCTGAAAGGCTTGAGATGGGAGTGTAGGGTTACATGCAGCCGTTGGCCATGCCGACGCGAACAACAGGGTGTTCTTGCCGAACGCGAACACGTGGATAGTCGCAGTTGTAGTTTTGATTCTATCGATGTTAAACCTATTTCGAGCGACCTGTGAGGTACATCGACACCTTTTATCATATCGTGCCCCTTGATCGAGATTTTCGTTTTCACACATACGATTTTGTCCATGCGCGATTCTACTCTTGTAAAAAGACTGCGAGTGGTGCGAGAAAATTTCAGTTTCGTTTGCATATTTTCAATGATTCTATATATAATGCGAAATAAGATCATGCGAATCTATCACAAGATTTTTCGTTCATCTGAGCATATACAATATCGATACACTATTTGCGTGCTTAGACGAATAATCTGATGCCCTATTATATTTGCTTTCCAACTCGCGAAATGACAATACAATTACGAGTACGAGCTCAATGATATATACAGAGAATTTCTATGTGACGAAGCTACAAAGAATAAGAATACAACCTCCCGACTTTTATGTTTAGTTTCCATAACCAAAAGGTAATACAGAGAAAATTTCAACATCCAGTTTCTTGACAACATATCTGCATGAAGATCTCTAATTCTCTACGTTGTTCTCAACCAAACTTCTTCTACACTAGAGGAATTATAATCTTCTGCAGTCCCGTACTTTCACTTCCACAAGGTTCCTCCTCCGTTCAGATCGTAAAAGGAGTTAGGCACTGGAGAGCCTGCAGCATCGTGCATCCACTTATCCAATTCATCACGCACCAATATATCTGTTCGCTTCCGCTTGATAAACCCAGTTGAAGCATTGATGGCATCAACGCTTGCAGCGCGTTCGAAAGTGCGGAGCTTGCGAACAAGCTTTTTGCGGACGTCCTTCTCCTTCGGGGAGAGGGAAGCGAATCTGATGTGAACAACAGGTTATTTGGTGCATGAGAAGTAATCCACTTGAAGGTGAAATTTTTGCAATTGCAATTGGAACCGCCTAAAAACAAGGGAAATAAACGCAGAAATATCGTACTAGAAGAGCCCTCTCCTCTTCCTCTACCACGACGAGCGTGTCCTCATTTTGGAATGTAAGAAGTTATAGAAAAGAGCAAGAAACCCAAGAAGATTACCTCCGCGGTGGCGACACCAGACCAGATTCTCGGTTGATGTACTCGAATCTTGTTCGATTGCCATGGAGCGGCGATTGCCAATCCGCGGCAAGATGTGGTGGCAACGTTTTTCCACCATCGGTGTAGATACCATACAATAACTCCTTGACAGTACCACCAGCTTCGTTGGGATCCGATAAGACCGGATGACGTTCGCCTGTAAAAATGGAAACTTCATCATACCCTATTAATTGATGAGATGAGAGTTCTTAAACCCCTAATTGATCTTCGGGATAATTTGATGTTGGTTCCAACTACCACATTCATCTGATGATCAAGAAGTTTTTCCAGCTGCACATCAGAAGTAAGTATTACAGACAGAAGTATTATTTAAGTAAGTATTCACCAGTACAACCAGTTATAGAAGAAATAATAATAGTACTTAAATCTACAATTACAGTCTAATGTTCAACATATTGACCCTTATTTCGTAAAAACTACCTGGTCCCGGACTTGGTTCTGGTTCTTTCCATGGGGGTCGGCGGTCCAAAATCTCCTGTCTTCGACTAGCATTGACCGCGAACTCCATATCAGCCAGCCTCTTCTTTTCTGCCGCCTTCGCTTGAATATCCTCGAGTCTCTGTGCAGCGATTGCCGCTGTCTGCTGTGCTTGCTGCTGAACAACGCCCTTGCGGTACTTACTTTGGAGAAAGTCTTGAGTTTCGCGCTGGCGAGCGAGGTGCACTTGTTTCTGCTGCTCGGATTCAGGCAGAGAAGCGTGAGGATCGTCATTCTCGAAGAGCCGAGAATAGCAAGAGACGGGAGAAAGCAACCTGTTGATTGTTGAAGACTTTGCGAAAAGAGAAATAAAAACATCTTCACAGTCACATGTACACCCTCCAATGAAACACTAGGTATCAAGCGAAAAAAGTAGGGAGCGATTTACTACAACCGCCCTGAAAAATAATGAGAGCTGATCATGCGTTAGCAAAAGCAACTTGCAGTTGCACAACTTCATCAGTCGAAAAATGTACTAATATTATAAGTAGATAAGTACTCATCCTTCCTCTTATCTCCCGCGTTACTTCTGTAGAAGTCCGCCGAAGCCCGATGCGGCATGTAAGGACTCTGACCCGCCTCCCGGAAGTACTTTATGGTCTTATCCGACAATGCTCCCGTGTAGTCCCCAGTCAATTGATAGTCGGAATCCTTGCAACCTGAGGTTTTGTAGTCTGGCGTGTAGAAGGCGTTCTTCGGACTCCTAGTATCATAAGCGTGTGCGCCTGGATGCAGACCTAGCACTGCACAACTTCCGCGATTCTCGAAAGGTGAGTATTCCATGTGTCGGAAGGGAGAGCGTGGTTGTGGAGGAGAATAGTTGGCGGAAAGACTGGCACCAGCACGGTTCGGACTGCCGATTTTGGAAAAAGGATACGCGGTGCAAACATCTCGCGTGTTCTTGGCCAAGTCCAATATATCTTGTGGTCCTCTTGCTGCAAATTCACGCTCCAACTCTTCCAATTTGTCCGCTTCTGCTTCCGCACCTCCTAATTCGGTCACCCGTTGCCCCTTCGCCGCAGAGACTCGTGCGCCCTCGGCTACTTCTTTGCGATTATATCGCTCACGCTGTTGTCCGGGGGTTAGCTCGAGCACGAGCTTCTGCCATGGCTGTGGTGCTTCCATGTGCGATGCACAGCCTGGTCGATAAACCCTCTCCTTCTTCGGTCCGGCTCCGGTCACTTCTCCGAGATCAACCTTAGGCGTAGAGGGCTTAGAAGATCCGGTGCCGGGACGACCCTTGGATGAACGAGACCCGGGACGACTCCCGCCTCGACTAGTACCACGGCTGGTTGGACGAGGAGGCATTTTTTCGGTATCTATTTCCTCAAGATCGGCAAGTAGACTCTGTCTAATAAATAAAACTCCCTTTTCAACAACAACTGGTCTAAATCGAAAAAGACCCTTTTCAACAACTGGCCTAAATCGAAAGAGACAGCGCGATGTGATATCTGGCAGAAGACGCGACCTAATTAATTTAATTAGTAATTATAGAGGCAAGGGCAACCAGCAGCCGTCGTGCTCGTGTCTTAGAGTGAAATAAAAATTTTTCTAAACGAAAGAAAAAACGTGTGGGTAAATCTCAACAAGGATCATCAATTATCAATTTGTATACTTATGAGTACTGCCTGTACCAGACATTGGGATATACAACAAAACAAAATGATCGTTGCGGAGAAAAAACACCACGGGCGGCCAGAACATGAACATTCATGATAGCACTCTTAACAGACATTAGCAGCTGCATACAAATCGTGCAGACAGACTCAACCTCAACTAATCCTCAGATAGAAGGCTGTTCCTGATATGGGTCCTCTCAAAAGACGAACAGACAGCGTTGGTTCTCTCAGCTGAGGCGAAAACGCACATCATGGGTCCTCGTTCTCCTCAGAGGGACAGACTTACACTTATCAAGAGCAACAGCAACATTGTCGTACATCCTTCTCTGCCTTTCTCTCGATCGTTCGTCTTGAGCATAAGACCAGAAGCTAAAATGATGTTGAAAGGTTTGTTCTCAACCAAAAGTAAGTCGTCTCTGATTACTGCTCGCACACTACAACAGATCAGCGCAACTGCTCGCACACATACACCGACCGCAGATGATGCTTCTAGGCTTTCTTGTTTAGTTCAATCATTTTTGACACTGTAACAACCACTGCTACTCCTGCACAACTATCATCATCGCAATCAAAACTATGCCGCCACCAAGTCCAATCGAAGGGTTACTGGATCAATTGGGGTGAAAGAAGTTTGTCGGCATCAAAGGATACGGAACTGTTTCTCAGTTTTAGACGCTTGTAGTTGTCATGCAAAAGAATTTTGAATGTACCAAATTCTGACCACGACCACCACGGAAGATTTTGTTTTCAATACTAAGATGACAGATGACGCGTACAAATCAAAAAAAATTGAAGGTACACCTCCACAACTGACAGAAGAGGGACACACTACAAAGACCATCTGACGACTCTCCTCATATGACAACGAACTGCCTGTCCACCTGCAGGGAGTCTTTTTTTCCTCATTTCCTGGCATTCAGAAGACACACTCAAACTACATACTGGAATCAACTACAAGAAGATGATTTTCAAATAAGAAAAACTACGATGCTCCATCTTCTAGGCAGAGGCAGAGCACATATACGAATGAAGACAGGACCTGAAATCAGAAAGTGAAAATTTATTCAACAGAATATTTCTCTTTTTATTTATCATCTACGTAGTTGTGGTACGAGTACGACGGACAAAATGTTGAATAAGAAAATGTTTGTTTTTGTCGGAGTCGGATAGAGAAACTGGAGAGGTGCAATTATTGATTTGTGTATAAGGAAAAAGAAAGAAGAACAGACAACCACGTTATTTACCACCCACACCCTTTACCACGACCCATACAACGCTGCCTCCAAGTCTAATCGAAATTGAAGAGAATGTAGATCTAGATGCAGTTGATGTAGGTGTTGATGTAGTCTACGTAAGACCTCCTTCTTTCATGATCTGATGTTGTACGATGATAAGAAAAATGTTGTAAGTAATATTGAAACGCGCCACGACTGTTTCATTCGGCCATAGGTTAGGTGGTTAGGTTGTGAATCCTGCACAACGAGCCCCACCGGCACCTGCTCGCCTCCGAGGATGATGGGTGACCTGTGTAGAGTCTACGAGCACCGAGGCAGGTGACCTGAGTAAAGTCTTAGTCACAATGCCATACTTTCTTCACAAGACCACACTTTCTTCACAAGACCACACCTTCATCTTCACAAGTGGTTCTCGACAACTTTGGTCAAAGGTGTTTGGTAAAATTTCCAGAGGCACTGGTCCCAGACGTCGTTTACTTCGGTTTTCTCTTCACTCGACCTCAAAGCTGGTGGGGACGATACGGTGGTCCACAGAAACGTGTTCTGAAGCTTGCCGAGACAGGAGTACAGCTAGAGGTTAGAGATGAGTTAAGCCTATAATTGTGGAGATATTTTTCACCTGGTTCTCAATCTCATCTCCGTATACAACAGAAGACGAAGATCTGATCATAGTGCGTCTTAGAAGTACTTCTATCAGTTTAATATGATCAACATGTACGTGAATCTTCTGTTGAGTCTGTATTTCTAGTGCCATATGACTTTGCAGATTCAGCTTTGGATTCGAGTCTACTCCCTTGCGCCTCTTGTGCTGATTATCGATTTGCTGACCCCAGTATCGGGTACCTCATAGGCGTTGGTTGGAGATTGTGTTTCGACTCTAAATTTGCATCAACGCGAAGTGTTACTTTCTCGGCATGATCATTTCGAATTCGAAGATGCAAGTAGGAGTGCCAGCGGCCACCCAGATTGTCAACATGAACATCTAAACATTTTTGACTTAAGTATTTTACGAAGGTGGAGTTGCAGTATTCTCGTTCTTCTTGAAGACATTAATTATACCAGGAGTCGTTGCATGTCCTCCACAATCCCTTCTGCGTTGCTCTTCTGCCTCTTTGGTCGGACCGCCATCCAGGACTTCTTGCATGCCACCTAACGACCCAGCGCCCGCTGCATACATGTGCTTTACTACGTGGGGTTAGAAGATCGGGAACAGGGCTTTCAGAAAGGGATTTCAGAAGGAGCTTTCTTATGGTGGTTCGATGTTGAACCAAGAGAAAGAACAAGTAGTAGATACTAGGCGTAAGTAGAAGAAGGACAAGGAGAGTGAATAGGAGGTTTTTCTACTTTCTCTTTTGAAGAAAGCATCATCGTCATCGTCATCGAATTGTCTATAGGATAGGATAGGATAGGATAGGATAGGATAGGATAGGATAGGAGTCGGCTCAATTATGAGGGGGTGAACGTTCGAGGCCATTGAAGTGCCATAATAGATTGAACTTTTCTAGACCGAAACATGCTCGAACCTCCGCATGTGAGGACACATTTATCTATCTATAAGGGAATATAGTTAAGTACATGTACATCAACGTGTCATGATATCATGAGAATGGTGTAGGGTCGATTCGTTATCTAAGCGGTAGCGGTTATTTCACGTAGTATAACAGCGTGTGGCTTGAGCCAAAATGGCTATGTAGTCTAAGTCTGCCCGTAAATATCATGCTTGGCCAAAGCGCCACCCATGCATCGCGCAAGCCCCTCCAGTTCTGGAAGCGCACGATGTTCTTCTGAAGTTGTAGATGGTTGTAGCGAGTGAGTGAGTGAATGAATGAATTTGCCTAGCGAGAGGTGATGCAGAGTTTGTCACTGCAAAGTGATTAATTGTTTTCTTCCTCAGCGACAACCTCAGTGGTTCAAATTCAGTTTCCCACTCCTCACATTTTTCCCTTCAACGCAGTGAGTTCCTAGCAACCTTGTCTTCACAATGTAGCTCTACAACTTCAGAAGAGCATCGTGCGCTTCCAGAAGATTAGAAGTTAAGAATGCGCTTTCAAGCAGAAGAATGGGAGGACCCGGTCAACATCATTCAATCTTCTGTGTATGCTGTGATGAACGAGTGCGGAGCCAGAAGACGATTTCAAGGAGCTTAGGTGGAGCAGAGAACTCAGACAGTGCTTGAAGAAAGGAGCTTAGCAGCAGAGATGCAGCTTGAAACGACTGTAAATTTTTTACCAGGAGGAACAAGAGTTAATTGCAACTACCACTCGTCGGTTCCAGCACGGACAACTTCTTGGCAGTTGCAGCGCGACAATAGGCACTAACAGCCCAACTGCAGTCGGAATAAAGCACGTCTTCGCAGCCAGCGTAAAGCTTCCTGCTTTTTTGTCTTGCCAAAGGCTTAGAGATTGGGATTCTTGCGATAGTGTAAAATTAATACAAGGTCGGGGTCAAATCATGCAAAAAGAGTTGAACTGGTTGTACTCACAAGAATCTTCAGCAGACTCGCTTCGTGCTACTCTTAGTATCTATAGTATAAGCATTGACCGTCCATGCTGCTCTAAACCAAAACTTCTACGTGGTCTATTCTTGCATTTATATAAATACTGTAGCCATAATCGTTGCTTCCTTTTTGTGGGGGATGGCGCTTCGTCCCGCCGAAGCGCTTTGTATGAACCGCGACGGACTCTCACGAGATTAGAGATTTATGTTGCTTGTAATTCTCCTTGGTTGTGATATGCTAAATGCGATCAAAAACTTTGCCGTTCTTGCTATTCTCTTATTGATGTTTGAGACGATGACAGGATTCTCATTCTATCTCTATCACCAGTCAGAGTCAGTGTTATCATAATTGTTTTCCCCTTTTATGAACTCACCATGTCGCGTCGAAGATGGCGCGTCGCCCTCTTGCTGGCCTCCAGCCAGATGGTGTGCATACGCCATTTGCTCCTCGTGCTGTAACTATGTATGCTTAGTTTTAGTTGATGACTATTAAATACTGATGACAATAATTTTTACTTCTAAATAACGAGTTGTAGTTGTACTATCTATGGGTACAGAGGATGGAGTTTGTTGGACGAACACGAATACTATCGTCTTCTGACCAAACTGAGAACAATATAAGTATTCTGATGTTGAGGACAAGATAGAACTTCTACAAGCTGATACGAAAAACAAAATTCCCAGATGGCATAGTGATCCTTTTCTAGACTTCTCGCCTAGAAGCCCTCCAAAACAACTAAGAGAGTTTTAGTAGTTAATACTTTTTTGTTTTTGATGTTAAGAGACATACCGATATCTTGATCTTACATATTGTATTTGTCGCAAAATGAATTGAAGGATTCACAATTCAACTACCTGGTGAGAAAGATATTAGACATACGGATCCTGAAGAATAGACGCACAGGGTATAAGAATTCATTAGAAGGCCTACTCTCTCTCTGTCTCGCACTCTCTCATCGTTCTCCTCCGTTATCTTCAATGTGCTTCTTGACCACAAGTAGTTTGAGTCGCATAAAGCAGCAAATCTTCAATGCCTCTTTTTCGGTTGCCTTTCGCAGTTGTGGATCTCTTGCGCCATCTCTCGACATGAAAAAATTGACTGCGCTCGGCGTAAAATCAGTACACCCATTTGGACACTGCTACTATTTTCGACTCCAATAAAATGCTGCATTTTCTGCATTTATTTCAAACTGGTTTTTATTCACGATGCCATCCGAAGGTGGCATAGCATCACAAATAACAGACTCGGCTGTGCTCCAGCGCCACGAGTGTTGTGGCCGTGAATTAGTATCAAGAGTCGGGCGCCCATTCGTGGGGTATAAGTTGGCGGCCCGCTGTCTACGGACGCGGAAGCTGTACGGCTGAAAAAGTTGACTCGCCGAATCCCTAAAATGGAAGCTCGCCCTGTTTCAGTTGAAACGTGAAAAGTATGAGAGTGCACGCGCGCCATTGTTGTTCGTCAGTCATGTGATTGGTCTCAGTGGTTCACCTTGTTGGTCATATTTTGTTGTTCTGCTCTTCTTGTCCATCATTTTCATCAACATGAGACTCAGAAAAGTGCAAAACTACGTGACCTTGTTACTCATTCATGAAGTTAAGAACGCACAGGCTTTAGGGGATCCTCTGCTCCTCTCGGTTTGCTGCAGTTTCTGGTCCATCTTCGAATGTCCAAGGCTCCTTTCACATCTCCCAAAGTTCAAGGCTCTTACATCTCCCAAAAGCCTGAAACTTCCCTCTTTTCTGTGGTCCATACTTCGTCATAATCCGAGTCCTCGTCATCACGCGCGCCACGCTCTGCTATATTCGTCTCTAATTTGATCCCTTGAAGGGAGGCTACTACATCTGGCGAAGTAGATGAAGAAGCAGATGGAGGAGAAGCCGATGGAGAAATATGAGATGGTGTGCCTGCTGCAGCTTCGTCTTCTTGGAAAAGGGGAAGGCCCCAGCGCAGGCAGAAACGTAGCGTAAGCGAAAATTTGTATCTCAGACGCGCGCAAGCGGGAGCCAAAAAGAAGGGGTTTGCGTCCCGGATCTCGCCTCTAATGTGGATGTCTACTTTGTCACTTTCAGCAGAAAACTGGTAATCGTTCGCGACGTGGCGCCACTCTTTAGCTCGCAATTCCGCACCCCTCCAGGCGACGACCGCTGTTCCTCTGTCGACCAACCACGGGGAATGATCCCCGTGAGAAGTGAAAATATCATTAAAGTCATTCTCCATCTCCACATAGGCGTCATAGGCGGATGGAGGCAGATAGGTTTGAATGAAATCGCCTGGCAATAACTTCGTCATTCGCCCCAGCTTGGAATGCGAAAGCAAGGAAAACCAGGCCGCATAACTGGGGGAGACGGCGCCGACACCGGGCAGCCAAAGCTGCGGAAGTAGATCTACCGTTCGGTGGACAGGGTGGCGGCTACGGTCCAGATCATCTGTTTGATGACGTATATTTTTCTCAATTTCACGAAAGACGTATACGCCATTACGGTGACCGTCCCCGGGGTCCGGTCTAATATCCATGCGGTCCAGCCGAATAGTGAAAAAGTCTACTTCAAAATCGTCGAACTCTCCGTAATACTCGATCCCAGGCCTAAGCTGTCCTCGGGCGCCGTCCTCCTCGTAAAGCAGCGAAGCAAAGATCGAATTCGAACGGCCTCCCTTGTGCGTTGTTTGCACAAGCGTGTGCGATTTGTCTGGCGTCATTATGCCAAGCGTCGATTGAATTACTTGTATAACAATCTTCCTTGCTGGAGCAACTGCACGACCCGGTGAAGATCCAGCAGGCACAGAAGACCCTCCACTCCCACCATCATTTCCACCTACACCTCCCGCGAGTGCGAGTCTGCGATTGGGGCCACCCGAATCTTGTTCATCATCCGTGGTCGTCGAGAGTCCTAGAATCGCGGATATAGTTTTTGCAGCCGACGACTTTGAAACTGGATAGAAGCATCGGTCGCCGTAGACAAACTGAGTAGAAGCATCGATAACAAACTGGGTAGAGGAGAGCCCCCCAGCTTCTTCTTCGGTGCCACCTTGATTGGCGACTTTCTCCTGATTCTCGCTAAAACGAGCCACGGCCAGCTGGCAAGCAGAAAAGAACCACTTTCCAGTTGCGTTCGGATCAACTTGTAGGTTCTCGACCACAACCTCCCCACTCAAAGTCCGGAGGTCTATACTCAACTGTTTTGGTTTTGGATGAAGCTTCGTGTTCTTCAGCTTGAGTCTTCCCGCAGGACCGCGTTGCGTCCCTACAAGCTCCTGGCCACCATCGTCTCCCATACTAGCATCGTCTCCCTGACCCGTTGCGCTCCCACCCATACCAGCGGCGTTCGCAACTGTGCAAAGACTCGCACAACAAGCCAACAGAACCAGAAGGTAGAAGCGAAGAAAGACCATACTGTTGCTGTCTCTTGTGGACATGCTGATATTGTTCATGTTGTAGATGATTTTTCAAGGAATACCGAAAAAGAAAGAGGTGAAGTGGGGCTGAAGTGGATCAACTATCAATAAACCCCGTCGATTTACTTCCACGGATGTGCTAAAAGAATTCTTTTTACGTTGTTGTGATCATGTAGAAAAAAACGCTGTTGCGCTAAAAGACAGAAGACTGGATCTCGCCATCACGTTGCTGCACAAAGAGAACGCACCGAGTGAGATGTATAGATGAACTCACGAGAAAGAGGAGCCAGATCTGTCGCTTGTTTTTCCGTGAGGAAAACCGCATGAGTGTGAACAACCAGAAACCGTTCGCGAAAGAAACACGCTATAGGGCCACCATCAGAGGACGTGGCACTTCGCGTAGTGCTTGTTGCTTTTTTGTTGTTTTGTTCTGTTCACTGTCACCACTAGAAAACGAGCTTGTTTGTTGACAGGAAGATACCCCGAGAGCTCATATTTATAACGGATCGGGATGAGGCTTTTGCGGTTGCCGTGGTTTCAGATGGACTGTCTGTCTTTGTCTGTCCGCCTTGTGATCCACCCCGAGGGAGGGCGGTCACCTCTAGTGCCCCTCAGGTATGCCGTGAGCTTCTTTAATCACCATTATCCTGTCTGTAGTTAGTTATAAGCCAGTAAACAATGAAGATGAGCGCATGTTGTGATCATCATGTAGAGTGTCGCCAACATTCACTTAGTTGTACTAGGGACTTCTACTTGCTCATTGATGATTTGAATCTATTCGGCGAGCTGCCTAAGATTTCCCAGACGAGATCTACCCGCCAGTCTAGCTTGTTGTTGGATTGTTAGTGTTCGGCCAACTGTTCCTGTTGTTCCTGTTGTTGAACGCTGAAGCTCTGGCTTCTGTCTTGCTACTTGTGCCCAGAGGCTTCTGTTCTCCGCGCTGCTTAGCTGCACCCCTCTCGCCCTAAGGTCTGCCTCCAGTTGCCTCCTGTAGGTTGCGCGCGGCGCTCCCCTGCCTCTCCTGTAGCCCTGCGGCCGCTCTCCTTCTGCTGTTAGAGCGATCCGCGCCCACCTTGCCTCTGGGTATCGCACTAGGTGCCCGATGTATCTGAGGCGCCTCTGCTCGACAATGCTGCTAAGCTCCTCCTGCCCTGTCTCCTCCAGCAGGTCCGCCGTGCGGATGTGGTCGGCCTTCGTTGCTCCAATGCAAGAGCGTAGCTTCTTGTGCCACCATGTGTCGAGCGCTGCCTTCGTTTTGTTCGTTAGTGTCCAGGTCTCAGATCCCCAGAGCGCTACCGGCAACACGAACACCCTCAAGATGCGCGTCTTTAGCTCCCTGCTAATGTTCCTCTGCGCGAAGACCCTGGAGAGCTCCCCGCTTTTCTTCTGGGCCCGCTCTATCCTGCTGAGGATATCCGCTTCGTCGTCTCCGTCCTGGGTTAGTGTGCTACCTAGGTAGGCGAAAGCGTGCACCTGCTCGACCCTGCCCTGCTCCAGGGTGAGCCCACCTGCTGCCGAGGTCTCCTCCACCTCCACCTGCCCGCTGAGGTCGAATTCTACATACTTCGTCTTTGTGAGGTTGACTGTCAGACCGTGCTCCGCCATCGTGTCCACCAGCCTTTGCGTGGCTCCCCTGAGGCTCTCGGCGTCCTCTGCTAGCAGAGCGATATCGTCAGCGTATAGCAGATGGTCTAGTCGGACTACTTCTACTTCGGCGCCCTCGTCCTTTCGTAGAAGTTTTGTTCTGTGCATCTTTGCTCCTTCTCCTAGGTCTGTTCGCTCTAGGACGTAGCTTATGCACATGTTGAAGATGAGTGGCGAAAGTAGGCAGCCCTGCTTTGTGCCGGTGGTGGTCCTCCTTGAGTCGCTGACTGCTGCCTCCCTGCGTACTGCGAAGCTATGCTCCCTGTACAAGGCCCAGAAGTTCTCGCGTAGCTGCAGTGGGATCCGGTATTCCTCGAAAGCCCTTGCTACCAGTTTTCGCGGTACAGTGTCGAATGCCTGCGTCAGGTCAACGAAACAAACTGATGTGGTGCGCCCCACTGCTGCCCGTGCCTGGAGCGCCAGTTTCAGTGCCAGCGTGTTGTCTACTGCTCTCCTGTAAGGCCTATAGCCTGCCTGTGCCTCTGAGAGTGTTTTGTCTATTGGGCCAACCAGCCTGAGGTATAGCGCGGATGCGAAGATCTTTGCGAAGAAATTCAGCAAGGCTATTGGCCTCCATCCTGCAGTGCTGCTGTGGTCTTTTCCTGGTTTTGGTAGCACCACTATTAGCGAGTCGACTTCGCCGTCCTCTAGGGTGCCTTCTCGCCAATACCTGCGCACCTTTTCTCTCACGAGGTTCTTGTTCTGCGCGCTGAGTAGCTCGTAGTGCTCCTTCTTTAGTTGGTCCCTGCCTGCTGCTTTGCCGGTCCTGAGCCTTCTTATAGCCTCGTCGACCTCCTTGTCCTCCAGCTCGCGCCCTCCCTCATGCGCACCTGTGTCGGCTCGCCGCCATGTGCGGTTGTACTCCTGAGGCAGCTCTCGCGCGTCGCGCTCTGGTAGCTGTGGCGGCTCCTCTCCGGTGAAGACTGCCTCGAAAAAAGCCCGGTGTAGCTCCGCCTTGCCCCTGGCGGTGTAAGCGACCTCCCCTTCGTGTTGCAGTGTTTCGCTTATCTTCGAGCGGCCTCCGCTGTGCCCCTTGGCCTTCCTCCCCCCAAGGGCTGATATCTTCGCTACTGCAGGGGCCTGTCCGCTCTTGGCGAAGTGCTCCTCTGCCTCCCTGCAGGCCCTCTCGGCAAAAGCGTTCTGGTCCCGCTTCTCGGTCCATTTCATCTGCTTGAGCAGCTGCTTGGCCTCTTCCTTGTTGCCGAGCCGCAACTGTTCTGCCCTCTCTCGCCACAGGTCGCGGAACTCCCTGCTTATCCAAGGCTTTTCGCTTCGCTCTTGGCCGTAGACCTCCTGTCCCGCAATGCGCATCGCTTCCTGTATGCTTCTCCCTCCTTCTATGAGTCGCTCTACTGCTGCGTTGTATCTGTTCACAGACTCTGGCTCGGCTTGTGCGGGCTTGGGCAACTGTGCTAGCCTCCTTTTCTTCGGCTTCTTTCCATGCCAGCCGAAATCGTCTACCCGTAGCTTGCTTTTTACCATGAGGTGGTCTGTGCTGATCTCATGTCGCTCCACTACCCGCGTGTCCTCGACGCTTTTCCTCATACTGTTGGAGTACACTATGTGGTCGATCTGTTGCCAGCCCCTTGTCCCGTATCTTGCGTCTGGGTGTCTCCATGTTGCGTACCCGTGTTGCCCATGCTGGAATACCGACGCGGACGAGAAGGCCCCTGCTTCCAACAAGAAATGCCGGAAGGCAGTGGTGTTGCTGTTTGGTCTCTGGTTGGCCTCCCTGCCGTGTGGGCCCGTTACCTGCGTAGCGCCGATGGGTAGTCGTGCGTTGAAGTCCCCTACTATGGCATACCTCGCCACGCCCCTGACTGCCTTCCCTAGTTCTGCGTAGAGTGCTTCCGTTTTTGTCTCGTTCTTCGCTTCTGCTGTCGGTGCGTAGACGCAGACTACCCGAAAGGGCTTCCCCTTCCCGACGCGGAGGTCCAGTATGCATATTCTGCCTCCCACTGCTCTCCAGTCTACCACAAGGTGCCAGATGCTCTGGTGGATCGCCCACGCTGCCCCAGCGTGCTTGCTGCTGCCTGCGCTTAGTATTCGCCATTCTCCACAGTCGACCTCGCCTGTTTTCTTGATGTTTGTTTCTGTTAGGCCAGCTAATAGGACTCCCTCTGCCTCTAGATGTAGCAGAATGCTTTTTCTCTTTGCTTCTGATGCTGCTTCGTCGTTCTTGTTGTCGATACTTCTAACGTTCCAACATGCTAGTGTTAGCGTGTCTATCTTCATCGTCTTTTATGGGGGCTATTTTTTTTCATGAACCAGTGCGCCACGTTGGTCCTTTAAAGCGCCTGCTGTGTCAGCTAGTGCACCTCCACAGTCGACGCTTGGGTAGTACCCTGCTCCAGGTACTGTTTCTAAGTTGGCTGCTTCGAGCCAGGTCAGCCGACGTTCTGCTGTTTCTTTTCCTACTTTAGTTTTCTACGGCCTGTTAGTTGCCTTCGCGTGCTTTTATAAGACTAGTCTGCTTCTTTTTTTTCTAGTTTTTGCTTCTTTCACGCTTATGCTGATAAGGCTTGTTTTCCACTGTCAAAAATTTGCCCTACTTCCTTTCGCCGTTGGCCTTGGCCGAGTATGGGTCGCTTTTCTTGCGAGAGCTTCTGGTAAACGAAAAGGTAAAACTTCAAAACTTAGAACTTGCTGCTTTTTGGAGGACTTTGCCTCCGTCGCTAGACACTGCGACTTTTGTGCTTGACTTCGACTGGGTCGCCACTAGACACTGTGGCCCCTTTGCTTTAGACACGCTATTTATTCACCACTAGACTTTGCGTTGCTGTGAGTTATGTTGAGCTAAAACTTCTTCGGTGCAGCCTCGTTGTTGGTTTACTGCACACCCCGAGTTTCGAAAACGAAAAGTTAAAGGCTGGCTTCGTTGATCACCACTAGAAAAAAAACGTTCTTTTTTCCTTGATGTTGAAGATGAGACTTGTTTTACTTTTGTTTTTGTTCTTTGTTGTTGAAGAAGAAGAGACTACCGCTGTGAAGAAAGAAGTAGAAACACGGGCACCAAGATTAAGACTGCTGCTTTGAAGAGGAAAATTCAGGAGGTGCTCCTGCATGATGACGACGTTGATAAAGCTGCTCCGTTAGCTACCGCCCAAGAAGCTCGCCCCTGTGTTCGAGGTTGCTCCTTGTTGGTTGCCACTACCACTGCCGCCTGCTTTTGTTGCGCCTATCGTTGAGCTCATCCGCCGTAGGTGCTTCTCCCTTCGTTTCTTGCTGGCACTTCTACTTCTGCTTCGCTCACGCGACTTCTTCCGACTGGGTGGCGTGGGTGCTGGTGGTCGGTCCTTTTCGGCTGTGGAGTCGCTTCTGCCTCTGCTGGTGCTGTCGCTGCTTGTTTTTCCTTCCTCCACCTGGCGGCTCAGTTTGTCGACCTTTTCGTTGGTTTTCTTGACTTCAGCCAACACTTGCTGATTCTGGGCCAATATTTCACTGCACTTGGCTGCGCTACCAGCTAGTTGGTGGATCAGCTCGTCGTGTGAGTCCACCGTTGTCTTCAGAACTTGCAGGTCTTGCGCCGTCTCCTCCTGCTTTTTCTCTGTGGCAGCCGTCTTGTCCAGAAGCTGTTTGCCCTGTAGTTGTAGTTCCTCAATTTTCTTCTCCAGTTCTAGCAGTTTATCACTACCACAGCCACCCTTCTCCACCACTTCCAGTCTGCTTGTTAGCTCCGTGATCTTCTTCTTGTGGGCCGCTTGTGCTCGGATTCTCACTACTTCTACCTCTGTTAGATCTCCACCTTCCCACTCCACTAGATATGGTCCTCGGCCTTCGTCTTCGAGGGCCTCTGCTTGTATTTCTTGCCCCTCTCTTGGATATCCAGATCCTGCTTTCCGCTGTTTATGATGGAAGAAAACCTCCTGCCCATCTGCGCCTTCTGCTTTTCCGTAGCCCCTCGCTATATTGTAGTATTTTACTTTATAGGAGGAGTCCGCCATCAATAGATCTTCCTTCTTGCCTTTGTTGTTGGCGCTGCTACTACTGCCATTGCTGCTTGTAGTTTCCTTGTTGATTTTGTTGTTGTTGCTCCGCGCTCCTCCGCGGCCACTTCTTGTTGTTACCGGCATGCTCACTTGTTTCTATGCCGCCACTGTTCGTATTCTTTTTGGTGATGACTTCTGACAAATAACCACTGGGAGTAGGTCTGCTGGTGGTCTTGCGCAAAAGCTAACAGCTCCTCGTACGTCGGCTTAGTGGTGAGCTTAGCCGCAGTGTTTCTATCTCTACTTCGGCTTCTGCTGTTTCTATTCTCGAAACGTGACTTTCCCACGATGTTGCTGGTGGGGGGTGGCGGCGATGCTTTTGTAGAGGTAGCAGTTGTAGAGGATGTTGAACAAGAGGGTGGTGTTGATGTTGATGTTGATGCACAAGAAGTAGCAGAAGATGAAGAGGAGATAATACGCGGTGATGTTGAGGAGCTCGAGCCACTTCCTTGTAGTTCTAGTTGCACCCTGGCGGTGGCCGCTAGCGCTCCCTTCCCCTGCAGGAGTAGTTTGCTGTTTTTCTTGTAGAAAGTTGCGGTGACTTGCTGCTTGATTCCTAAGGGCGTGGTGATCTCAACGCAGGTGCGGATGTCTCCGTTTTCGATGGTGGTCCAGATCGGACTCTGCCCCCCAAGGTTTAGCACCGCAGATTTTGCTGCTTCTTCTGACAGTTGGAAAGACATTCCCTTTCTGGATTTTCTTCTCGCTTCCGGTCGTCACCGCTATCGCCGGCAACAAGAGGAAGGAGGGGGAGAGTTGTCCAAAGGGAGAGGAAGGCCGAAGGAAGAAGAAGCTGTGACACGTGAGCTGCCTCTTTCTTGCCTCTTGTTGGTTGCCCTGAGGTCTTTATTTTTTGAAGGGTCTTTTGTGGGCCTTGCTCAGATCTGAAGAAAAATTCCAGCTGTTGAACTGTAGTGATTTGGTGTACCGCCAGGATCTTCCGACTCTGCTATCTCCGGTTTCCTCAGATGGCAAAGCAAAAAGCAACCGTTTGTGAGACTGACGACGTTGTAGGAGCCATAGTTTTTGATCTCTTGTGCAGTTCGTGGTGGTGCGACCGATTTCGTTGTTTCGACGATGAATGGATTCAATTCTACATATCAGATTCTTTTTCTCTGATGTTACTACTAGTAATTGTTATACTATCTTCCTAGGATCATTCATTATTTGCTCATTATTTGTGCCAAAAGATATTTAGACCCAAGCAATAGTTTTCTTTTTCGTGCTGCTCTTTCGAAAAACTATACTGCTGCTGGCACTTGTTGCGCCAAAATGGCTATGGTGACAAGATCTTCTTTGTATTTCTCCGGTGTTGTAGAGGAACTTGGTAGTAGAACGAGCAGTCGAAGTAGATTGTGATCGTAAATTGTGATCGCACTTTATCTTTGACTTCGTAATACTTTGTTGAACAACAAGTTGTACTTAGGATCCAATTGGTGATCAGCTGTAGCTGTTGAGGTGGAAAGGCTTTTTTAAGCGATTCCTCAAGCCCCCAACCTGGTGACACCTCCCGATCGTGATGTAAAAGGTTGCTTCAGTTCAGAAGTCATACTAGATTTCATACCAGGAGTCCGAGTCCCATACCAGGAGTCCGAGTCCTCCTCCTCAGGTTCTTGTGCAGCTCTCACCTCTTCTTAACAACTAGTTGTACCCTAGTTGTATCTTCGCCCTCACCATGTCGAGGGCGTGCTGAAGTGGATGTTCCTCGTCAGCATTTTTTCACTCCTACCTCTGACCAAACCGATTGGGTGCGTTTTCACCTCCTCGTCCAGTGATTTTGACCATCAGAAACGTGAATGTCCTCACCTCCACCCGTGATTGCTGATCGTGATGTCGCTCGCAGGACACGGTGTACACCCTCTATATTCTTCCTGTAACGCAGCAAAGGTTTCCTTGCAGCTCTTTGCTGACTCCTACCACCTCCCGCACCTTGAAGCAGGATGTTATTGTTGTTGACGTTGGCTCCGGTCGTGGCTCCGGCAATATCATACTGAACATGGTGGCTGCCGCTGCTGATCTTGTTGCTGCTCTCGCGCGCAAGAGTTAGATGAACATGAGTACTTGGGCTACTAGTGGTGGTAGAAATATATCAGTGAAAACAAGTCTAAAAATAGGTCGCGTACAAGCTTTTATGCAAGGTCGTGAACGTGAATGTTGATCAACATCAATCAGTATTACCATGATCTACGAAAATCATCAACTTTGAACTTTAAGTCCTCGTGCTTGGTTCTTGTTCTTAATAGAGAGCTCGTACGTGTTGCGGTTTCCTTTCCGGCACAACCTGGATTGGCACGCCACTGATCCCTAGTCGTCCTCCAGGGACGAAAATGGCGCGGCGCCTTATTGGATCGAAAAACTTGCAAGCCCCTAGAAGCTACACCAGAATCGCAACCACCGAAGTCGCCACACAAATGCTCCAGACTGGTACAATAGTTATTTCGAATAATTAATAAGTGGTAAAATAATAATAAAATAGTTATTTCGATGAATAAATCATAAGCGAGTTGTTCTAGTAGAAAGAAGTAGTTGTAGTTGCTCTAGAAGATGGATGACGCCATGTAGTTCATGAAAAGCTCGAGCGGACGGGACCACACAAAAATCCGAACAATGTTGACAGTTGTGACGATGAAATGATTTTCTGATGAACTACAATCTTCCAAAACCACAAAATGATGAAGATCAAGATCTTGTATCTCTAGTCTAAGGTAGAAGTACGCAACTCCCGGCCGGAAGAGCGGAGCGTAGAATGGTGGTGTATTTGCGTGAGCTGATATCTTATGGACCCCAGGATGCGAAGTCAGCATGTGCCATTGACCACGATTTTCATCGATTGTCCATTCGGGTGACCGCGGTCTCTTCTCCTTCTCGCTTTGAGTTAGCGCTTTTGACTCACTGTGCTGGGACATACAGAAGTAAAAACTCTACTACTATTATTTTTCAAAACAATACCATTACCAGTCTTCTATTTCGAGCTAGCGCGACCATTAGCAACGACAATATTATCATCATGTGATTGAAAATATCTCGACGAAGATCTGTTGTGACGGGACCTATCATGATCATAAAACTTGCCACTCGCCTCTTCCTCCTCCAATAAAGGCAGCCGTGCTGGCCTTGGCATTGAGGTAGTCTCGGTTGCATCCAGGATGTTCATCCAAAAAGAGACGAACCGGCTGCCTCTTAGGGGGTGTCAGCTCTTCATAACGCACTTCTCTATTTGGAAAAGCGGAACTAGCTCTCTTCTTGGATCTCCTCTTCTTGTTGGTATCTTCACCAGAAGGCTCGCCGTTTTCTTCTCCTTTACTGTTATAGTCTGACATGATGTTGATCCTGCTCCCTTTGATTCAGACGTAATTGGCTTCGTCGTGATGGCATCATTTACAACGACTTCGGCTGTGGCGCTTGTTTATAACAAGATCTCCTTGCCTACTTCTGCAGAGAAGTGCTGCTCACTTCACGTCCACCTCTACGCGCAACTTCTAGGGTAAGAAGACTGCTTTTCTGCTGTAGTCGCAGCAGTTCTTCTACTCGTTTCAGCTTGATTCCTACGTCCTCCTGTACAACAGAGAAACGATGCACATATTTCGAAATAGGCAAGGTCTTAATCTTTTGTCTCTATAATTTCTTTCTTCAAAAGTTGTACTTTTCATAAAATGGAGAGGAGAAACCACGGCGTTCACTAACAAGTGAGTACGCTCGTCCTCATCGTCCTTCTGATCATGATGATGATGTTTTATATCGTCTTACTAAAAGTAGCCGTCCGCAGGAAACGTATACTATAGATACTAGCAGTAGGGGGCGCGTGGTGGGGTGAAGAACGACATCGACAATGACAAGAAAGGCAAGCTGTGATGTTATTTTTGAACCGAAGTTTCCTGCTGCTGCTGAACCGATCTTCTCTTCTCACGATACGTATCCATGTTCATGATCCAGTACTTTATCATGCTCATCATTCTATCGCCGTGAAACCGATTACAGTAGCACCGACTTAAACGACAGTTTGAATACTTTAAATGGTGACGGGACTAGATTGTAGGTCGCTAAGTAAACTAACTTCTGCACTGAATACATTGATCAAGAAGAACACGCGTTTTCCTATATCAACCTTGTTTTTTGCTTCTTTGCGGGGGCAACAGCCACAGTGGATAAGCAGTTGCTGGTGAGGAGGCGTCCTCCTAGCTAAAGAAGGCAATGCTGACACGGGACGTGTCAGAAGTCGTGCTTCAACCAGTCGGAGCTACCACATCTCGTTTTTCAGTGCTCTTCGAATCTGGATCATTCTTAGCCGCGATCTTCGCCTACTTCCTTTCTTCCCGTTCCGCGTATCTTTTTCTGAGGTCCTCATCCACGCCGCGAACGATAGGAGACACGAAAATGCCTTCTAAATTAGAAGAGCAAGATGAGGAGCCAACACGACGAGGACCAGACGTGGAGGTACAACTTGTAGTACCTTAGTTGTAATCTTAATGCTGAAATTGGAAATAAATTCTACTTCTCATTCAGTACCTATTCATTTTCTAGTCAGATCGTTAGAGCGATGACTCCAACACCTTTCATAATCAGGAATAGTAGTAAGTACTATAATAATCGATCGATGTTGTGAATGAACCACACGTGTAAAATTTACTTAGTCGCCTTAATAGTCGATCTGTAGAAGTCGGAGAGATCTACTTCCGATTGCTCTATGCCGTAGTCGTCTGCTTGGAGCATCATCTCGTGTCTATCCAGGTCCTTGACAAATTTGGCCTCTGGAGTCTCTTGCGCCTCGTATTCGTACCACAAAGACAGGAGGAAGGACTTGGTTTTTTCTAGGCTTGGGCTTACTACAGGAGAACAAGACGCGCCCCCCTCTGAGTCTATTTTCCTTCGTTTCGCTATAATACCTGAACTTGTGTCTGCGTCCTCCGCCTTGTCCTCTACTGTGGGTGCAGCAGGTCCAAGTATTTGTAAAATCGCCTTTTCCTCCAGCTTGGCTTTTTCCGCACGTGTTATGTTATCGCGGCTACTGGCGTCGCCGTCTACTACTAGATCCCCGACAAGAGCTTCTGCGAGATCATGAACTAAAGCCATTTGACAACAGCGCATTGCGTCTAGAGGTCGTACTGAGCTGGTCGTTCCTCGTGTTTTTTTCAACATATGATCTACTTCTAGTTCTTCATAGAAGTCACTTGTGCCACAAACTTCTGAAACTACAGGAGCTGCATCGGCCAGAATTTGATCTCCTATTTTTCTTCCACCTGGTCCTCTAGAAACTGCAGTTATAGTGGCAGGAGTTTCGCCAGTGGGAGATGAAGTAATCCCATTCGCGTCAACTTGTGGAGCATACAGCAACGCCAGCAGAGCCATGCGGAATGAGTGTTCTGCCACAGACTCGGCATTCTGGACACCTCGACGAACCCATCCCGTTCGCGGTGTTCGCTTCAGTTTGCCGATAACCTGCGAGAGGCGAAGGAGTTCTCTCACGTCTGCAGCATTTACTCCGCTGTGGCTGGGCTCTTCGTGCTCCCCAGGTGCTGCCTTAGGAAGAGCACTATTGCAAGGATCCGTCATCTTGCTCCGATGCTCCCCTCCCTTAGGAAGAGCACTATTGCAAGGATCCGTCATCTTGCTCCGATGCTCCCCTCCCTTAGGAAGAGCACTATTGCAAGGATCCGTCATCTTCTACTTCAGCACGCAGTTTCCTCAGTGAATAGTACCTACACTTGCAGTTGCTACTTACTTAATTACTAACCACGTGCTAAAACGAATGTGGCGCAGAAATGGTCAGCTCAATCTTTATCTCTTTTTCTAATGTACCTTCACGTAAAATGTAGTGTGGGCTCTGTCGAAAAATGTATTAAATCATTCATAGAAGTTGTTAGTGCAAAATGAGGAGTGAAATACGAAGGAGCATGCTTTCAATTTAACCATCAAGCCGGTCGATCCATTCTAAAGTCTAGGATCGGTTGTTCATCGCTTCGTTACTTCAAGCGTCAGAGATCGGAACCAGTCATCGTATCTTCAAACAATGTCAACATTCTATTTGACCGTTACCACTTTTTTTGTGGTCTTGTTCACAAGAACAAGTACTAGATTCTCTATTTGTATTTTCAGCATTTTCCTGCTGATTTATTGACTCCTAACATTTGACTATGCAAACGCAACTTCAACTTGTTGCTACCTTCATCTTCATGTCTCCTGTCTCAGCCCAAAACCTCGTTGATCATGCAAACTACCTGTTCAACTACTAGAAGAAGTTACACTCATCGACGATGCATTGAATACTTGTTGCAGCAATCGCCCCCAGAAACTTCTCTAATCTCATGCAAAAAATAAATGCAAGTTGTCGTTGTGTGCTAACACATATGCACATGAAAGATGAAGGACCTGGACCATCAAGATGAACATCTTTTTATGACAAGCATCTACTCCTCATTATTTTTTTGTTGTATTCAAATCAACATAAACATCATAAACATAATCACCGGTGTCAGTGCTGTCATTATAGCGTTACCCATGATGCTGCACCAGCAATGCAGCCTTTTCTTTCCGATGTCTTGCTTCTAGATCAAGAGTGCGTTTTCTATGTCGATTTCGGAGTTGTTCGTACCGAGATTCAAATCTTCGAGCCAGCTGGTGCTTCTTCTGCCTTAGCCTCTCCCGTAGGGCCTCCAATTCGATCCCCTGCCGCTCCCTCAGTCGTTCCTCCAGCTTCTCTGTGCCGAGAAGGCGTAAGAAGGAACCCTGCTCAGAGTGACGTATGTGAATGACGTCTGTGAGTTACAAAATCTGACGAGAATGAATTTATGCAAGTTGTGGTTGCAAGTACTTGTCTATCAGTACAACTGTAAGTGGCGCTGTTGTAAGCGTAAGAACAAGACGAAGATGATTAGCATAGCAATCGTCAACTACATCAAAAACAACATCACCACGCATAGAGTAGCTTCGGTACCTTCTCTTTTTCGTCTTCTTGAAGCCGCCTAGCTTGGTCCGAGACGTCGCGGGCTTGCGCGTAGAGTCCTTGCTGCACGATGTACTTCAGCTTTGATTAGAATGCAATAGGCTTACGGTCGTCAGAGGGTGCCTTAGATCACCTACATACTCATTCAGTCAACGTTGTAGTTGTAATAGTAACAAGCACCCACACTTCTAAAAGAAAAAGAGATGATGCGGTTGTCAACTCGAAGCCATTGCTAAAACAAGAGGTACTTACTTAGTTCTAGTAGTTGTACTTAACTTCATTCATCTTAACTTTTCTGCAAATTGAGAAGCTCGGCGGATGGTTTTACGGCGTCACTCATCGATCTTGGCGATTGTTTTTCAGCAGAAAGCTGATCCGTGATAGAAGCCTGTGCTGTATCACCAGTCGAGTCAAGCTGTGCGGAATCGAGCAGCTGTGCCAATTCCTCCACTTGTTTCTCTCGCAAACTCCCCATCAATTTTGTTTCCGCCTCCAACAATGTGGTAGCTTCACTTCGCTCGTCCTCCACTAGATGCTCCTTCTCTTCCAACTGACGCTTTTCTTCGGTGGTCTTTTCGGGAATTAGAGGCTTGGAAATCTCGCGATAGCCCCGTACTGTTTTTGCCACCTCCAGCGTACCCGAATATGCCCTCATGATTACCGTAGTGGTCATGAATTCTCAGCTAATCACAAATCGTCCTAGTACTAGTTCATCCGCAACAACTACAAAAGAGGCCAATGATCATAACTCCACATGACGATTTAAAAGAAGCGAGCGCTTCTTAGCCTCATCTCGTTCCCGCATGCGTCTGAGGCGTTCTGCGGTAATAGCTGCCGTCTCATAGTTGCCGGCCGCTTCGGCTTGCTTCTTATGCCGCTCATAGACGCGGAACAGATCCACACCGAAGTCCATCTTCTCGTTTAGGTCGAGGTGTCACCAGTGTCTCGACGTTGCGCAACTATAAAATGTCCAACTACAACTAGTTCTTCGAGGAGAAGGACAATGGAAGAAATTCCCAATTTTTGGGTCAAGGTCAACTTTCGAATCTCTCTGTCGGAACTACAAAAGAACTCACCGTGAGTGACACGACTCGTAATTTTGGTCATGCACAGCTACAGAGTGGACAGGAGCTTCATGATTCGTTTTCTTGCCTCGTCTGCATTACGTAGCCGTCTAGGACGACTTCTCTGCAGCAGCAGCTCAAGAAAGACAAATAATAGAATTAGGAATTTTTTGGCCCGGCACGGGTCGAGTTTCTCGGGTTGCTCGGGTTGCTCGCCGTAATTTTTTGCGCGGCGCCCTTCGGGCGCAGCTTTATGAGGCTCTGGGATACCTTAGCAGGAGCGTACGACACTCCACGCCATGCCTCCGCTCCCTGGTTTTCTTCTTAATGCGCACCAGAGACGAGAGTGGCCAAGCCTCGTCTACTTACTTCCTGGGCTGAGTGGGCCGCTCTCCAGAGCAGACGGGAACCCACTGCCACCCCCAGCCCCGAAAGGGACGCATTGGCCACGCACACATCCGAAGAAAAAAGGGAGAGACTGGCAACGACCCAACGACAAGCCACAGCGACACGCTCCTCCCTCAAACAAAAACAACAACGAGGCGAAGCCGTCGGCCCCTCAATGCCTGCGCTTCAAACGCGCGCCCACACGCTACAAGAGAAAAAGCCGGAAGGGCTCGCGGGGGAGCCCTTCCTTCGCAACCGATTGCCCCCTTCCTGAGAGAGCAACAACAAAAGCAGCCACTTCTTCACTTCACGCAGCCAAAACCGTGGCCGCGCCGCCCTGCTGCGCCGCACTCCGGCGAAGCGGATACCTTACGGCAACTCGTGGCAACTCGTTCCAGAATTGAAGCCCTTCGCTTCGGCAACTCGAGCAACTCGTTGCAACTCGAGTAACTCGAAACCCGATATTTTACTTACTCTACGCCTTTATGGACCCCGTACGACCTAGAGTAGGTCTAGGTCCACCTGGTTGTAACAACAATTCGAATTCACCCAAAATTCACAACTCAACCCTTCCAGTTTGAACATTTGAGAAAAGTAGAACGAATAAAATCATGGAGAAAAATATCATATCGCATCGATAAAGTTAAACTCAAGGGACAACAACGACAAGGAGATTGTCTACAACGTCTTTACAGTCAACCGACTTGTTGGAGTTGGTCGTCGTGTTCCACTAAAACTAATCAAGATAAGTAATAGTACAAGAATAGAAATGTCATAGTCATGAGGCGTAAGTAGTTACTTGTGAGTGGAAAATCAAAAGTAATTTCCACATCTAGATTACGTCGATAAGGACGAAGATGACCCTGAAGATTCGTCGAAGTTCTTCTACAAAAAGAATTCATTACGGGCCTGCACCTAAACGGCAAGGACCTCTTCTCTCTTCAGGTGTCCAAGAAGTTCTTCTATTACATACTAATTGCAAGCTTCATTATTAGCCCTGTGCTTGAAGTGGATGTACAGGTTGAGTTACGTCTTGTACAAGTTCTATTACAAAAAGAAATCATATACAACAACATGTGCTTTCATCTTCATTGCGGCAACATGTGCTTTCATTGCGGGCTTGCGTTTCTCCTCCGACTTCCAGGTGGCCCAGACAAGCGACCCCTCGGAATTGGTCTCGCTGCAAAGGCAGACGCGAAAGCTTTTGGATCCGCGGCTGCTGCTTTCGCCAGTCTAGCGATTTCCTCTGAGGACATTGCGGATGAGAGCCTTCTTAGTGGAGGACTTCGGTTGCGCGAAGAACAAGCGAATGTTGTTGATGTTGTTGAGTTGTTAGAAGAAGTACTTAGATGTACTGACGATGAAGAAACTCCTGTAACAGAGGTTGTAGAAGACGTAGGTGGTGGTGGCTTGTTCTGGTAATGTGATGTTAAAGTGGAAGTTGTAAACCCAGCGCCAGACGAAGAGGGGGAGCTCCTCAAACTCGTCGTCCCAGCACCTCCCCTTGTATAATTACTACTTGAACTTGTCGCGCCACTGCCACTGTGCTGTGTTGTCATGGGAAGACTGGCAATCGGACGAGGTGCTTTGTTGATGTTTTTACCTCTACTCGCTGGAGACTTCATACTGCTCCTCTTATCTCTACTTGGACTTTTCTTGCCGATGTTGTCTGGTCTGGTACTCTTTGTCTTGGGACTCTCTGAACGTGATCTACTTCGCGATGCGGAGGCCTTCTTCTGCTTAGGAGAGGACCCCTTGTTCTGCTGTGGAGAGGAGGACGCCTTTTGTTTAGGAACATTAGGTGGCGACCCATGCAGCCCATCTTGTCCTATACTGCTGGGCAACATCACAGAAACTCTTTCTTCACTCGTCTCTCTGCTTTTGTTCTTGTCTATCCTTCTCCGTACTGCATCTAAGAGAGATGGCTTTGTCTTCGCTCCGTGAGCATTTATCGCAGGGTGATCTTGAAGATGTTTTGCTCCACCAGGACTGGTCCTCGCAGAGGATGAAGATGCTCCTCCTTTGGCAATGAACATGTTTTCGATGTCGGCAACTGCCATTTTCGAGGGAGAAGGAACTCCTGCCATAGCTTCAGGATCCGGTAAAACGCGTACTTCTTCCGCACCAACATCAGCATCAGACGAGGACGACCAAGCATCTGTATCAGCTGCAGTAGTCGTCGCGTGGTCTTCGGGTGATGCTGAGGCTTTTGATTTTGACTTCGTCGAGTTGTAAAAAGCTCGTTCTTGTATAATTTCTTGCGAGGAATTCTGTGAAGTACAGTAGATGTTGTTATCGATCTCTTTGAGGCTACTTGATGTTGCGGTATCCGCCGACGTATCATCTTCGTGATCACGACTCTTCAGGCCTTTCATGCCTTCTGCAACAAGCACATCTATTTTTCGACGGGATTGCTCGAGTTCGACCATCGATGTCGAACTTGATGTCGAACTAGTAGATGAAGCCGGAGCATCTGTCTTCCTACGTGGCACAGAACTGCGTCTTTGATTGCTGCTCGTGCTACACCCTCCTCGTGGAGGTAGATGATTACTGTCATTAGTACTAGACACTGCACTAAAGGATCCTCCACGACTGAGCATTGGCGATGCCCGTTTCGAAAAGTCTAATGCTGGTGAAGTCATATTATTATTTCCACTTGTTCCAGCTAGTGATCTTGTCAATGACGTTGCACGTTTTTGTGCTGTACTTGTACTGCGTCCTCCAGTTCCGGAGTTGTGAAGAGGAGGTCTGTGTTGTGGAGCAAAGGTAGCGGATGATGTTGCTACGGACGAAGATATTTTTGATAACGCGTTTTTCGGTGTACTAGAAGTCGAAGTATTGAGGTGGAGATGGTCACCTCCTAGTACTATCGATGGACCACCAGAAGCTCCGCCCCCACGTCGTTGCAGCAAATCCGTATACTTTTTGCTGAGCAAGTCGTAGCGCTTTTCTAGCTCACGCAGTTTCATTCCTTGTATTTTGGCGTCAGGATCAGTTGAAGAAGTTGACTCAGAAGATGATCGATTGTTGAGAGATGCAGCACCTGCACCACCTTGGTCACTACCGCCACCACTTGGTCCACTAGCTGTTGTTGCTGTTGTCACACCAGTAGCTGTGCTCGCTCCACCTGCTCCTCCTGCAGATTGTGCAGAGCTCAGTAGGCTACTTTGATCACCCCCACTGTCACCCCTCGATCTCGCCAGTCGACGGACGGCTTGTTCCTCATGCTCTCGCCGCCAGCGGTTGAGAGCGTCTACTTCTGTCCGCAAAGCTGCGACCTATTTTTAGAATGGCTGTCACAACAATCAATGATCTGAAATAGATTTCGTCGAGGACATAGATGAAGAAGAGGAAATTAAACTTCTGCTCCAGGGAGGAGTAGATCACTAAGGTTTCCTCCCGCCTTTCCTGATAGACGTAGATGTGTACTACTGTAGTTCCAGCTCACGATAAAATCAATCCTTATCCTTTTGTACTTAATGATCTGAGATAACTGAAATCACAAATAGTAGATTAGGATTTGACCCCTCTTAATGATGTGCATGCCTTTGCGCCTCACGGGCTTTCTCCATATCCCGTTTTCTCTCTACCTCAGCCAAATCTTCACGGACTTTCCCCAAAGCTCCTTCCAGTAAGCGTGCGCGTTCTTCCTGTGCGCGCTCCATCTCGCTTTGGGCTTCTTCCCGCCTCTTCTGCTCAGCCACGGTTTCAACTTTAGAGGTGGTAGCTTGCAGTAGCAGTCATTCCTAACATTCAACATGTCTTACCATTATAATAAATCCGCTGACAGATTATACAACGACAGAAAAATAAAGACTCTTTATTTTTCTGTCGTTGTATCTCTCAGATGATTTATTAAAGAGCATCAAGAATTATAGCTTTAGTTTCTTTTAGTCCTCCTAACAGCTGCTTTCCGGAGTTCGGATGCCAGACAAGTAATCCCATCGTCCGCAGAGAGGCTTTGCAGACCGGTGACAAGATCCCGGGCCCCAGCAAGTGCGGCGTTCACGCGTCCCAATACACTTTGTAGATGAACGCGCTCCGTTGTTGCCTGAGTAAAGTTGTTGTTGCCTGAGTGAAGACTAGAATGACAAGGACTATCAAGAAGTTGCGTGGTGCATGAGGTTACACGACTACAGGTTGAGAAGTTAAAAATCATGAAGATTACATACAAGTACTTTAGAAGTACCTCAGTAGCTCGTCGTTCTGCTTCAGCGGCGGCTGTCTTTTGGTTTTCTAAGCCTTCTGTTAAATCCTCCACGACTTTGATTACTCGCATCATCTGCTTCTCATGTTCCGCTTTGTCGCTGACAGGTGCTGCTGTCGAAGTTGCGGCTACGACTGTTGAAGTTTTTGAAGAAGCCGAGCGGATGAATTATTCTTGTCTAGATTTACGATTACGTCGTAGTTGTTCGTAAGAGGGTTCTTTGGGACTAGGGCAGGTAGAAGATCGATTAAGTTCTGTAGCTCCTGAAACAATTATGAATGATGCTCCATAATGAAAAAATACCAATATCGGTAAACGACTTTCCTTCATCGGACGTATGACTATGACCAGACGTTGAAGACGGACGATCATCGCCGCCGGCCTTTTTTGCATCTACTCCAGCAGAGACAGATGAGTGGTCTGATGTAGAGAAAGTCCCACCTCCACCTCCATTACCTCCGACGACCGTATCCACTAGTTTTTTCTCTAGGGCCGACCTCTGTTCCCGCAACTGCATGATTTCCTCTTTCCAGCTCTGTTGCTGTTCCGTCAGGGCTGTAATTACCTCATGCAAACTCGCACTCTTCCGCACTTGTTCTCGAAAAGGCAGATGATGTTCTTGAGGTTGAGCTTCTTGACTACTTTGACCTCTACCAGGATGATCTCCATCATGTTTTTCGGAAGCATTTCGGTTTTCATCATTCGTTTCACTCGTGGTAGACGAAGCAATGCCACCAGTTGTGGTATCATGGGGACCATAGCAGGATGTACTTGATGCACTATACGAGGACGTCGGTGATGAGGATATTGTTGATGAACAAGTAGTCCCCTGTTGAAGGTCCTGCTTGTTTTTCTGGTTCAATCCCGAAGATGCAGAGGATCCTCCAGATGTAGCAGGCTTGGCGGTTTGAGGATTTTCCCCTTCGTATATCGTTGTCAGCGTGCCATCGAATGACACATAGTCGTCTATGGTGAGATCACGACTCTCCACGTGCTCACTTGCATGGTTCTGGAACGATTCGACCACGTGCGCGATATGAAGAGTAGAAGTCGAGGAGATCAATCATTGAAGATGTCTTACCACTTGAACTTGAGGGCGACGGCCTATTACGAAACTCATACTCATGTCCATACTTTCATTTCTATGATGATGAAAAGATGTACATGTAGTACTATCTACTTGTTTAACACCAGGTAGTACTATTCTTAACACTAAGTGGATAGTGAATAAAAAAAAAGGCATAAATGGCTTTCAATAGCGAGCTGTTCAACATCACAGCTGTCAAATAAAGCGCGTCCCCCGTGAGCTCTTCTCCAAGCGACGGTGGTTGCTCCTCTCCTAGCGAGGGAGGTTGCTCCTTCTTCGGTGTTCCATCTCCATGGTGATTTTCTAATGCTAGTTCTTCATCCGCTACTACCTGTTTTCGCGTGTTTCTCGAGTTGTTGTTGCGACCTTTCTGTGGCGATAGTCCACTTTCCAGGTTAGCATGCACCGCTGATTTGCGATCAATCGTGTGCTTTTGCTCCAGACTGTGGTACAACAGCGTAACATACTTCAAGCTCATGTTGAGGTGGTGTTGCATGGTTTGAGTAGCCAATACCGCAGCTTGGGCCAAGCGATCCTGTTCTGACACGTGCAAAACACCAAAAGCGGTCGAGGGGACCAAGGCTGCCGGTGCATTACTGTTCGTACCACTTGCAGCACTACTAGGTTCTTCTACTTGTTCATCTGCTGTATCATCTTCTGTATCATCTGCTGTATCATCTTCTGTATCAAGACGGACGAGAACATCAACATCTTGTTGATCTGCGTCGTCATGGTACTGCTGCTGCTCGTAATCGACATCGACATGATCGTCATTATCTTCCACTAAAGCCCTTCTTGTCGATGACATGGGGCCCTCCTCGTCTTCAAGGGTATCCTCTGCTAAGAACTGGTGCAGCTGGCGCCCTTTATCTTGTTCGCCGGCCTTGTGAAGATTGTCTTCCTCCTCCTGCTCAGCGTAGAAGTTCTCTACTTCCTCCAGCGCGTGAAAATTTGCTTCTCTATTTGTTCTCGTACAACTGGGAACAATGGGATCTTCAGCACTTGAAGAGCTACAACTAGTACCACTAAAATGCGACGAGGACGATGCTACCATTTGCCCGACTTGCGGAGGCGATGCCAAAATTTGGTCAAGTCCCTCCTCATTGCCAAGGCTCACGATGCCTCCACCAATTTCCAACTCTAACTCCGCATCTGGATCAACATCTTCCACGTCGTATGCCAACTTTGTATTAAAGTATGCCTTGTGAAATCGTCGATATGGACGATATCGTCATGTAGTTCATCTGAAAGTAGTAAGTAGCAGAAGTAGACATCGATTATATAATGAATATCTTCGTCACGTTCTTCTTGTAGTTCGTGAAGTAGACCATCGGAGAAGAACATCACTTGATCAAGATCACTTGATCAAGTGGTCATCTCGCGAGCCGCGCTACAACTTCTGAATTCGATATCGATCAGCATGGTGTAGTCGTCTCTTGACGCGCTACAACTTCTGAATTCGATATCGATCAGCATGGTGTAGTTGTCTCTTGACGAGGACCACTTCCAGTAGAAGTAGTAGAGTTGTCTCTTGACGAGGACCACTTTCAGTAGAAGTTACGTCTAATCTACCTAATACGACCTGAAAATTCAAGTTCAACATTTAACTTCTCTAAGTAATTATGTACCCACGACCAGGAAGAGGAAAAGTTTATATTTGTTTTTCTTGTATTTGATTACCTAGCAGGACGATGAGAACATCATAACACCAAGACCATCGTTTTCTGGTGGGGTGCCGACTGAATCCGCAGCCTGGTTCTTGTTGTCGGAAATTCCCTGATCATCTGCTTTGATGCTGGACGAGAGAATACTGAGAAAGTCAGAAGATAGTGATCTCGTCGCTTCTCCCGCTGCGTCTCTGTTACATGGGTTCGTTAGAGGTAGGCTTTTGGTGTTCGTTCATCCCGCTTGTTATGGCTATCCCCTTTAGGAGAGCCATAACAAACGGTAACAAAAGCACTTTTGTAGCCTACCCTTAAGTTTGAGTGAGGTTCCATTTGTCGTCGCAGGGGTGGTGGCTGCAGCTCCTCTTCTTCATGGAGGAAGTTATGAAGCTTCTTCTGCTCTTGGAGCTGGTCCCCGTTGTAGCCTGAGTTCTGCCTAGAAGTACTAAGTAGCACTATTGAAGATGTTGTACTCCCTTTGTTGCGTTCTTGTGACGATGGGGAACAAGCTCTGAAGGATGACGCACCGAACGGGTTGGAAAACCCTTCAGGAGGCGTCTCGTCCCGACGATCGTAGCCTCGTCTCAATTTATGAAAAGAAAATTTGTTATCATTATCTATCATGCTTTCCTTCTTGAGAAACTTGATAATGATAACAGATTTTCGTTTCATACAATTGCTCTATCTCGTTCTCGGTAGATGCTTTGGTGCCATCACCAGACCTGCCTACTTCTTAGATGATAGAATGGGAATTTCATCTATTATATATAACGACTCGTGTTTCTAGAACTAGGTCTCGTAGATCTAGTAGTTGTTGTAGTAGTTGTAAGTAGACCCCTCTAGATGTACTTGTTGTTCTTAAAGAGTAGAGATCTCGGCGATCTGTAGAAGTACAAGGATCACGCTAGTAGCGCTAGCTTGTATCGATGCAATAGTAGGCTATGGAACAAGTTAGGTCTCGATGCTTCATCACAGTAGCTGATGATGAGTTTTCTGCTTATTCTTACCTTACACTTACAAACTTCATGATCATCCCCATTGGCTCAGGAGTACATGTACATAACGTCCCTTAACTTCTCGACGAATTGCTTTGCAATCGAGGCTCCTCATTCGATGATTCGTCACAAAGCAAGTGGACAGGACTAAATCCATCAGAGCCGTCGCTTGGGGTCGTAGCCGGCAGCGCCTGCGCAATGTCATCTGAAATAAGATGCTGATGTGTGGAGGCAGCATCTAACAGCAAGTTGTGATAATAGACAAATTGAACGAACTAAGTACAAGCGCAACTTGTTTTCGTCGTAGTCCTCGAACGAAGCCCAAATAGAATGAACATCAGTCACCCAGTTCTTGATCCCGATAGCACCGATTCGAAAGAGGACCTTAAGCTTTACCTTCAGGTTATAGATAATCAGTACCGGTCGAGAAAGCGTCGACAACGCCCTCACCTGAAACGAGGAACTGCGCTGCATCCGGTTTTCTCGTCGCAACCCCTTCCATTTTGAGACGCTGGAGGAGATGCCCAGTCTATGGATGTAGAACTTGTTTCGTCATTTCAAGTTCTTACATCAATCTTAGGACTTAGATAGTACCCTTTTAGCATTAGCAGGTTTTTCATCTTCAGATTTGTTTTTTTTTCGACAAGATCTAAAACAAAGTTCAGCGACCACTTTGCAACATAATATGCAGTGATTGAAGTACTGCTTTAGCCATGTTTGATGCGAAAAGAGTCAGTAGGTTCATTTAAGATCTACACTCCTCTACACTTTGAATTTGTGACTTCTCTTCACCTGTTGTACTCTCATTTTCATACTCAAAATTCGCTCTAATTTTTTATCAACTTTTTGGCAGCTGCTTTCTGACAACTTGGCAAACAAGGCATGCGATTCGATCCGGCACGAATCGGATCAATTCATGACAAAATTCATTGTTGACAACTACAGGACAATTTTTCTAAATTTCGCACAAACAATAAATAAAAACATGTTTACTAAAAATCATCGATTACCCCCAGAGAGTTCTATCAAGTAATGGGCAGAGCACCATAACAAGCATCTTCAGCTTCTGTGGTCTCTTCTAAAGGAGGGATTGGGTCGTTGCTCAAAAAATGTCGCAGCTGGCTCAGTGGTTCAGTGTTCGGTCTTTACACTTATCAGTCTTGAACATGAAGACTTTTCTTGTGTAAGTACTTTCTTGAGTACATCACCTACTTCTGCTGGCAAGTTGTGGGAATGCGTCACAATATCAATGATCTTCATCTTCAACATCAACAAGCACCTTGAAATTAATTCAGCCTCAACCTCCTCCCTGTGCAAGTATAATTTTGAGGTACAGCATGCGTTAAACTTTCAATTACATTTTCTTGGTAATACTAGTACTGTGAAGATACTTAATTGGTCGACGTTGAGGACAAAATCGCAAACATCAACACTGTTTACTCCTGCGAGTGATAAAGTAAAAGAGGTGAACTGGTGAACCACTTCTCAGTATATTGCTCCTGTCGAAGTCAAAGATGTAACCCCCTTCGAAGATGCTGACGCTGCAGTTGACGATGCTGATGGCAAAGGCACCTGCTCCTTTGAAGATGATGTACTACAACTGCTAGACGATACTGCTTGCTTTGATGAAAGCGATGAGGAGTCCACCTCTTTAGAGGTAGCCGCACCTTCCTTAGCTACTACAACTAGTTGCACCTTCCTTAGCTACTACAACTAGTTGCTCTACAATCCCTTTCTTCATCTCTGGCGCAGCAGTCTCACTTTCCTCACTAGAAGAGGCGCATTTTTTCGCACCGTAATTGCCATTGTTCTTTTTGGGTACTCCGCCGTCACCTGCGCCATTATTAGAGGTAGGCGCTTGCGCCCGTTATCTGTTATGGCTGTCGCGTCCCTTAGAAGGAGAGGCATAAGAAACGGGAACAAAAGCGCCTTGCTCAACCTACCCTTAACATTAGGTACTCCGTCACCTGCACCATTATCATCTCCATTCCTTTGCACTCCATTCCATTCCTTTCCACAAGAAAGCACTTGCTTACAGGGCAACTTCCGTCATGCCCGATGTGAAATGAAGGCTGTGGACCTCGAAGAGGGCAGTAGAGGACAACGACACGTGGGCATAATGGGCGGATTGCATTTCCGAAGACGAGGAGGAGGACGAAGACATGTTGTTATTGTTGTCGTTCTTGTTGTTGTTGTTTTATTTCATTCATTCAACGTTATCTATTCTTTTTAGTTTTAGTTTTCTCTAGTTATACTTTAGTTCAGCGTCTTCATGTAGCTCTTTTGGCCGAAGAAGCGTCATATAAATGTGTTGCATTCCTATTCAATTCAGTAGAACTAAGCTGATGCTGATGCAGACAGTCTGACTACTTAAGGCATAGCCTTTTTACCCACGACTCTGATGTTGCGACACATGCATGAGCATCTTGACTTCGCCGCCAGTTATGTATCCGAAGAACACTAGTGTCACTACTTCTAAACAGTAAACAGTTGGGATATGCGTCCCACTCGAACAATCACCGTCATGGAGACGCGATTTCGAAGGTAATTTTGGTTGTCTATTGTCGAAGTCCTTGCTCAGTAGTAGCAGCGTATGTAGTTTGCCCACCAGCATGACTCAGATAGAACAGCGCACGAACTCGACACTTGTGATGAGCTATATTATGGCCTTGGTTTGGCTCGAGATACATATTCGGCGCTTCATATCTTATCAGCATCAGAGCTAACGGCGTTCGTGCTTTTTTTTCTGCCGCGGATTCAAAGAACCAAACAAAGCACGGCCTATATGGTGCGCTTGATCTCCACTTTTTTTGTTCGGTCTCATAGAGCTCCTGCAAATGTTCGGCAGTTCTTCTGTAGGCCTTGGACCAGCCAAGATACCACGTCTTCGTGTACCCAGGAGATTCTTGGTCGTCTATAATCTTAGACGTCTTCGTGATGGGCTCGATCATGGCACTGAAACGAAGGTCATTCCCAACGATGACCCCTCTTCTGACCCCCTGAGCTTTGTTCTCCTCAGGCATCGCGAGTTGTTGAACGCCACTTCGTGGCACTGGACTGATCCCGAAGTCACGAACGAATGTGGTGTAAAAAAACAGGCAAGAGAATTCCTCGTACAAAGTCACCAAGCCCTCACCTAAGTACGAAGAAATATGCGCCTTGACGTCAGCTCCTAGGCCTCCCACTGGTAACAGATATGACATCTGTGCGCTCCTGAGAGGGTTCAGGACGTCCTTCACACCAGACGCAGAGAGAGAGACAGTCCGCACGTACTGCGGCTCGTAAAGATACGTATCAGCCACAGATGAAAGAGGATTGCCACAGCCTCCCGAGCCGGAAATTACTACCACGAAAAGGGCCCCTAGAAGAGTAGGCCTTTCGAAGTTTAGTAATTTAAGATCTTCAGGGAGCTGCTTGGACGATTCTTAACCACGGGCGCACAGGAGCGTCTTCTGTGAGAGTAGTAACCTGCGTGGCTGTAGGTGCAACCTCCCCTGCTCCCCCTGCATCAGCATCACGCGGCGAAGACTCAGGCGCGAGTGCTTGCAGAACTACGACGACGTCACTGCTCGCACCCTCGTCACATGCAGCTGCCCCCTCGAAGTGTCTTGCGATCGACCTGGGGAAAGTAGCAAAGCAGACACTGACCCACTTGGTGATCGAAGTTCTCACATTGTCTCCAGGAACCAAGAACGACCAAAGGAAGAGCCGGCGCTTCAGGACCAGCTCGGGAGAGAAATGGCAAGGCACCGCCCCGACTAAGGCAAAGACAGCGAACACAGTCAGAAAGAAGAACCCGCCAAGCGGGGCGAAAAGCGCAACAAAGGGAGACAAAGAGACCCGCAACCCGCAAGCAACGAGACAGATAATGCGCGCCCCCTTTCCCGGTTCAAAAGTTTTAGAGGTTTCAGCCGTTTTAAAGTATTCCGACACTCTGGCGGTCTGCCTCAGGATATTGCTGGGGCTCAGTGCCCGCAAGTCCCCGCCCTAGAGCACTCATCTCACAAGCCCCCACTGTCCAAGGCATACGCCCGAGCCAATGGCGTCCCCCGAGCGCCGTGGCTCCACTCACCCGCGGCGCGACCTGTCTCACGGTCAGCGGCCAGCACAAGCGAGCAAGTAAAGCCAGCAGCAGCTGGGCAGAGAAAGGGCAAAACTAAGACTCAACCGACAGCACAGGCGCACGCCACAAGTACAGGCGACCCCATCGAAGGTAGTCGCGTGACGCCGCTGAGGGTTTTTTCGTGACCGCAATGCTGGCGCGCTCTGAGTCTGTTTCAGCAGATTCACAGTCGACTGCGCTGGTTTAAACCGGCCGCCCCCCTCTGTTGTTCAAGGGTTTTGACCTTGGGCCTCATCTTCCGCGTGCCAATTTCCTTCCCGTTTTGGAGTGCCTTCCCTTCAGCAAGGAAGTCCGTGCAAGATTTATAGCACTCAAGTGGCCTGCTGTTAGTTGCGTTGCCTTTACTCAGTGGCAAAGGCTCCGCAGCTAGCTTCCACGTCTTCCAAGTCAACAGGTGATCTCTACACCTCATGGAGAGCATGGGCTTCCGACTTATCCCTCAGGGAGGAACTGGGCGCGCTCGACATGTCGCCCAGCTCCAGCGCCAGGGGCGCACGCGAGACGCCCCAACTTGCGTAAAGTAAGCACAATATCCGAAAAGGGTAGCGACCACAGCCCAACCACGTCCAAGCATGTACTTCCCACGGTCGAAGTGGCCACCCGCCTCAATTCGCTTTCTCGCGTAAATGGCGCCCGTCCTTCTTGGTGAGTGAAATCCGGCTCCTATCTTTTGGAGCGATTTCCCCGCCTCAGCTTCCTTCAGTGGCAATGTAGTTTTATTTGTCTGTGGGTCACACACGCGACGCGTCTCCTTGCTTCCACAGCAGCAGGATGCGAAGGCCGTCCCATTGGCCGCCGCGGTGATTTCGTCTCGTCTGGTGATATGTGCCGAGATCCTGTCCCGCGGGCGTAACAGAGACCCCACATCTTGCGGCGTGATAGCCTCCACGCTATTCCAGCGCACTCCCAGGCTTGCCCGCAATCTGGCTGCGGCTCTTTCAGGTGCCCGCAGTTTTTCCCATGCCTCGCGCGCGATCAGTGGCGCCCTCTCCTTTTCAAAGGAGTCCACTGCTCTTTTTATATCACCCGACGCAATTGCCAGCGAGCGGACTGCGCAAGGCGCGCCAGCCATCCACATGCGCTGTCTGTCTGTATCCGGGCCAAGTGGTGGCACCAGTAAGCTACACGCTATCGCGGTGAAATATGACCGCGCGAGGCCCGAACTCTCGCCCGCGTCAGCGACCCACAAGCAGAACAGTCAGACGCGCCCCACTTCATGCGGTGCCTCAATTGGCGGCGACTGCTTCCCCCGGTACTAGTCCCTGAAGACTGCGAAGCGGTGCACTCTGTTTGTCAGTGCCCCCTCCGAATGGGACTGAAGCACGACCGCGGGCGATCGTTTCACTAGCGATATACTTTCGCAGCGCTTGGCGAGTGTCCCCTTTGCCAATAGTGGCCCCATCGGGCCGCACTGTAAGCGTAACGACCATCAGTGGCTGAGCAGTCCTCTGCAGTTTGTGAGGACAGCCCGAGGCGGGGCAAGGGGCCGGCTCCTCAGCGTCCCCGAGTGGCGGCACCTCAGCCGCAGCCTTCACTTTTTTCATGCGCTCTGGCGCGTGGTTCCCATGGCAGAGCCATGCCCCTGTCGGTGGCAAGTGTGCCGTCTCTCTTCGTCGCTATTTCTTATCTAGGCAAGATATCAAGCGACAAAAGGGACGCCCACCAATACTCACACAACTCACCCATCTCTGCCTCCCATTCATGGGCTTGCCGTATGTGCGTCGCCGAACACGTGCGCACTTTGTTCTCCTTTTTCAGTTCTTCTTCTCCATTTCTCACCAATCGCCGCCCTTTCCTGTGAAGCGAGCCACGCAGTGCCTCGCCCGTATTTTATTGGAATGCTGCCCCGTGGGCTGAGGTTTTTAAGAGCAAAGCCCATGCTGTCTTTTTTCCATGGGCGTACCAAACGCCCGGGGATTTGAGTGGGTGGCCAGTTTTATCCTGTGAGGATTTGCCCATCGCCTGCAGTCATGTCGCAGCTGCCTCAATGCGCAAAGTCTCTTCTTGTAAGAAAGTCCCCCAGCACTACTGTCCTCGTTCCATCTCAGTTCGTCACTCTGTGCACTTCGCTGCGCTACTTTTCCAATTTGTCAAATCGTGCGGCTTCGCCCGTCTTTGCCTTTCATAGTCGGCGACTTTTTATCTTCCCGCATCGTCTGCCAGCAAGTACACCTGCGAAGCTCGCCGCGGTTGACGGCTTGCAGTCGTGTTTCAAGGTGCGGCGCTTATCCTTGCACTTTCCATAGACATGCCACACCAGGCAGGCCGTGAGTGGGAACCCAGGCCGCCCGCTGTTTAGTGCTTCGCCCTTCATGGCTGACATTTCAGGGCGTCCATCTTTAGCGAATGCCCAGCCGTCCCCATTGGCGAAGCATTTCTTTCGCCCTAGCTTGCGCCCCGTGATGGAGCAAGTGCGTGGGGCCAGCATTCGACTTCTTCCAATCCGCATCGACACAAGCAAACCTCTCACGTAGATCACAACTGCGCCCGTCTTTCTCAAACAGCGGAGGACTTTCATGCCTCGCCATCCTCAACGGTCGCGAGCTGTTTCCATCACCTTCCACTATCGTCACAGAGTGGAGCGGTTCCGCCTCTTCGTCGGTTTCTGCTTCTATCGTGTCGTCGTGGGTTTCTTCCTCCACTGCCTCCCGCGGTTTCGGTTCCTCCACAATCAACAGCCGGCTTTCCTCTTTTCATTTCGTCACCCATTCCAGATTAGAGCCGTGGCCCCTCTAGTACTAAGCAAGCCCCTCCGATCAGGGGAGGGCAGTGGTGTTAGCAGAGTGTGTCTCATAGTATCGCAGTCCCATAACCGTCCTCCCCGCCTTTCTCCTTTCCTTTCTCATTTGGCTTGTCTTCTCCTTTCTCCGCTTCCTGTGCCTTCCTGGCACGCTCTGCGTATTTCTCCCCACGTAGTCCACCACTCTCGCCGGCGTGTCTTCCGTGGTAGTCGTAGAACCAGCCACGACTCTCCTCACTCCCCTACGTTTTCGCTATAAAATGCAGAGGCCAGCAGTACTGGGGTGGTGAGCCTGACACCCCGCAGGTCGGTTTCCTTCCCACACCCGAAAACAGCGAACGCCCTTGGCCTTGTTCACTTGCTAGGTGAAAACCATCCCACCCATTGCAACCCCTTCGCCACCTCGTTGCCAAAGTCTCTCGCTGTCGAGTCTGTCGAGCCGGTCGAGGGCGGGCAGTTCTCTAGAGGTGCTGGCGGTTCTTCAGAGCCAAGGTGGTTAGGTGCTTGACGATGAGCGCCAGCCTGGCAGCCTCGGCGAAGCTGCCGCTGAGGGTGTTCGCGGGTAGAATAAGCGCAGACACCGACGAAGAGGCTGGGGCCGGCAGCTATGGACACCAAGGCCCGAAATGTCGGAGGTGATGCACCCCATCCCATCGGGGGACCTGAATGGTGCTAGCGTGCGTCTGCGTGGATGTATCGACCGCCGTTTGTCTTGGGCTACACCACCATAAAGATAAAGAGCCACATCTGTGCGCCTCAGGTTTGGCTGCTCCTCTTGCTTCACATTTTTGAGGGCATGAAAATGAGGACCAAAAAGCTGCCACCTTTTGGCCCAGGTGGGCTCGGTATTTTTTGGCTTTATAAAGTGCGCCACTTTTCGCGTAGCCTCACTAGTGGACGCGAATTCGGGCATTTTATAATGAAAATATAAAGGCGTTAAGTCAACTAAGAACTGCACAAAAACGGTCACTATTGTCGCCTCCTCGTCCTGGAAGTGCTCCGCTTAGCGGCTTTTGCTACTTGCTTC